AACCATCAATTTCTTCCGTCCATCCAGATCCTCTCCATACACGCCACCACCAACATCACCAAGTCTAATTGTCCCATTCCGGCTTTGCCCCCTTTTCCCCCTTACGTCCTTATACCCCCCGTTCCCAATATGACGCGAATGCCCCTTTTACAGCCCGCCGACGATGGTCGGCGGTATGAGCTCACTAGCCCTACTGCCATGCCCAAGGCCGGAGCCTTCCTCTGGAACCAGGGCATGATGATCCAGGCCACTTGTCGCGGATACGCCACAGCCCAATTCATGCAACCAGAGCCCGCCAAATATTCCTATGCCCCCAATCTCGAGGCCAAAACATTCATGCAGCCGGAGCAGAATTACTACGCTCACCATCCGGGCCGCTTCGTCTATGTCAAAGATGAGGCCACGGACCAAATCTTCTCGGCTCCGTATGAGCCCGTTCGCGGGCCCGTGGAGCGATTCGTCTTCTCCGCCGGCCAGAGCGACATTCGGTGGACTACGGAGCATCTTGGCATCCGGGTGGAGATGACACTTGGCCTCCCCACCCATGATGTCACCGAGCTCTGGACCGTCAAGGTCACAAACATGTCTGGTCGCCAACGCCAGGTCAGCGTCTATCCTTATTTCACCATTGGGTACATGTCGTGGATGAACCAATCGGCCGAGTACCGCGAGGACCTCGGCGGCGTCGTTGCCTCTTGTGTCACGCCGTACCAAAAGGTCGCTGACTACTTCAAAAACAAGTATCTCAAGGACAAGACCTATCTCATGTGCGAGACGAAACCCACTTCGTGGGAGACAATGCACCAGGCTTTCGAGGGCGAGGGTGGTTTGCATGCCCCCTCCGCCCTGCAAGACTCCGAGCTGTCCCGCGGAGATGCTCGATATGAGACACCTGTTGCGGTAGTACAGTACCGCTTGTCCCTCAAGCCGGGAGAGCATCGTGAATTCCGCTTCATTTTTGGTCCCGCCTATGATGACGCTGAGATTCGCTCCATGAAAGAGCGGTATCTGAGCAAGGCAGCCTTTGAGCGATCCGCCCGCGAATATGCCGCCTATATTGAGCGCGGCAGGGGATGTCTCCAGATCGAGACCCCAGATCCTGATTTCGACAACTACGTTAACAACTGGCTTCCCCGTCAGGTTTACTACCACGGTGACGTCAACCGGTTGACAACCGACCCACAGACACGCAATTACCTCCAAGACAACATGGGCATGAACTACATCAAGCCCGAGGTAGCCCGCAAAGCCTTCCTTACCGCGCTTTCTCAGCAGGAAGCAACTGGGGCCATGCCCGATGGTATCATCTTGGTCGAAGGAGCAGAGCTCAAGTACATTAACCAAGTTCCTCACACTGACCACTGCGTCTGGCTTCCTCTTACCCTCGAGGTCTACCTCTCCGAGACTGGAGACTATGCATTCCTCAACCAGCGAGTTAAGACGGAAAATGGTGACAACTACACCGTTTTCGAACGCTTCAGCCGCGCTATGGACTGGCTCCTCTCCGAGCGCGACGAGCGTGGCCTGAGCTACATCGCCCAAGGCGACTGGTGCGACCCTCTCAACATGGTCGGCTATAAGGGCAAGGGCGTTTCGGGCTGGCTCACCCTCGCCACCGGTTACGCTCTGAAGATCTGGGCCGGAATCTGCGAGCACCAAGGAAACGAGAAACTCGCTTCGCGTTACCGCTCCGGAGCCGAAGAGGTCAACGCCGCCGCCAACAAGCATCTCTGGGATGGCGACTGGTATGGCCGGGGTATCACCGACGACAACGTTAAATTCGGCGTCAAGAAGGATACCCAGGGCCGCATCTGGCTCAACCCTCAATCCTTCTCGATCCTCGGTGGTGCCGCGAGCCCCGAGCAGCGCACCAAGATGTTCAAAGAGATCGAGAAGCAATTGTACACTCCCTACGGTATCGTCATGTTTGCCCCGGCCTACCTCGGCATGCGCGAGGATGTCGGACGCGTCACGCAAAAGCACGCCGGCTCCGCGGAGAACGGCGCCGTGTATAACCATGCTGCTGTATTTTACATTCACAGTTTGTATAGCATCGGAGAGACCGATCGGGCCTTCGAGCTGCTCCGACTCTTAGTGCCCGGTCCTTCCGAGGAAGATTATATCCAGCGGGGACAGTTGCCAATCTACATCCCCAACTACTACCGTGGTGCCTGGCGCGAGTTCCCTCGCACTGCCGGCCGGTCGAGTCACCTGTTCAACACCGGCACCGTGTCATGGGTCTATAGGGTTGTCCTCGAGGGTCTCTGCGGTCTTAAGGGTGATGCACAGGGCCTCTGCATCCAGCCACAGCTTCCCGAGGATTGGGACGGCATGAAAATCAGCCGAAGCTTCCGCGGAGCCACGTTCAACCTGGAGGTCCAGCGCTCCGATGACGTCAACGAAGTCCAGGTCCTCCGCGGCAATGAAATTCTTCCCGGAGCTAGGGTCACGAATATCCAGGCTGGAAAGACTTACGAACTGACGGTTTTGGTCCCCTAAGCTCTCACTGTTTTTGAGGGTGGTCGTCTGAATTGTGTTTGTTTTTTTCCTTTCATGCTCGCGCTCCTTATATTCGCTCGTTTTGGAGGACTAAAATTGGAATCTTGGGATTTTGCATTCATGGCGGCTACTTGTCGAAATAACGCCCGGGCTACAGTCGAGGGCTTTTTGTGAAAAAAAAGTTTTATGTTTGATCGACACAATGAAATTGATTATTCTATTAGCTTTCGCAGAAATTCGATTCTCTTTTGCCCTTGTGCTTTATCTACCTCTAGATGATATTCGCTAGTCATAAAAGGCAGGCACTGAGAGTCGTAAGTGCCGCCCAGTAATGTACAATGTACATGCCATCTGCAGCTGCCCGCGGGGGGGGGGGGAAACGAAAATACCAAAGCGCAGAAGCCTGCCACGATTGCTTGTAGTTTACACAGACGAGTGCATGTTACATGTTTTGATGATGTGTCTAGAGGTGAATGGTCAGACCCAGTTCGCTGTTCCTATGTCGGGTTAACATCACCGCCAAACGTAACCCATTATGCGAGCCTGGCAGTCGCCTGCTCCCCTCAACCCCAACACCCCCAATCCCACACCGAAGCCAGCAATGGGTCGAAGATAAACTACCACCAGCCATCTGCCAGAGCTTCCTGGCAGGAGTTCAGAACTGACGGGCTTTAGAACTGTCGATCAACCGAAGCGAGCCCTCTAATTTTATAGGACTACGAGTAGTAAGATGGCAGGTGTAGTTCTGGGTTAATAGAAAATTGCCTGCAACCTAGATAAGAGGGATCAGCAATATTTATTAAATGATGGTATTTGATAGGCGCGTCTGGTGTGATTGATGCTGACGGGTTGCATTCCCTTGCTCGTTGGGGAAAATTGCCTGCAGCCACTTGGCGAAGTACGCAGGATACTTGTCACGCTTCGAGCCTTGCAGTTCCTAGTGACCTGTTCTTCTGATACGGGGGTTGGGAGTTCTTATTCTTATTTATATCCAGGGAATGCAGTTTTGAGAAAACTCGTTTTCTGTATTCTCCAATGTCGCGTATATATTATCACTTTCCCCAATCCTTTCCAGTACTAATATACAACGCTGCGACGTGAGAGGCTCGAGATGTCATCCTCAGATGCCCAGGCTTCTCCAAAGGAGTGAGCGTCTCCCTTATACGAAGGAAGAGTAATCATTCAATTGACCCATTTCCGCAGTAACTTCATTTGGATTTACGACTTTGGCGTTGCCTATGATAACGGTTATGAGCGACGCCCGGGCGATTTGCATGAGCTCTTAAAGTCAGATGCCCAACGAAGCTTGCAAAGCCCGCAATTTCAATGGATCCATATACCGAAAAATGACTACAGAATTGTCGAGGTGCGTAATAATGGCTTTGATTATGTCTGATATCTTCATTAAAAGTCCTTGGGGGCGTCGAGAATAACGGACGTAGAAATGTCTCGATATTCTCATCGATGATGGAGAGACTGCCCAGCGTCGCGACGATTGGTCTCGTGGGGTTCGACCTACACGGACAATTCCTAGTGGGATCAAACCGGCTCACTCACTTTGCATGCAACCCTCTTTCAAGGAGGTACAAGACAACGGGACGGAGTCAGCCAAAAGGACAAAAAGAGAAAGCAAAAAGGAGGAGCTGTTATTCACCCTCTATGTGAGTCGAGTCTACACCAATGCCAGCGGAGTGAGATGTTAATCTATAATATAGCTTCCGTATCTGAGCTGGTCTACATATAAAGAGTGGGAAGATATAATTGACCTACAAGCCACCGAAATGGCGCAGAAAGGGGGCGATTTCCATCCCCGGAGAACGTTGGATCAATTTTTCTACCCCGGGCTGCGAACCACCCACCATCGTGATATGCGGCAAACTGTGTCAAAATGGAGCGGCGGGAACTCTGAGCCGCGAAACACTGACCATGGAGATATGAGAGGCAGTGGGGACTCCAAGTCCGTACCGTACAATGGCAGAGAAACGGCAGTTGACGACAGCGACATGCTCTTAGTAGACCAGCTTTGGATGTGGGTTTTGGGCGGCGACGGTAGGTTCTCAACCCTCAAGTCCCCATCCTACGTCGTGAACATTTTCATATCTTTGGACCAAGCCTAACACTTAGAAGGCAAGAAGACAACCGTGGTAACGTGTTTTCCATTTGGAAAACATTCAGATCGGAGCCAGTCTAGGGAACCAATCTCCCTATTGGGATGTGACCCCAAGCAATGTGAAGATTTTTACCACCTTATGGCTCTTATTGTCCAATACGCTCTGACAAGCATCTTCACCGAGGTCAATGCCCAACACAAGGACCTCTTCGAGTTGTTCAAGTGGGCCGTGTCAAATCTAGTTGGTTTCTTTTTCCTTTCCATCATTCTCGAAGCTTTCTCGTCGCCTTTACAGGTTTTTTTTTTTTTTTTTTTTTTTTTTTTTTTTTCATCAACTGACAGCCCAGTCTAGGATGCACGTCACACCGAGCTTTTGGAGTCCTATGAGAAAATGTTGTCCAACACCCACAACGGCCAAAAGTTTGGGCCGGAGGAACTGAAGCTGACATGTGATATTGCGGATATAATGGACGAATTGAAAATGATTCGAACCCTCCTTGATACGCAAAAAGAGGTGTTAGGTTCAATGCGGGATGTATTGCTTCGGTTACACCCGGGAGAGGCGAACGCTGACAAGCAACAACCCGGCGGTCTTGTTGTCCACAATTCCACATTCGATTCTATCAAAGTAGTGGGAGCACCATCGTCTCTAGTACAGCTTTTTGATATCTCTGCCGCAACCTTGGAAATTGAGGAAGGAGCTGGTATACCTCTCATGACACTAGGAATTAAAGGCTTGGCCGGTACTACCATTAGAAAGGCGAACTCGAGCCTGGAGAACCACGCAACCCGCGTCCAGAGACTTCAGGCCGATGCCTCCACGATACATCGGAGAGTATGCAGTCCCGAGTACGCTGTCGCAGGGAGATTTTCGGGAATGGCTCTAATTTCGCCACTAGTTTCTAGAGCTTCTTGACCTTAAGCAAAAGCTGGCCAGCCTTGACGAAGCCCGCATGACGACAAAGCAAGGTTATGCTGTTATTTTATTCACTGTTGTCACCATAACATTCGTACGTGGAACGAACGTCATGCTTATCGGTTGTGTGCACTGAGGCTAACTGTATCTGTAGCTACCGCTCTCCTTCTTCACATCATACTTCGGCCAGAATGTCATTGAGATAACCGGGGATGAGAAGAATCGTAAATCCGTTGATCTGTGGAAAATAGCTGGTATTGTCAACCCTTGCTACCCCCTCGCCTCCACTATTCCATTATCGGACCTAACACTCCTTAAGGGCCTATATCTGCGGTGATAGTTGTTATCTCCTTAGCTATCGCGCTCTTCATAATGAAACCGAAGTGGTGCTTTAACAGGCGCAGAGGAAGAGACGAAGAAGGAGGCCAACGTCCTGACCCAAAGGAGAAAACCACATAGAAACGGTTGGCTAAAACTCCCAATGCAACGAGAAAAGAAAAAAAGGTTAAATTAACTCTGTAACTGCGGGAAGGAACTTTTACTGGCGCCAAGTTTCTATAGTGGATGACGACCTTCCAGGTTAAGGTGAGAGGTTGCAAAACGAGCGGTCATAATTTTTTTTCTTTTTCTTCTTTTCATTCTTGCACTAAGTATAAGCTAAATAATCGGTCATATCTTTCAACTGAACTATTCTATACAGTCTTCTCATTTCCTAGTTCCAATTCAGAGATTTAATCTTCTCATCCTATACCTTCCAGTGATAAAATCAGACCGCACGTCTCCATCTTCTTCTTCCGAATCCTTCAGTCAATGCCATCATGTATCCAATTTATCTCTTTCGTTTCTTCTCTCGTGCTGGGTCTCTCGGTATGGCCCCTCCACCCTTTCCCCTCGCGATATATTCACACGCCTCAAAGCGTTGTTCATCTCGATGGAGATCACAGCCTCGGATGCCAACCACTTCTCCTTCGGTAACGCCGGCCACAGGGTCTCCCAGCAATCGGGCACACTGCCAGCACACCTTATGTCCGCAGCTGAGAGGCCAGAGAGATGTGTCGCCCCGCAGGCACCAGGAACAAGCTTCGATGCTGCGCACCTCCAGTCCGGGGATGACGCTGTAAAGCTCTCGAAGGTTAGCGCAGTGCGCTGCCCAAAACACCATGTACCGGGCTTCGCTCTCTGATTCCCGTCCCGGTTTCAAGACAGCATTTGATGCGCTTTGCATCTCGTCGAGCATCTGCATGGACTCGTCAATCTCGTCGTTCCAGCGCATCATCAACTGGTCGACAAATTCGGACTGGAACGTGCCGTAGGAGAAGACTTTACCGGCCTTGTCCTGGTGCAGGTACGTGTTGTCATGCGCCAGGCGGGCGGTGATGCATCTCTGTCCCTTCGGGCCGATAAAATCGCACTCGCAAACGCGATCGAAAAGGCTGTCAACGGCCTCTGCAACCTGCTTCTGATACGTCACCGCCGTTTTAGACGCACCACCCGCGTGGAGGTTGGCGTGTAGAAAATCCATGGTACTGCCCTTATAGATATCTTGAAGTCGACCAGGATACTTGGTGCTTGACCGGCAAGCGTCGATAGCAACTGTCGAGCAAATAACAGGAGTGATAGCGGAGCAGAAGTCTAGCCCAGATAACGGGATGTCGGCTGCGGACATCCTGTTGGCTTTTTCGGCTGCCTTGAGCAGCTCAAAGAAACCCCTCGAGAGACCTTCCTTCAACGGGTTGTGCAGGAATAGGCTCTCCAGGAAATCAAAGGGCTGATCTTCGCGGTCCTTGTAGTGGTCGAAAGCCATCGAAACCATTCGGTTGTGAATGCTTGTCGGCAGCAGGAAATTGGCTTTCGTCTTCGTTTTCTCGGCGTCGCATGCGGCATCTTTGATCATCAAGTCCAGACGCTGTAACTGATGCGAGAACAAGGTCGGGTTCGCCGTCTCCGGGACTCGGATGAACTGCACAGAGGAGTAGCAGCATCGGAGCAATTGGGAGAAATTCTCGATGTTAGAACCTTTCACTTGACTGAAGAGTCGGCGATACGTTCTCAGGACCCGGTTGCTCTCGGCAGCTGATTTATGCTGCGTGAGAATCCTCTTCGTGGTTTCGGCGGGATCCCAATCAGACGAAATGGCTGGGGACCGATTGAGCACGACGATGAGGTGCGGTAGGACAACTCGATTCACGGCGGTCTCTCGCGAGTTCTGCGCCCATTCGACGAGCTTTACCAGGGCGGCCTCGATTTTTTGTGTTGCCGAGGACGGCATGGCGTATACGATGACATCGGAGAAGTTGTACAGAAGGCGCGGGAATAATTCCTTTACTGCATTTTGCCTGTTGCCCCAGGAGCTCAGGGGTCTTTTAGATCCGGGGTTGAAAAATGAGAAGAGCTCCTCCATCCAGTCCGCATGCTCGGGTTTCTTGTCGGCTTTCGCCCTGGAAAGTTGGGCGGATACACTGTCCTTGGCCACCTTTGCCGCTGATGGTTGGCTGCCGTCGTAGAAGCCCTCGCTGTCAGCATAGAGAAGGAGCATCCAGGGTTGGGTAGCGTCCACATGTGGTGCCTTGTAAAGATGCACATCTCCCGAAGTCGGTTGCGAGACGTCGCGACCAACGATCGGTAGCATGACAGAAGATGCTGCTATCGACTTGAGACTCTCAATGTCCCATGGTCGCTGCATCAACGAGCGAATCAGTGTGCTCTTGCCCGCACGGGTGTCGCCGATGAAGGATGCAAGCTGCGCGTAACATTCTGACTGGAAGGATAGTTCGCGTCGATGTTGTACAGCGAGCTGTTTGAGTCGAGGATACTCCTCAAGCCCAAGTTTACCATCCTGCTGTCGGTCAATGGAGAACCAGAGAGTGAATAAGTCTTGCTTGTGGTGATGCATCCACTGCTCTTCTGTCCAGGATGGGTCTATTGCATCCTTGAATAGCTTGCTAATTTCATTGGAACCTTAGAATTAGAAACGCACGCGGGAGGAGATTGAAGATAGAATTTTTAAAAAAAAAGGAAAAAAGAAGAAAGAAATCAGGGGAGGAGGTCGTAGAGGGAATCGGGTGTTCTTACTATTGCTCATATGGGATAACTGGATGACGAGGGTCGTTCCGACGATGCAACGGCAATCCGGCCCAACACTCTGTGCAGAGAATCTGGCGACATTTACCGCAGTATTTTTCACCATCGTTCTCACAACCCTCACAAATGACACGGTCAGGATCAGCCGTGGATGGTGCATCCTCCGTCGTTTCCGGCTTGAATGGGCGGTCCTCGCCATTATCGGAGCTGCCAGGGGGTTGGCTTTGTTCGGCATTCGACGGTGGATGCGGAGGAGACTCGGCGGCTTCTTCCGACATGGGTAAGCTCGTTTGTGCTTGCAAGTGCACCATCGTGCTGTTTCAACCAAAGAATCTAACTCGAGGGAATATGCAACGAGCAATGGTCTAAGGGGAATATTTTATTTTTCTTTTATTTTTCTTCTTTTTGTTTTTGTTTCGATCTTTTCGGGGCTTCAATGATCGATTTTAGTTCACTCTCTCCTCAGTAGTCGGCACCATAGGGCAGCAATCGTTACGTACACCTAAAAAACCCAACCTGATCTCACCGCTTCAGAGAGAGTCGCCTCAAGATAAGGACTGCCCAACACCTATTGTCTGCTTTCAGTGGCTTCGGGTTTACACAGGGCGAGTCACCTGTTCCCCACTTGGCATTTTACGTGGTGAGAGGTTACTCGCTGGAACGATTTGGCACACGACCACGTTAGGCTCCAGGCACCAAGTGGCCAGCTGTCTGGTAGTAGGAATGCTTGGTTGGATAAGTATGTACACTCTTCTAGTGTTATGTGGCATTACATTCCCCGTGCACCCCTTTGGAATCGGGCTCTTTCTATCACGTTGCGTTCATGTTCCCGTTGTAGAGTCCCTATATCTCATCTCAGATACATTTCCAAGCCGCTTTCACCCAGAGGGAGGGCCGCGATGTCCATCCGGGACTTCCGTCATCCAAAATGCGTTTAGGAGCCTATTCCACAACTTTTTCCATCTTCCGGTCGGACGTGACCATGTATTCTTGCTACTGCCCCCCAATTCCCCCCACCGCACTCGCCTCCATAAATATGACAGAAGGGCATTAACCCAGGGTTCTCGAAGAAGCAGATGTGAAGGACGTTAGCCTTCCCTTTCCAAAATAGCTCGAGCCCTTGTAGCTCAAGATCGTGAGCTTGGGACTAGACGTTAGCAGTGAGCTAAAAGGCCAATGCGAATGGATGTGATCGCAGTTTTATATCACGGCTGAGGCTGTAGAATCATGTACGCGCTATGGCTGAAGAAGCAAGACAGCAAACGAATCAATTCTACTACTCGAGGATTCATACGACCAGTGCAAAATCATCTTTGATACCACAGCTGCTTGGACGAATGTGTAAGCGTCTTTTTTTTTTTTTTCTGAAAAGATTCTCGGTGGCTGATTCAAAGTTACCGCCGCTTGGCACCGAAGTCTTAAAGAAAGCGAATACGCTGAGGCTTAACCACGTCCGAATTCTCTTTGCGAACAAACAATAGAAATAGTCGAAGAAGGATGGGCTCTGATCTATCGGGTCGGCCCTGAATCGTATGTGGACCAGGACTTTCCCGCAATCGAGAACCACTCTGCAGGTCCGGTTGCGGCCGGGATAACGGAATTTATTGTGATGAAACCTCGTGATGAAGGGTCCTGGATGACTACGTTCATCGATTATCATACATTATTCGCAATGTAATCAATTACATTCTTTGACTCTCTCCAGAAGTTCCCCATGGCCGCGCCCTTTTATCGTCCCGAGAGGCTAAATCCTTAATCTGGCATATCTTACTTGTCCCTTGGTTGTGCCCCCATCCGCACGCTTAGTTCCGTCAACTCACCGTGTTTTTATACGTTTATAACTCTGGTATTAGACGGAGGGTGCTCTTTACGAATTATAGAAAGAGGATAATAGCTGGATATGGGTCAGCAAATGCCTCGCGCACCTATCTCAAGTATCTCCTACCCTCGGTTCTATAAACTAACAGTCGACTTGGCAGGGCAGAAACAAGCCTACACATTTGGGAAGATCAATTGATGATATCATCTGGAGAAACAAATAATGGAGGGTCGGGTGTCGGCTGGAGTCTTGGCTAGAGACTTGAGCAATTATGAGTGAGTTAAATCAGCAGATATCTTGAATTCTTGGCCTCCAGAGCCCCCCTCCCCCGGTTGACAATTTCCGGGGATTTAAAGGTCGAACACTCAGCGAAATCGCAATTTTGGATCTAATACCTCTCAGGTAGGTTGTCTGGAGAAGAACGGACCCGAGAGGAGGGCCACCGGCTGATTCTTGCCGACTCCACACTTGGTGTCACATCAATCTCGACGGGAGAAGCTGTCATTGTCTCACCAGGTCTGGGATAGAAACCATGAACAAAGAGGGTGTGAGAGACTAGGATACAGGGTGCGGCTCACTTTGGAAAAGCGTTAAACACCAGGGACATTCTAGGAAACCCCATGCAACTAATATCGGCCAGGTTGAATGCCACCGAAAATTAGATTTGGTGGCAATACCTGGTCCTTTTGCACTGGTTGGCAGCCGCATGTACTATGGTGTCTGCTCCCGGGTGGCAATCTGCTCCGCGGAGCAGTTACTTCGGATCCCTGTATATCGGCGAAGGCTCTGTCGTCACGCCACATCTACCATTGGTATTGTTGATCTACCATAATTATAAAATCGACAAGGCAGCGTAGTGGTGGGCAGTCTGCAGAACGCGGGATGGTGGCCAGTGCCCGCGTGCATCTCTCTCCCGTGACTTGGGTCGAACTTGAGGAGGCAACATCTAATCTTCGATATAGTGAGCATAGAGGAGCCATAAAACGGAATGGGCGAGGCCATGAAATGAATTCGGGCTCAATCTCTACGACGTTGGGAGAGTGAGGTGGTGGAGACAGGATTCGGGCTTCCAGTAACATTGAAGAACTACTGATTCCAACACCCGAAATGGCTACCCACCTCAAGATCACCCACCTGCAATATTTCCCACCCCTCCTAGTTATGTTTAGGATAAGATAGGAATGAACGGGTAAAATGCTTGGCATCGTCTCGGTCGCTAGGATCCCGGGGTTCCTCGGATCCGCGAACGTCTGCGATCGCCGGAGGACTTCCCCGGATCCCTTGGGCGGGAATCATTGATGTAATACAATCTACACTATGGCAGGGCCGGCCACACTTGGCAACATAGGCAGCATAGGGGGCAAAAAGCTCATGGGTTTATGAAGGAGGTAAACACGCCTTGATCTAACCCTCGTGGTTCTTCATAACGGGCCCATAACTTCCGTATCCCCGTCGCCCGCCCCTGGGCTGAGAATTCAGGGCGGAAGATTAATTCAAAGGGCCTGGATTGCACTGGTCGGCGGTCTCGGATATGGAGCAAGCGTCATCTTTGAGTACGGGCTCGGTAGGTAACGAACCTTGAAGTAAGCCACTCGTGAGCGTTGGAAAATGGATTACCTTGGTGGCGATTCACTATTTCTTTCGTTCTTTTGTTCCCCAATCTCAAGAAGCTGCTGTCAAAATTTCCCACCGCAACATCCGAAACACTCCCTTGGAGATTAGGGTTAATATCCAAAGGACTGGTGACAGCTCTCCTAATATCACCGATATCCGGCTCGCAATTTATAATGCCAGCCACGCGTTTGGTCCGCCCCAAGTCTTCCACGATCCAGCCCACCTTGACTACAGTTTTCTCACCTTTCCTGGCCCATCTCGGCTGTTCGGAAACATCACTGTAGACCCATGCAGGTGTGATTTTGGGATAAAGTGCGCGACCACTGGCCGCGTAAGCTAAGAGCAATTCAGCCGGGAAACGGGGAGGTACTTGGGTCTTATTTATTATTATTAACTTCTTTATATCGACGAGAGTCTTGGCTTTGGCCAGTCGAAAGTGCTTAGTTCTTGCGTGGGCCCCAATCTACCCCGCAAACCAATATACTTGATTTGGATTTTTTTTCTTTTTTCCTCTCTTTCCTTTCTCTTCTCTATATGTTCTCCTCCATCGAGCTTTTGCGCGGTGTGCTGTGGCGTTTCCCCGGCGGAAGAAAGCAACTTCTCAATAGCCAGGCCCAGACCCTATGTAGTGAGACGGAACGAACCAAAGGAGCCTTTTTATTTGACAGGCGGCCGACGTCTTACAGCCTAGCGATGCGGGCGATATCTACGGCGGGCAGCACCAACCTGAGCAAGCTCAAGTGTACCCCAATTATGGTTGATTCCGCCTATTGTCTTCACCCTACGCGTAGTACATACTGTATGACACAAGGAAATACGGCATCTTGCCCGGCCATGATTTCCGCACGCTGTTCAAACAGAAGGAAAAAAAAAAAAAAAAAAAAAAAAAAGGAAAAACGCACTGCACTTGATTGGTTACTCTTTATTATACACCCTTGACCTTGAAAAAAAAGTTAAGTAGCTGCGCTCGTCATTGCCTCCCAAGAAGCACCTTGACAGCCCGCGGAGGGACGTAACCAAAATTGATCCCATCTTTAAAGTGAAATCCGATTTTGACAGCCTGTATTAATATCGGTCCCTTGTAGCTTTCCGGTCCAGGCTCCGTTTTATAAAAGGAACCACCGCGTCCCTATTTTAACCTTTTGGTTCTCTCATACCTTGGAAACGAAGAGGCAGTGGATTTCGTCAGTCCTCTCCAAGTTTTCTTTTCCCCCTCACAAAAAGCTTAGTGACTTGTATCCTACAGGACACAAAGGGAAACAAGAAGACAATGCGTCTCATCAAGGCCATCGCCTCCGCGGCGTTGGCGGGCCTCGTTGCGGCCGATGCCGTCAACGATTTGGAGAATAAAGGTCGGCCAGCTCTCGAAGCCGCGATGGAGAAGTCCACGACGTGTAGCAAGGACAAGCTGAAGGTTCGAAGAGAATGGTATGTTTTATCTACAATCGGTAGCGACACGGATCGGGAATCCGCCAACTCTATGTTATTGCCTAGAGGAGGTACATCTGCGGGGCTGTATTCATTAACGATCACCCTAGGGGCGACATTTCCAAAGAAGAACGCAAGGCTTACATCGACGGCGTTCTCTGCCTTCTGGACACCCCCTCGAAGCTCGATCCCGAGCTCTTCCCAGGTGCCAAGAACCGCTACGATGACTTTGTCGTAGTACACATGAACCAAACCCTATCCATCCACGGAACAGTACGTCCCTTTATCTCGTCAACTAAACTCTCTCTCGATTTCGTACCCATCCCGTTTCTAATGCCGCCATCTAGGGTAACTTCCTCGTGTGGCACCGCTACTACGTCTGGGCGTGGGAGAACGTCATGAGGACCGAATGTGGCTACAACGGAACGCAGCCAGTAAGCCAACACAAATTTCCCTCATCCACAGTGTTACTCTCTAACATACTTGCAGTACTGGGACTACGGTCGTTGGGCCGAGGATCCTCTTGCCTCCCCAATTTTCGATGGCAGCGACACCTCGCTCGGCGGAAACGGTGTCCCCGTGGCTAGGAAGCGAAACACTCGCCTCGACAGACATAAACGTCAGATGGAAATGCCGGGAATGCCCGGAACACCCGGCGGTGGTGCTGGAGGCGGTGGTGGTTTCGGTGGCGGCGGCGGCTTCGGTGGAGGTGGTGGCTTTGGAGGAGGTGGTGGTTTTGGCTTTGGTGGTGGTGGTAACGGTGGTGGTTGCATCGACTCTGGTCCTTTCAAGGAGTAAGTTCTGCGGCCCACCCCCGCATATGAGGAAGGTTTGAGAGGAAGCGAAGGAATCTTGGCGCTCACATTTTTTTTTGTAGTATGGTCGTTACCCTCGGTCCTATGTCTCCCGTCGTCCAGCCGGCTCCCGCACGCAACCCTCAGGCCAACGGCTACGGAAGCAACCCCCGCTGCCTTCGTCGCGACATCACCAACACCCTGGCCATGAACTTCGGCAAGACCGAAGATATCGTCAAGAGCATCACCAACTACAATACTATCCTAGCTTTCCAGAACTTCATGCAGGGTGGCTCCGGCGTTCACGGTGTCGGCCACTTCACCGTGGCTGGTGATCCGGGTGGTGATTTCTACATCTCGCCCAACGAGCCGTCGTTCTGGCTCCACCACGCAATGATCGATCGTATCTGGACGATCTGGCAATCCCAAGATTACGAGGCTAGGAGGATGGCTATGGAGGGTGGTACGAGCATGATGGGCGGCGGTAGGGCGCAGACCCTTGACGACCCCGTTGACTTGGGCGTCGTCGCGGATGTCGTCTACCCGATCAGGGATCTCCTTAGCTCTGTTGATGGTCCTGGTCCTTTCTGCTACGTATACGAGTAAATGACGCTCGATTTTCTTTTCTTCTCACATCATTAAGCTCTTTACCTAGACTGTGTGGGCGTACTAGCTCGCTGGACAATACGATTCATCAAAATGTAGTTAGGTTTCTATGATTCAATCATTCACGAAGTTTCATCATCGGGTCTCGAAAGCACAGGATAATGATTAGCATTTTCCTCTCCTGAAAATGTGACATAGTTGCTACGGTCGAAGATGGCTCATATCCTTGATCTTAGTAAGATATCGTTCAGCATCGGTAGTTGCTCCTAAATCACATTTCCAGATTGTCCTGTCTAAGAGTGGGTCTGGATTCGGGATTCAGCCGGAGTATATTGCTACTATATTCTCCTCTCTCACTTGGGGGAATACCCCAAGCCTCTGGACTAAGCGAGAAAGTGACAGCACGTTCCTTCTTATAGAAGCTGAACGTCAAAGGGTGAGTTGCCGCGTCAGCGACCTTTCCTGAAACGTGGTGCCGGCTCAGTTGCCGAGCTAATAGCTAAAATCAACATCAATAGTTGAATACCGGGTTCGGGCTGTTAATCGCACATTCATTTACTTGAACTCACTTTTACTAAATAAATCTATTAAGCAACTTTATCGGGATATGAGTCTGTCTTCGGGGGAGCTTGGTTTGTCAACCTTTCGCATTGGGAAATTATTGGGTAGATTTTCTTCTGCTTTTTATAAAACCTTTTCTTTTCCTTTGGATCAAGGGCGTTAAAGCAAGGGTTACCCTAAAGCAACCTTGTCATCATTATCGCAAAGGGTCGCCTTGAAACCGGCGAGCATTTCCTAGTTTTGTGCGACTGTCAGTGTACATTGAACGCGGCCACATGACTGGTGTCCAAAGGGAATAGTATCCCGAATCACTGGGGAAGCACAGAAGACTCCAAAACCTTTTGGACGATCTATACAGCATTGGCTTTGGCCCTAAACGACTTGTTGATGAGAGCGCCAATGAAACATGCATTATCACGCATATCGATCGATCGAATTCCCCCCAAAATCCACATCTACGAGAACATCCCCAACTGAGTCAACTGACCCACTATGAATTCCCATGCTGTTGCCTGTTGCCGGATATCCCCATCAACGACCTCTCTGAGATTGTGGCACATTTTGAGGCTAAGAATGAATTGCCTCCTTTGGGAGCATTCATCCTTGGATTAGCCGAATAGGAGAGGAAACTGGGTGCTAGGCCACATCTTGTTTCTTTGGACCGCGATCGATTTACCGCCCAAATTTACTTGTCCATTTATTCGTCGCTTATCCTATGTAGAAATGTTCAGTATAATTGGCCATTTACTCTTCGTATCACGGATTACATTCTTCTTTAGCAAGTTAACCGCTGCATGGAATGCGACCCTGCGGTTGATTGGCTCCACGCGACAATTCCGCGGTTGCAACTCAACCGAACAGGTCTACCCTCTCACATACGAACAACGAGACACAAGGAAGAAGGAATTATCGATTCCATTAAAGAAGATTCCATCTGCACTCTTGCCTCCTATCATAACAATAAGAAGTTATATCAAGTTTTCCGTCACAGCGACGGCAGCTTCAACGTTTGCTTCTTCGTCGAGTTTCTTGATGATGGTGTGCGGTGGGTTGAGCGGATTCCAATCGGATCTGCCGTCCATGACGTTTGGGCTAAGCTGTAGAGCAAGGTGGCCACCATGCGGTAAATCAATTGGCGATACGCAAGCTAATGCCATGGTAACTGACGTGTCATGTTACATTCGAAACAAGACTACGATCCCGATACCCTGTGTCCACAGGTTCGGTCGGGGTGAAGCCTTGACTGAAGATCCGTTCACGACAAAGGCATAGCTTATCATGGACTACGTGCCTGGACAGCCGCTTGACGTGCAGTCCTTGGCAGCTGATACCCGGGAACGACGCGACTATTTCTATTCACAACTCATCGATATCTTCGCTCAGATGCGCCAGCTTGAATTCTCCTCCGCAGGGTCCCTGATGCCAGATCCAAGTGGGGTGATAATCTCGTAATGGGACCCTTTTCCTCTATACATATTAACGAGGTGCAGGTCCAAGGATGCCAGCTTGTTGCTCCCCAGGCCGCGTTCTCCTCTGCCATCGTTTACCTTCACCAGTTGCGTGTGATGACAGAAGCATACGAGTTGCCCATGAGCGAACAGTCCCTGGAGACAGCCCACCTGGAGGGCTTTGCGCTCGAGCATTTGAAGAAAGAGCTCTTCAAGTTCATTGACCCCCATTGGGAGAGTGGACCGTTTGTTCTATCTCGCCTAGACCTGAGGTGGCCAAATATCATCGTGGATGATGATTTAAATATCCTTGCTGTCATCGATTGGGAGTGGACAGGCTCTATCCCCCGACAACTTTTCACGCCACCATCTTGGTTCGCAGGCCGCGAACCACTGTTTGTGACTGGCCGCGCTGAGTTTGCTCATTTCCGCAAGATCCTCCTAACTAAAGCTGACACGTCGGGCGCCTGTCGTCTGCTTTCAGAGGAATGGGATTTCGAGTTGCTGAGCCGCGTAGGACTTCCTATTGCCGAGCTGCTACGTCACCATTCTCAGCTGATTGCCATATTTTACCGGACCCTGTATCCGAGACTCTTCGCGGCACCTAAGCAAGAAGTGATCCCACGGTTTTTCGAAGATGATGAGAATGACAACTCGCACGGGAAGTCAATCGGAGAGTGGAACGCTCAGAGCAATACGCACAGTATCTTAAGGATAATGGATTATTTGTGCCTGACAAAGAGGCAAAGGCTGCCTGTAAGTTGGCTGAAAGGATGAGAAAACTAGAACAACAGTTAAAGGCACTGCAACAAGGCGCAGATCCCCTCTAAATGGAGAGCCGCGTTCCGCGTCTGCATCAAGCCCCTTGCTCGTAGCTTTCCAAGGCCCGTTTCTCAGCCCGTAGCCGGTCGAGACCTCTTTCCCTAGCCCCGATAGCTTTCTCGAAGTCTTCAACAATTTTCTGGTACATCTCCGTCGTCTGATCCTTACCCACCGTTTCACCCTTGCCTCGCCTCTTTGTTGAGCTCGACACACCGCGGGAAATTTGGTCCCGAGCAGATTCCGAGACATTGATAGTGTCCTCAAGCTCTTTTTTCTTATTCTGGATCCACTAGACTTCGCTTGCGATCCGAGCCTCGATGTCGGCGATCTGTTTCCGCCGTTCTTCCGTGATAGTGGGCATGTTAGGCTTTAGGATTTAGTCATTAATGTGCATCAAATATGTGTAGGTCCGGGGTGGAAGTTTACAAACGGACATGCCTTACTCCCCTACTCGCATTTTCTTAGAATACCAGAGAGCGTTGGAAAACCGAAGCAGCTTGGATCAAGACGATGATGCCCAAGCGCCTTTCAAGCAGCGCCACAGCCGGTTCGGACAAGCTGTGACAGCTAGGCTGCCTATCTGAAAGTGGAGGCTGGGGGAACAATGAACGCGGGAAGCATGATTGATCAAGTGAGATGACTACAATTGTAGTCTGAATCAGAAGAATGCTAAAAAATACCTTGCCGTCAGCAGAATGGTATGGTCCATGATGTTGGACACAATGGTAGAGCCGCCCAGCATTCTCTCAAAGGAGGTCGAATAACACTTCCTCTCATATGTTTCTCTAGCCCCGTGTACCCAATTCTCTACTCAGGATTACTAGTTGCCGATGAGCGTTCTTCGGTGTTCACTTCACTCGCTGAATAGGTAACATGCACTTCAATTCTGAGTCCTGTCATTGACGTGCTATTTTTCAGATCCCTCAGGTTTTATCTGGAATCTCAGAAACTAGAATGGGGCTGATGACACTGGCCGCTAGTCATGGAGCTACACGGTCAAGAGTGAACACGTCCTGGCGCCCTTAAAGCAGACTGCCTACCTCATCTGCATGGATGATGATGAATTCTTCACTTCCAATTGAAGGACGGGTTGGACTGAAAAAAATACATGCAACCGTCGATAACACAGCTGAGAAGTTCATCGCCAAACAATGCCGGACTTCTGACCCCAGAGTAAGAAGAAAATGGTCTCGTTTATAAGCTATCAGCCTGGCTGCGTTTGGTCGATGGCGACATGAAGTTGTTTTAGAGAATAGTAGTGAGGAGCGATGTTCCTGCTGCGGGTGCATTATTGTCAGCCGTGTTTGTGATCAGGCTGTTCCGTCCACAAACTGGGTCCTTCATCTTCGTCCTGCATTTCAGCTCCTGCAGCCAAGGCAATATAATGACAGGTATCTTGCTCTTTGTAGCGCCAAAACCCCAAAGCCCCGGTTGGGCCCCCTATCTCCAAGAAACGAGCACTTATCGCTTGCTGCCTGCTTTCGGCTCCCGAAGAAGCTTTGTCAAGGACGAGGAATCACTGCGCTAGATTCCGGCCCGCGCAGTCACATCGACCCCCGAGCGCCATCTTTCCTTTTACGATTTAGGCATGCGGGCTGGGGGGCAGTGAGTCCATCCTGTGTCACGGTATAAAATCGCCCACACCACTTGGTTCAAGACTCAGCTCGAGGTTCCGCGCCTTTGCCATTCTCCTCTGCCCTCGCGACGAACATCCCAACCTCCATGATCATCTCCATTTAAATCTTTAACCACGTTTCGAAATATACTAGCTACAGCTCTCTTTCTGTTGCCGATTAGCACACTCGGAGCCGCAAAAGAAGCAACGGCATTGAGGGATTTAATATCATCATCCCCAGGTTTTAGCGACCTCAGTGATTGCGGGCGTTGATACATAATGAACACCAAGGGATGCGGAGTGACAGGCCTGATCAGCCACTTTGGATGCGAGACCGTTGCCTGCCTCTGCTCTTCCGCGGGGAGGGGGGGCTACCTACACTTCTTGAGGGAGGGGGTAGATCTCTACTGCGGCCTTCGGGGGGACGATGTGACGCCACTCCTTGTTCTTAACCTTTCCAGCGAGTTCTGCGACTCACAGCCCTCTACAGCAGCGAATGTGCGAAAATTAGAGGAGAAAAAGCTAAAGAAACAACCTCCCCCTTTCGTCAATTACTACGATAAAAAAGAGGTAGTAGTGGTTTCTACTATATGACGTTTAAAATTTCAGGTTCTCTTTAAACAATAATGAATGCCGATTTCAGTTGCCGAGCTGAGGAGCTAGTCAGATATGTCTCGGAAACTATAGTAAAGAGCCCTGAATTTACGGGTTGGTGTCCGATCACTAGGACGATATCCGGGCCGGTGTCGTAGCCCTTTCTCGGCCACAGCATATCCCCTGGATCATGCCCATCTCCCAGAGATTCCGTTCCGGACCAGCTCAAGATCACGATTCCCAAGCGAACCACCTGGTATCCGGCTATTGTCGAAATTAGCCAGGACTTGTGGCAGGGCCCTGATAAGCAGGTTTAATGAATTGACCTCACACGATTTACAATCAGCTATCCCCTGCCCAAAATGTTGAGCGATTCACAACGATCACCACCACAGTCAAATTAATTAAAAAAACGGATCCAGTAACAGCAGAGCCGGAGGGCACGCATTAATCGGCTACGAGGGTCGGGTGCTAGATTGGAGAAAACAGGAGATCCTCTATCAGTTTCCGAGTGATAAAAAGGGGGAGGTCCCGGTTAGTCGAGATCTTCTAATTCATATCATCACTTTCTCATATAGCGTACTCAATCTCCAGGATGAGGTTCATTCAGTCTACTTTCACCGCTGTTGCTGCTCTTCGAATTGGCACTGCCATTGCCACGGCTTCGCCCGGTTGTGGCAAAGCCGCCCAGCTAACCGCCGGAAAGCACACCATTGATGTCAAGGGCAAACAGCGAGAATATATCCTCAAATTGCCCGATAATTACTCCCCGGATCACCAGTATAAACTCATCTTCACCTTTCATGCTCTCGGTGGCAGCGCCCAGCAAATCGCGGATGGAGGCATGGGAACTGAGCCCTACTATGGTCTTCCACCTCTAGCCAACAACAGCGCCATCTTCGTGTCGCCCAATGGCCAGGTGGCGGGCTCCGCATTTAACATGATGGGCTGGGGTAATGTGGGTGGTGAGGACATCGACTTTGTGGACGCGATGATTGAGGAGATCGAAGCGGCGCTCTGTGTTGATCAAGGCCTTCGCTTTTCGACCGGCTTTAGCTACGGTGGCGCAATCTCATATGCCCTCGCCTGTGCGCGCGCATCCAAGTTCCGTGCCGTTGGCATCCTTAGCGGTGGCTCTATGTCCGGGTGCGAGGGAGGCAGGCCCTCAGGCCCTATCGCGACGTATCAGCAACACGGAAGCCGGGATCAGGTATAGACGGCGTATTGAGATGATCGGAACAGAGGCTTTATGGGTAACTGACTCCATCTTCAAACGTGTAGGTTCTCAATATCGACACGATGGGCCGAGCTATCCGTGATACAATTATCGAGGCCAACGGGTGCAGCCCCGTCACTCCCGAGCCACAACCCAGCGGCAACCAAGCTACGAAGATTGAGTATAAAGACTGCGCCGATGGTTTCCCTGTTACCTGGGTCATATTTGACGGCACACACACCCCTGGATATGCTGATGCAGGTAATAGTGAGCCTATGGCTGGACCTAACTTCTGGCAATTTTTGTCGCAGTTTGAATAAAAGGGGTAAAGACACTGAACGGAAAGCAGCTTCCTCATCAAAGCCGAACTCTCCACTTAGCGATTACTGGGGCCAAACAATAGCTAGTATTTATAACGCGGTCACGGAGAGGAGATTTCCCCAAAGATAGCCGTTCCTCGGGGGTTTCAAATGAGATTTTTCTTCCCAAGGGTCCTCTATATAAAATGCCCGCAGACACTCAAATGATCGTGCTCAAGCCTCGGTGCGAGGAAATGTGAATCATGGCGACCGCCACGAGATGCTCAGCACTGAAACCACAGAGGACCATACGTTCTCAGGCACCCCAAACTTCTTAGATGACAGTTCCAAACCATTGCGAACGCGTGGCTTGCCGTGGTGGGCTTGGCTGATCAGGGGACCGCAGATCCACTGATATGGAAGGGTCGTCTTCATTCCGCTCCCTAAACAGGGCGAACTTTTCGTTTCCGTTCGACTTCTGGTACATCAGCAAGCATAGCCAGGCAATTTCCAGATGGCGTGCTGTTTGCTTCTGTCCAACAAGCCCATTAGACCCGCAGGCTGACCACAGGCGATCACCTCTTCAATCGATTAACCCGAACGCTATTACGACTCCTTTGGAGATCCCAAACGGCTATCCCAAACGGCTCGGCGTAGCCTTAGCTCGGGTAATGATTTCTATATGTGGGGGGCGGGGCAGGCAATAGCCACATGAAAGCCCCAGGTCCGCCTTTGTATATATTATAAAGATATTCCACTTAGGGTTGTGATGCGGATGATGGGCACTAGGCGCTATATTTCGTTCACCCTGGGAAACTTATCCATGGGAGCGGGAAGCCGGTGTATCAATTGAGATCTGCTCGTGACAGCGCTCTTGACACGGGAAATAGTAACCTCATTCATATTTGAGGGACTGCAAACCCTATTCTTTTAGGAGATCTCCTTAAGTCGTTCGGCTACGACATATTAAGTGGAGGGGTAAAATCAAAGTTCACACGTTCATTGGTGCGCATGTCGCATCGCCGAGATAGGAATCGTGGTCTCAATTCTGCAGCTAACCGGGGTTGGTGAAGGGAAGTTAGGTCCTCCTACCTAGACTTGGTGATGTCGTTGACGGGCGATATTGCGCAGATATTGCCTATCAAGGCTACTTGCTTGGAAAAGCTATTAGTAGTGGAAAGAACCAGTCACCATTTGATCTGGTGACCGGAGCAAACAGTTCGCGTTGCCACCTCGCTGCACACTTACTCGAAACTGTCGATGTCCCTGATTCGGTGGGACCTGGGTAGCATGCATACGCCAGGGTCCGGAGACGACAGACTCCTGTTACCATAGGCTAATAGGAAACGCACAATGGGAATAGTGATTGACGAGCCGCACCCCTCGCAGGTGTGCTGATGAGAACTTAAACCCCATTAAGATATGGGGGATGAATTCCTTCGCCTGGAACTTTCTGTGAGGCACACCTACAAAGCATTTATCCAGATGGGAAAATGGCTGGTATTCAGTGATTTCCTCGCTGTCCCTTACCTGTCGGGTGGTATCGACTACGTGAATGATAAATCGGTGGAAGCCCGGACAGCCTGTGCCCACAGTTATTAGGCGAACTGGCCCTGGACGTATCATTCTCGGGATACTCATCAAAAATCCCGTCTAAGCACTTCGAACCAACGACGCGTCACTTTATATATTAGGTTCGTATCGAGCTGTCAAGGTGCGGCTGCATCACAACCGGATCGAAAGCCGACTTTGAATCCCGGGTTTCGCTTCTCCCCATCGGCATGGTAGGACGGCAAATGAGTATTGAAGCTGAAAGGGCGGATGTTAATATGCGAGATGAAAAATAAATTGTCGCTACGTGCTTGTTCCGAGGAATCATGGCGGGTAACAAACGAAAGGAGTAATCTGAAGGCCTGAGCTTATTCACAGCCGCATAAATATGAATTTTACCCAAAACTGTATGCCCGAATCAGCCATGATTTATTCAACGGTGTACTAAGATTTCACCAAAAATTTAACCAAAAGTGGCACCGCTTGTAGCAAGATTATAAAAAGGGTTCCAGTAAACATCGACTCAGAACAAAGAATGTGTGCTCGGCTTCTCAACCAGTAGCCCTCATTAAATTATAGACTGGCCATTTCGACGCGCCCCTCGTGGTTAAAGAGCCCGTCTACTTCTCTTCTTCTTCTTGTTCATCCTCTACTCAGAGCCACAATGGCACTTCACAAATTGGCTGTGGTCCTCTCCGCCGTTTCGAGGGTATTTGGCGCTAGCTTAACCCAAGTTACAAACTTCGGCGAGAACCCAACGAAAATCCAGATGTTCGAGTATGTGCCCGATAAGCTTACAGAATCGCCGGCCATCATTGTCAATGTAAGAGGGCCGTCTCCAGCGATAGCGTGAGTGACACTTCATCCACTGAATCTAACTTTTTATAGCTTCACCCATGCGGCGGCAGTGCAACCTCCTGGTTCCGGGGAACAAGAATGCCTTCCTATGCCGACCAGCTTGGATTCATCTTGATATACCCCGGCACTACCAATATGAATAACTGCTGGGACGTACAGAGCGAAGGCAGCCTCACACATGGCAAGGGAGGTGATGCCCTCGCCATCGTCAATATGGTGGACTACGCTCTTAAAACTTACAGCGGAGACCCAGAGCATGTATACGTCATGGGCTCCTCTTCAGGCGCCATGATGACCAACGTGCTTGCAGGCTCGTACCCCGACGTCTTTGAGGCTGGTTCTGCATACTCCGGTGTTGCTCATGCCTGTTTTGCTGGCGCTCCGTCTGCAACTCCTATGTCGCCTAACCAAACCTGCGCCCAGGGACTCACGCATACCCCTGAGGAGTGGGCAGCCTTTGTCCATAACTCGTACCCTGGCTACGAGGGCCGCCGGACCCGCATGCAGATCTGGCATGGTAACTCGGATTTCCTTGTCAGACCGCAGTGTGCGGTGGAGGCCCTAAAGCAATGGTCGGCTGTATGGGGCGAGACCAACACCAAGAATGTCACGGGCGTCCCCTCGGCGGCGTACACCCAAATCCTCTTCGGTGATAATGGAGCCAATGTTATGGGTTTCTTTGGACAAGGTGTTGGACACACAGCACCTGTAAATGAGGAGTTTACACTTCGGTTCTTTGGGCTGATGGATTGAAGGTATGAAAGAAGAAAAAAATCTTGCGTGATGTTCGATGTAAAAGGGGCGGTGAATGTAAATAGTCAATAGCACAGAATGATCTCGCGCATCTCCCCTCTTCGTTCTTTAAAATATGGGTTTCGTCATCCTACTATCTATGCAGCCGATCAATTGCGTCTCTGCCGAAGGTCGAACGACCTAATATGATATCGCATGGCTCTTCTTTGTATCATCCATGAGCGATAGAGCATTCTAGTCTTGCAAGGAGGAGGTATGGGTCGTTTACGCCCATCTTTAATTGCTCTGATTGTGCTGCTGCCAACTTAGCTGACGTATTTTCTTCTTGAAAAACTAACCGCTCAGTTTTCTGACGATCTTGTCAAGATTAATCTCTCTGACGAGACAATAAATAAAAGGATGGCGAGACACCTGTGACTACGTCCCAGCTGCAGCTTAATTATGCATATACAGGGCAGCGAAGCGCGCGAATAGGCGTGACGGAGTCCTTTGCAGCATGCAATCCAGCTGTCACCCTTAACGGCCACGGGCATACCCAATGTCATGTGCATTGACCAATTAAAGTCACTCATCTCTGACCTCGCCTAGGCCGTGTGGTCGACATGCATTTGAGTCGCTCGCTGCGATTCGGCGTCGATACCGGGCGGCTCGTCATCCGAGGGAATACGTTGGAAATCTGCCGTTCACGGATCGCCTGTGGACAACGCTCGATTATTTAATCCCCGAACCAGGAACTATAGCCACATGGTAATATTGGGAACACCTTATTGAGGGTTAGAACCATTGAATCGTATCAGTCTTGTAGCCGTGGATGAACCGCTGACCTTCAGACTCGACTATTTTGATTCCGTCAGCGAGGGAGCGTACGTTATCGATTCCAATCAGTCGTAAAGCAATAGTTCTCTGTGGCTGTTTCTGGCCCCTCCAGGGAGGCGAATACCGCGTCCGGGAAAGAAAAAGATTTACTGCAACCAAATCGCTCGTAGTTAGCAAAAAGACCCTCTCGTAGACTGGATTATTGTGTGTCAAGATCACAGCCACTGGCCGGATGATGTATATAAGTGATCTCTCTTTGTCCGCGGCGCAGACTAGCTCCCTTCCTCACGCTGCTCCCAGGGACGACGTAGGGCCTAGCATTCTTGTGGCCACCGTGCCTCCGGCTCTTCTCACGGCATTTGACATCACCCAATCACCCTCCCGCGCAAGATCTGGGTTCATGCCATGAATTACGTCGCGATTCTTAGAATTCAAGCAGTCCATCTAGACGATCGTTCCGGATAGTGGCAAGAGGCGAAGATCATACTTTCGTTGAACCTGGATACCATTTATGTTTCAGCCACGGCCACTGACGGATCCGGTCCGCGACGGCCCCTCTCTCATAATTGTGGGGTTCCCACTCCCCCGTCTTCCCCTCCGAGCTGAGCGAAAGAGTAATTATTCAAAATCAATCGAGTGAGCGAACCCCTTCGCCATCTTAACTGGAGCCTATTGTTCACCACAAATACGATGGATACCTCCACGAAGGCGGAAATCTGGAGCCTAGCCTCCTGCTCCGCGGTGTTCCTCTTCACTCGGTTATATTCCAAGCGCCGCAACAATGGCTGGCATTTCGACGACCTCGTCTTATTTATGTCTTGGGTATGTCACATGCCGCTCCTCTGGTTTGCCTTTTTCATACCTTAACATAATGTGTTAGATCGCTGTAGTTATCAACGTAACTCTGATCACGATAATTGAAAATACTCGTCCGCGACACGGAACGCCGCCTATTGAAATCATCAATAGGCTCGCCCTCACTGGGTTATTTTCGTTAACATTCGCGGTCCTCAGCCAAGCATGGAGCAAGACTTCTTTTGCCGTCACGCTGCTTTATATCTCCGAAATTCAGATGAAATTCTTCCTTTGGTTTGCCATCATTAGCATCAACATTTCGTTTGGCATTGGAGCTCTATTATTCTGGATTGATTGTGAGCCTCTGTAAAAGGCCTGGAACCCTCTTACCGAAGGAGTGTGCTGGGACGTTTCCGTCCACATTATCTCTGCTGTTGTTGTTAGTGGTACGTGCACTGCCATCTATGGGTATGGCTCTGCTGGGACTCCGTGGGACTAATTCGTTGATCTTAGTATACTCTGGCCTCATGGACTTGGCTTTTGTATCTGTGTCTTGGAAGATAATTACGCCCCTGCATTTGCGTAGGAAGGAGAAGATAGGAGCACTGGCTGCTATGAGTATGGGTGTTTTGTAAGCCCAACCTGTCTCCGGGTCATGGCTTCCACTAACGACGAGAACCAACAGGGCCGCCGTCGCCGCTTTTATCAAGGCTTCTAAATTTCCATCCCTTCGCCTCGGTAGCGGTGGTAAGTTTATCTCTTCACTGAAGTCCACAAAATATATTAATGTAGCGTCTCTGTACCAGGGGATGCCATGCAGCTGGGAATATGGGGTGTTGTCGAACCAGCGGTCACCATCATGGCAGCCTCGACACCCGCGCTGAGGCTGCAACTTCGCAAGATAACAGACCCGAAAGTGATAGAGGATTCAGGCGACGTATAGTCTGTTGCAAGAACCATATTCCCGCCTCCCTCGACCCTTCGCCTCATTATTGGCGGTTTCTCGTCATTCCATCATTTTCCTGTCGATCTGCTCTGGCCAGGTTGGCCGAAAATCTGGGCTTAAATGGGACACAGTATTTATATTGAGATTGTAACAGATAGGTGCTGCTCTATTTCCACCGGAATGAAACTATTTCGAAGCAAACTGAGAAAAGAACTCCCAAGTGTTTCCGGGGGCAAATGGCGTAGATGATCCGCTGTCCACCTGAGACGGATTGTGGTCTCCGTTGTGAATCACCCAGGTGACTGGGTAGCCTTCGGTGCAGCCTTCGTACACGGTCTTGACAGACCTTCCTCCTTGAGGTTGTGGTTCCGTGACTGGACTGCATCCGTTATTCCTCACAAAGTTGTCGCGTAACTGACGGCCACCACTGACTGGAAGAACCGAGTCCGAGGTACCATGCTGTCCGTAGAATGCGACCGGTTGTGTTCCCCCGGCACATCCACTAAGCAACGAACCCGATATGACTGCAATAGCGCGGATATCGTTGGGCCGGGCGCATGCAAGAGCATACGACATGGCGCCGCCGTAGCTGAAACCGGTGGAAAAGCGCAGGCTGGTGTCAATGCAGAGGTCCTCCTCGACGACCTTTACCATTTCGTCAAAGAACGCAACGTCCTCGCCTCCTTGGTTACCCCAACCGCCGTTCAGTCCATTTGGAACAACGAATATGGCGCTGTCGTTTGCGTGTGGCAGCAAGCCGTAAAATGGCAATGCACCACCCTGGTTCGGATCCTCTCCGTTGACAATCTTGGTGGCGCTCCCACCAAGTTGGTGCCACGTGAAGATTAGGCGGTATGCGTGATCTTTGTCGTAAGTAGCAGGGACCCTCACAATGTACTGCCGCTGCTTGCCGTTAACTGTAATGGTATATTGTTGGCTGGTTATCGTCGGATTTCTCCCACACCCGGCCGAGTTCTCGGCGAGCACCGGGCGAAGCGATGCCAGAACAAGAAGAGCCGTGGCCATTAAGATTGTTGTCAGCCTCGGCATGCTTGCGATTAATTCAAGAGATGCTAGTTAAGTGACTGAACAGAAGCTTGGGAAAGTGGATAGAGACGGTGTAGAATGGAATTTGATGACTAGACATTTGCGAGTTCTTCTGGGAAAGGGATGTGAGACGGTTGATAAATACACACTGGCTTTCGGGGACGAAGTCGATATCGACAAATCGACACCATGTAGGGGCCAGCCATGCTTTGAAATTGTTGGTGCACTGCCCAGAGGCACTGGACAGATCTATTTTGTCGGAAAGAGGTTTTACTGCCTGGGGCTCTCCAATGTTCCTAGGTAGCAGAGGATATAAGTGCCGAATCGATAGCCGATCAATTAAAAATTAATACCTTTGTTAATTAGCCATACCCGTAGTCGACAGAACCTGCATACTCCGCATGGCATGATAGTGGCAGCGGCTCAATACAGCTATTTAATCTTCCAGCAATCAGTGCTTCATAAAGAAAGAAGCGCTGCGGAAACGTCCACTGCATCACGGAGTCCTCAATCCCAGTTCTTTAGCCTGTTGGCCCCCTCCTCCCCCGGGACCCTTTCCCAACTCCGCAAATCACCTCGGCCCTGGAAAGCTAGTCCCAATGAGGTGGCTAGAGTACTATCAAAATAGAGGTTGGCCATCTTGGCGCTTTCAACCTCAACAAGTCCGTGTGTACTCCACACCCGCTTCCACCCGTTTAGCCTACTAGGGGAGGGCAATGTCTTAATCGGAAAGAGCCAAGATAATGATTCTGGCTCTAGGTTCCACTTAAGAGGATGGGTGTAATGATTTCCAAAGTCTATTGGAAGGCTTCAATGCTATTTTATGGGTAATAAATAAACTTGAGAGCTGCTGCAGCAATCTAAATTCGGTATCGGCCGTTCCAACGGCACTTACCATAATTGATCCAGATATAGGGCGCGAGCGAAGTCATTCCACCGTATTTTTTTCAACCTGTCATGGCAGGAGAGAGGTTAAATGGGAACGCGAGGTCTAAAAGACTTGTTGACACGGGGCCAACCTAGACGAAATAATATCAAGATAAAACCTGCTTTTTAGATTTCGGACCGTTCATCCTATCTGAGCTTTATTAGTGGACCGAATATATTCTCTCCATCTGGACTTGCATACTCGACAGATAGAATGCTCCGAATCGAGTATCATACATGGCCATCACAGCGAAAACCTGTCCTCCGATGCAACATTTAAAAAGAAAATCCTACTTTCCTAAACCTAGGACGGAAAATCTACGCATTCCGTGCTTCTGATTTCGAGTTCCGGATGTCCGCTGGCACGTTCCGGGTCGGCAAAGTTGCCTCTCTTTTTCTCTCTTTTTCACTCTTAGCGATGTCAGCTGGAGCCCATCTGTCCAAACCCTACTATACTTCGGGCAGATGTCTTTCTCACTTTAGTTGCGAGTTAATGAGTGCCTGTTACCGTTTATTAATCTCAGGAATAGTAGCCGGATATTGAACAGATCCCGGCAGTTCATTTCGGCAACTAGAAATTAAAGTCGGACTGAACCATGCACATTAAATGACATAGCCCCAAGCGCGCTGATCGTAAGTTGACTAAATCACCCGAGGCTGAGTTCGCCATCGCCATTAAGTCCGTGAAAGAATCGCGTACTTTTAGTGTCAAGAATGATTGTATTTATATAGCATATATTGTGCTTCCAATCCATGGCTTCGTACTTAGGAGCCCTCTCTCACTGCCACCCTTCTCTTCCTCCGTTATTTCCATATTGAATAATCTTGTTTAGCATAAGACACCATAGCCATGGCTGCCATCTCCATAGCTACAGCTCTGCTGGTAGTATTTGCTTCTACTGCCGCAGGTTCTAGTGGGCCAAAACCCTTCGGATTCTTCGTGAACAATACGATCTACCAGCCTGTAGGAGATGAGAGTATCACCTACCCGCGCTTTACTGAGCTATCAGATGGCACGATTCTCGCAACTTGCTCTCTGTTTAATCATGATCCTGCTTTCTTTCCCGTTTTTGAAAGCCAGGATGGAGGTGCTAGTTGGGAGTGGGTCTCAGATCTACACGATACCCAGAATGGTTGGGGGTTCCCGGCCCAACCCGCTCTCACCGAGCTGACCGAGCCGCTGGGCCGATATGACGCTGGAACAATCTTGGCTTCAGGTAATAGTTGGAGTAGTGAGGGTACGCGCATCGATCTTTACGCCAGCACGGACGGGGCGAGGTCGTGGGAGTTTGTCAGCCACATCGCCCAAGGAGGTGCCCCCAATACGACCAACGGTGCTGATCCTATTTGGGAACCGTACCTACTGTAAGATGCAAGAACCGAAAAAGTACGTTTTGATTATGGCCTAATGCTGATTGCTTTTTTTTTATTTCTCTTTTTTTCCTTACAGGGTTTACAATCACTCTTTGATCTGCTTCTACTCCGACCAGCGTGATCCTGACCATGGTCAGAAGCTCACCCACCAAATCTCGACTGATCTAGAGACATGGAACTCGCCTGTAGACGACGTGTCTTACAATGAGTATCTGGCGCGTCCAGGAATGACCGTTGTGGCTTGGATCCCGCCCATCGAGAAATGGATAGTTGTCTATGAGTTCCCCGTTGGGAATTCCAGCTCTCACGGAGCCAACTACCCAGTCTACTACCGTCTCGCCGATACTCCCCTTGACTTCAGGTTCTCCGAGGGTCTTCCAATCATTATCAACGAGGCGAAGGCGCCTAATGCCAGTCCGTACGTGACATGGAGCCCGGTCGGAGGGCCAAATGGCACAATCATAGTGTCCGATGCCGATAGCAGTGCAGTATATACGAATCGCCTCGGAGGCACCCTTGACGGATGGGAGGAACACGACACTCCCGCCGCGCCAACATACAGTCGAGCCATTCACGTCCTCCAGCAATACCATGATCACCTTTTGATTTTCGGTGGCGAGACTTTTGATAACATGAGGGCAGGACTACGAACTCCGTTCACTGCAACTGTGGTGAACCTGACGGAATTAATTGAACGATATTAGTAGGACTGTGTTTTCCCGGTTTCCATCACCTTTTGCGCGTAGGAACCGTTGAGTCCTGATTTATCCGGTGAACATTAGCTAATCGAAGTGGCTGTTTAGAGGGCTTAAGAAGCGCAAGTCCGGCAAGGCTTTACTGTAGACGATGAAGGATTGGTTGTTCTACGGTCAAGTTCGGGAAAAAGGGCCAACTTCATGCTAATGTGTCGGTTGTGTATGTAAGAATAGAACCTGAAAACAAAACCCAGCGGCCTCTTATGATACGGCCTGGGATGGATTTGGGTTGCTAATGATGCTGTAAGGATCGCAATGATATTATTGGCACGATGATTTCTTTACGAGGAGACCGGATCTAGGGCGTGGACGATAACAAATATTTGCCTTGGACAGGACGATATTAGCAGTGGAGATTGAGATTTTACAAGCTGCGAAAGGAGTTTGGAGCTATTATTTCGTGTACTCTGCAAAGTCGGTCTAAGAGAATGTCCGACCCACAGGACGATTCTGGCTCGGAATGCTTCTCAACGATCATAACAACCAGGTATGGGGGAATGGTCCATGTATCCCTCACGTTACTATCTGGGCAGTCAAACAAGAGGGGCTTTGTGAACCACTAACGCGGCCTCGAAATGAGGTAGCGTGCCATCATTCCTCCATTCCTCTATCGCAGCATCAGCCTCCGGATCCCTTTGCTCATACCAAAACCAGCTCCGATAGCTCAGGTACTGTCTATCCCCAAGTTCCGACACGGTATATCCCTTCCGCAGGAAATACGCCGCTCGTAGCCACATATTGACGAAATCAAGCCGGGAGAGCTTATCCGGGTCCGGCACAGTGCCGGAAAACTCGATCCCACCATCACGAGGCTGCTCCAAGTCCCAAGAGGTCCGGCCAATCCTCGCCAGCCGCTTGCTAGTGCGCAGCAACTTCAATAGCCGCGCCGGGTCGAGTTGACCGAATTCCGAATCCGCCTGCTGGGCGAAGGCAGGGCTATACGCGTCGAGGACACGTACGGACCACTTGGGTAGCGGGTCGCCATATCCGGGAATGAGCCCGCTATCATCCCAGTCCATGCCTTGGACTGCGATGAGGACGGTCTTCAGCTTGGGAAAAATCCTATCGTCGGCGTAAGGGAAGAAGTCACGGTGTAAGATGGCCCTCCTCTTAAGCGATGGTTGCACCACGACAGTCTCGGCAATCTTGGCAAAGGGCAGTATCGAGCACACAAGCTCCAAATACGTCGGGGGCTCTTCAAGTCCCTGGACGTTGGCATTGCCGACGTACGTCTCGCTTTGCGCGATATCCCCCTTGCTTACAATGTCCGACACACCCCTTGGACCATAATAATAAACCACGTCATTGTGTTCGGAGTCAATGCAGAGGACATCAATGCGAGGATTGAACCACGTCTGTTGTGGCGGTCGGCAGATCGTGGGGAGGTCGACAAATGTGTATTCGCGTGGCTTGGGGGCGCGGTAGGTGAGACAGCGGTACCGGGCCTTGGCGAACTCCCAGGCCTCACGACATGTTTGGGCGATAACAGGTGGGCCGAGGGGCTCTACAATCAGCTCGTATTGACAGAAATGTAGAACGCGGCGGGGGAATGCGAGCTCGTAAACGCGGAAGCGGAGCTCTTTGGGTAGGTTCCCAAAGAGTGTGAAGTGTCCTGCCTCTTTCCTTGTGCGTGCCTGGGTCGTTGGGCGACCAGAAGCTGAATAGCCTGAACGAGTCGCCCTTTGGCGGCTCATCTTCTGAAAGTATGTCTCCCTCCAAGAATGATGTTTCGTTTCTCTTTCTTTCTCTTCGTTTTTGTGTCATTAATCTTGACCGTGGTGCAAACAGCTTGGGTTGGTCTTACACCATCACGTGATATATCTGGTGTCTAATCTCGCCTTCTCGCTCTGATTTCGGTCAGCACGGGGCAATTTGCTGTTTCTCATCCTCGGCTTCGGCTCGCAATCTCCTGGGAGCCTGATGGCATCCTCCATCTGTTTCTTATCGAGACCGGATACCCCAATATTAAATAGTTAAGATCAACGCGGCTCACCACGGAAGATGACCAGTTATGGCCTGTATTTTGGTGTTGATGTCTCAGGAACATGTCGTGAACGATTCGCGAAATTACTACGATTCTATGCGCTGAGGAAGTCTCCAATTCCAACACGGACAATGTCACAATCACCCCAGCTCCCCCATTTACGTAGCCTCATTCCATTTGTGCTATTACCCTGACGGTGATGATCTCGTAAAACCTCTTCATTATCCATTGTGCGGTTTGAACTCTCTTTGCCCCTCTAGCCTCGTATAATCAACAGGGCTCTAACGGCGACTTCACTCGACGGCGTAAAAGCATATAAATTATCACATAATACCTTTGTTTAAAACCCACTTAGCTCACTTACCCTATTATGCCAAGTTTGAAGACCTTAGCACCTATATATAGAGAGAAGAAACTTGGGTCATATTACCTGTACGGAGGGTAATAATAAGAGGACGATAATGACACGGCGACATAGAGGGAAAAAAAATGACCGCGACATGTGCCACCCCACCACAACTAACAGGGAGGGGAGGTATATCTGGCCATCTAGCTAGAAAACATCTGCAAAAGGCCGAGGAGGGAATATCTACCCATCTTTGACATTTTCCATGAGAGTGACAACTATCAGCGCGTATGAAGAAAGGGACGAATATCAGGATTCAGGGCGGACTTCCTGAAATGCGCCAACGATTTCCGCCTTGAGAGCCTGCACAACAGCTTCATCCACAAGATCAACGCAATACTCGAGCTCACAATGAGTATCCTCATCACCCTCATTAAACTCGACCAACAGCGGAAATTTCGCGCCCTGTGCTCTTTTGGGAACCTCTTTCACAGTCACGCCGGGTAGCTCCAGATACTTAGTTGCCAGGTCATCTTGCCGGTTATACACGACGATGATATCGAAAAGCGAGGTGGAGTTGGCGATCTGAAGAATATCTCGGTATGGAATAGCATGTGATAGAGAATCTCTCAACTCTAATTTCATATTCTCCACTCGCTCTTCCATCCTCGAATCGGTTGCTGGGCTTGAAACGCGAATAGGGAGACGGTCGAGGAACACGCCTAGCATGTCCTCGGTTCCGGGCTCAGTCCGGTCAAAATACGGAACGCCCAGAACCAGATCTTCAATTCCTAAGACCCTTTGCAAAGCCATAGAGACCACAGCGAGATACATTTCTAGGGATCCGCGGAAGCCACCCTTGCGATGGAGAGGAAATGCCTCCGTCCTTCCATTCCCAGACATCCAGGCCGATTTTGTCCCTGTAAACGGATTGGCGGGAAGGTCGTTGAACTTGGAGGCCCAGTAGGAAGGTGCGGCGGCGTTGGGATAGGCAAAGCCGACCTTATTAGAGGAAGTTTTCGAAAGTTGCCAGCTCGCCCACTCCTTGTATCCCGGGCTGGTCACTTCCTTGGACGTGGGGAGAGAGCCTCCAGAGACGAGTTGTTGATACTGCTGGCAGACCTGTTTGAAGAAAGTTTGTATCGAAACTTTGTCGGTTATGATATGATGTTGGATAAAGAGAAGGATCGTGCTTGTTGGGCCCTCTAGCAAACAAATTCTGGTGAGTTGGTCTCGCGAGAGGTCGAAAGGCTTATCAATATACTCCCGTATGACCTCGACGTTATTATTATTTTGCAGCCGCAGGACTGAGAAATGTGATTGACACTTAGCCCTTTGTAGTTTCCCATCGCAAAGGACATAGTTCGAGCCAAAAATCTCATTTTCCTGGACTGTGTAAACAAGAGCGTCGCAGAGTCGATCGATATCCACCTTTCCGTGAAGAGACAACTCGTATGCAACATTGAAAGTGGATGGGGATTCTGACTTGGAGTGAAGAGTGTAGAATTCCTCCTCGAGAGGTGAAACCACGCCTTCTGCCACTTCAGCAGACTCCCGATGTTTAATAAATGGGGTGGCAGCGGCATCAAGCCTATCTTCACCTTGTTTTGCGAGATAGGCCTCTATCGCCGCTGCCAAATCCCTCAACACCGTGTTTGTGATGACCATAGCAAGAGGAACCCGCTTCCCAAATGTAACAGACATTCTTTGTGCCATCGTTATTTGTCTCAAGGAGTTCCCTCCGAGCGAAAGAAAGTCATGGTTGGGACCGATCTGAGCGCCACGGTCAAGTTGTAGGACAGTCCTCCAGAGTTCGGCAATTGTGCTTTCTAGCGCAGAGAGAGGCTCCAGATCCGCAGTCCTCGACACTTCCAAGGCCTTTTCTTGGAGGGCCTTACGGTTGACCTTTTGATTGGGAGTGAGCGGGAAGGAGTTGAGAGCAATGATGGCAGATGGCTGAGCATACGCAGGGAGCTTGCCACGGAGAGCCGCTTGGATACTGTCGATATTTACACCAACGGGTGAGACGAAAGAAACGATGTTGTCTTTGGCAACAACGGCCACCGCATGGCGCACGGCTTTATCTGCGGACTGAATTGCGTTTTCGATTTCTTCGAGTTCAATCCGATAACCGCGTACTTTCACCTGATTGTCCACCCGACCGAGGAACTGTATCTCCATACCCTCGGTCCAGGCACCAAGGTCGCCAGTTCTGTACATTCGATGTCCCGGGGCAAAAGTGTCATCGAGGAATCGCGTCCTGGAGACCTCCGCCATCCCTGGTCCAAAGTAACCTTCCGCGACTTGAGGGCCAGAGAGATATAGCTCCCCAACCACACCAACAGGTGCTGGATTACCCCTGGCGTCTAGGATATAAGCCCGGACGCGAGGAATTGACACCCCTATCGTCACTTTCTCTCCCGGCACGAGAGTCTTAAAAAGGCATGCAATCGTGCATTCACAAGGCCCGTACGCATTGTATACGATGCGACTGGGGGACCATCTATCGGCTAGGACTTGGGGAACCGCCTCGCCGATCAAGTAGATGGAATCCAAGTTTGAGTGATCCTCGGGAGACAGAACTGAGAGGTGGGACGGGGTGATCATTGTTGCGTGGACTCTCGTGAGATGGACGTACGGGTCAGCCGGATCTTTGAGCACCAAAGTGGCTCCGTAGCATAGAGTCCCAAATATCTCGGCGATATTGACATCGAAGCCTCCTGAAAAGACCTGGGCGTGTCGTCTACCGGGCCCGGCGTGAAGTCTTGCTGGCTCATAGGAGAGGTGTGACAGTGTGGCGCCGTGGGTAATTTTGACGCCCTTGGGAGTCCCAGTTGATCCGGATGTGAAGATGACGTACGCTAAGTCCTGTGGTCCGCAGAGAGTTGGCAGTGGTTTGGATCCGCACGGCGAAATATTTTCGAGGAACGAATCAAGGGCAAGTTTCGGGCAGTCAATGAGTGTCACCAGGTCCTCGCTCGTCTTGTCAGGCAGTAGGCAGAGCGTTGCGGCGGAAGCTTCGACCATAATTTTCATACGCGCTGCGGGCAGCTTCGTATCAAGAGGTAGATATACGGCTGAGGCCTTGATGACGGCAAGTGCACCGATCAGCCAATTCAAGCTTCCGTCTGCCAAAACCGCGACAGCATCGCCTGGCTTTGTCGTTTGGAATATGCGACCGGCAAGATGGTTTGTGAGGCCATCCAACTCCCTGTATGTTAGGGACGTTGTTGGAGATTCCAGCGCTACCAAATTCGGCCACTTCTTTGCCGCACCCTCAAACGCATCCTTCAAGCTGGCTGGCCCTGTGTAGCATTCGAAGAGTGTTGGGGAGGATAGAGCCAAGCGGGTGAACTCCACAGGTTCCAGCATCCTTTGGAAGATATCGCGGATGTAAGAAATTCTTGGGTCTATGACTGCGAGGCAAATATTTCGAAAGTGATTCATCAGACGCTGGACAGATTCGCTTCGATACACAGACAGGTCGTAAAGGATCCGGAATGTGACCCTGCCATCTCTAGTCTCGACAAAGCATGTCAATTTGAACTCTGGACAATCTCGGCGTCGAAAAGTCCAAGAGGGAGGTTTGCCGTCTTCGCCTCTATCCTCTCCGGAAAACTCCGGCAAATGATCCTCAAGGAACACAACGGTGTCGAAGATTTTTGAGTGGCTACCTGGGGCGATTTCTTGAAGTGCATCGACAGCAAGCCATTGCTCCTGCCCAACCTCCAGTAAGATGGACTGGACTTTTTCAAGAAGGTCTGGTTTTGTCTCCAAACCACCTACACTGACAGGGAAGGGGCATGTATTGATCATGGGTCCTACAATTTTCTCGATTTGCGGAACAGTGAAGTGACGTCCTGAGAAAACTGCGCCGAAAACCACATCGTCTTTGCCAGTATATGCAGACAGCAGCAAAGTCCAGGCCGAGTACAGGATGACAGGAACTGTAACACCTAGAGCCCGAGAACATACTTCCAGGTCTTTCTGTAAAATTTGGGTGTCTAGGATTTGTTCACCAAAGGTCCTTGAAGGAGGCGGCTCGTCTGGCCCTAAAATCCTGAGTGGAGTGCCGTCCAAAACGCCATTCATCTTGGCAGACCAAAAGGAGATGCTCTGTTTGAGAGAGCGCTCCAGATGGGATTGGACCTTCATCGAATACTGCCAGAACTGTGGCGGAGTTTCTAGCGTGTTTCCCCTGAGGTGTGATCTGACCTCATTGACGATCGTAGCCATGGACCACCCGTCGATCCGACTATGGTGAACAAGCCAGAGGAGGGAGGACTCCCTATCCGCAGATTTGAGAAGATGGAAAGAATTAAGTGGGCGGAAGGTGTCAGTGGCGTCGGGTTGCCTTGTTGCCAACTCGAGCAGACGAGAGCACGTATGCTCGACTTTATCCTTCATCTCTCCGGCAGGCACGGACTCCTCGGCCCATTCCTGGTGATACTCACGATCGATGACAAGGTGATGGTTTAAGAGGTCAAAAGAAGAGCGGAAAATGGAGTGTCTCTCCAAGACCGTTTTCCAGGCATTCTGGAGCTGAAGGGAATCCGCCGTACCGGCACCTATCTGGAGGTCGACGATGATAATCATGTATCCTGCTGGAGCGTCACTGATTGTTGATCTCACCATGCCGACTTGGGTCGTCGTCATAGGGTAAGTGAGTTGCTTGGACTCGTCATTGTGATCATCTTGGCCCTTGGCGTCCGTGGAAACCTTGTCTGCCGGCAGCATGGAATCAATGCTCTCTGCAAAGTCCGCAATTGTCGGGCAAAGAAACAAGTTTGAGAAATGAGCTGAGACCTGGCGGTATGTCTGCAAGTGCGAAATGAGCTTGATTCCGAGAATGGAGTTACCTCCGAGTGCACGAAAGGACAACGACGCGCTGACCGCAGCACATGGAACGCCCAAAATCTCCGCCAGTGCCTCCTTGACGATTCCTAGCTTTGAGCTGCAATCAGCACCGGAACTCACTCCCCTCGCCATTTCGCCATCCAAAACCTCTTTCAAAGCCTGTACATCAATTTTGCCGTTTGCGCTGTACGGCAACTTGTCGATTGCGCGGACGTCATCTGGTACGAGAAAGTGGTCCTTTTCAAGGAGAAGCTGTTGGCGAAGCTCACCGAGGCCCGGAACAACGGGTGCAACAAAGGCGCACAGTCGCTGACGGTACATGAATGCCGTGGCAGACTGTACACCTGCAAGGGAGTAGAGTATTGGGATGACGTCGGATTCTAGGTTTATCAGGAAACCTCGATTCTTGACAACGCTGTCCTTTCGCCCTAGGAAGATGACACCAGATTCGACGCGCCGCCCGAGGTCAGATGTGCAATATAGTCGTTTAGCTCGCCAAGAGATGAACTTTTCCGCAGTCAGGGCGTCATTTTTGTAATATCCAAGGGCCAAACCAGGGCCCGAAAGACAAATTTCGCCTTCATCATCTTCCTCCATGTCCTCATTTAAGATGAATATTTCACAATCTTTTATCGGCTGGCCAATGGTGATGGTTTGACCTTGTTTCAGCTCTGTCATGGTTGCCGCAATGGTCGCCTCTGTTGGTCCGTAGGCGTTGAAAAGTCTTCGATCGTTAGATGACCACTGCGCTACAAGTTCTGGACTTGGTGCTTCTCCTCCGAGGAAGATTTTCTTGACATTTGGATACTGGTTTGGGTCTTGAAGCGTGCTCAAGAGGGTGGGTGAAGTTGGGAGGATGGAGCAGGTCTGGGCGTCCTGGATGAATTTAGACGGTTCGGACAGGACTAATTGGCCGCCGGCACATATCGTGCTAAAGAGAACACCATAGAAGGCTTTACGCTCGGGCGAGTCGATTGTTAGTAACTTGACATCACGCATATGTGGTCTAGACTTGGATCGCGCCTATACGTACCGTCGAAGGCGACGGAGAAGAGAAGTAATACTCGGTCGGACGACTGAACGTCCATGTTAAACGGATTTGAATTACCGCCTTGCCTAACGTAGTGCACAAGGCTCTTCTGTGATATTAAGACCCCCTTTGGTCGGCCAGTCGTGCCGGACGTGAATATTATGTACGCCGGGCTATTCGTATCCATCTCAACAAGCTGTGGAGGAGGTTCGATAGGGGTTGAGATTGAATCGAAGGTTTGATCGATCTGATCCGCACGTATGGCGTTTTGAATGTCGGAATGGCCAGGGGTAGTCACGAGAACACATTTGTGGTCAACTGTGTCAAGCACATACTTCACTCTCTCCGAGCTCCACGTGTCGTCTTCCATTGGAACCCATGCTGCCCCCAGACTCAGAACGGCGAGAATGCATGCCACCATCTCCAGCCCTCGGGTGGATAATATGGGAACCACATCCCCCGCTCCAATGCCTCGACTTCCCAGAAGGGAAGCAATCCGCAGTGATGCCACATGAAGATCGGTATATGAGAGAGTTCTGTCTCCGTGGCAGACAGCTGTCGAGTCTGGGCGTCGCTGGACATGGTGGAGGAAGAGATGGTACACTGACGATGCCATAGGTGCGGTCGATACAGCCATGCTGGTTCCGCAAGATAGAGATATCGGGATTCATACCCAGGATGGTGGTCGCATAAAAATCAAAAGGCGGAAATGCACATGTAGAAAAAGCATCCAAGCCAGTAGCGATGTATAGGTTAACCTGTACAGCTTCAAACGCAACCTTGAGGGCGATCGGTGCTGGAAGCGATTGGACTGGCCAATCTTTCACGGACTATCAGAAGGGCCTTTCCCGGTTCATGCGGGGGCCCCCGAGAGCGAATATTGTCGCATCGGAGTCGGGATATAACCCTCGGAGAATAAACAAGTCTAGGCAGACTCGTCCTCTCCTCTGCCTGACATATGCATGCGACAGCCATCCATACGAATTTCTCGAGGGCATAAATGTTCTGAATTGGATATTGAAGGGGCTAGCTTTCCGTACATAATGATCAATGGCGTGCTATTATCGCGGAACAAATTTCAAAATTTGTGGTACAGGTTCACTCAAAATAGCTTAAAATATGACGGACCGTTATTATGTGGCTCTCGATCTTCCATTATCATGTAGAAATCTCTCTATTCAGGGAAAGAGCGGCTTCTGCCCGAGTTGCTCTGCCATAATCTGAGAAGCAGCCCCAGTGCCTGCTAATGTTCCCGTGAAGATAGCATTTGGCACGCTCTTCAGCATCGCCGAGTTGTCGCCAACAGCAAAAACTCCGGGCATGCTCGTCTGACAGAATGGGGTATTGACCTTAATGTCCCCATTGGGGCTTCTCTCGATTCCGAGCTGCTCCACAAACGGCCCTCGTACTTTAGTCTGCGGAGCGTGGGCTAGAAATCCCTCTTGAACTTGGCTCCCGTCTTCAAAGTGAATGACAATCCCGGAATTCTCCGATCCCATGGTGAATTTTTGGATGCGCCGGGTATCGATCTTCATCGCAGTCGCGCCCGCGAAGGATGCCGTGAGTTCTTCTACCTTATCCTCCGCGCCATTCGTATAAAACGTCACGGCTTTCGTGAGGGCGAGGACTTGACGCGCGATGTGGAGTGCCAACGCGTTGTTCGTGAGGCTGCCAGCAACGAGGACAGCTGCGGATTCGCAGTTTCTCTCCTCGAATCCTTTGCAATACAGACAATGGAAGCTATACCGGTTAGATTAAATAGCAAGAATTAGGGGATTATGAAGCAAGACTAGAGTTCGAAGTTCTCGACGTACATTGATTTACCCCAGCACTCACTATAGCCTTCGATATCAAGCATGATATCCTCAACGCCAGTTGCGAGGATAAGCTTCCGGCCCCGCCATGACTCCTGCTGTCCTTCGGTGGTAACCTCGAACAGGTTATTATCCAATTTCTTGACAGATTGGACATTTGCGTCATTGAACGTCACAAAATCGTAGCGAGAGGCAATGTTATCCCGAGCCGCTGCCCTGAAGTCGGAAGGAGAGGCATGATCGAACCCGAGAAGCATATGCATGTTTTCCGTGGCATCGTTGCGGTAGCTGCCGCTGTCAAAAACGATGGAGGACCGGGCTTGCCGCGCGAGTGTCAACGCCGTGCTCAGTCCAGCGGGTCCGCCACCGATAATGAGGGCATCGACTACGGCTCCCTCCATGGTATTGATGAAGGGATTGTGGTGTACCTGATTGAGGAAGGCAAAGGAAAGGTTAGACACAAGAGCTGGTAAAGATAGCTGCATCTGAAGAATGCTAGATCCCCGGTTCTTAGTCTTGGACCGTTTAGGTCTAGCTGAGGTGGAAGGGCAGGTAGAGAATGCGGAAAGTTTCGGCACCTGGTCAATAATCGAGGAGGATTTAGGACACGAAAGAGGCATGAATGGAAAATATTTTTGAGAGAGAAAAAAACCGGCGAGAATATTGGTTACTTCGGTGTTGCCGGCCCATTTTCCGGAGCTCTAATCGGCGTTACATTCGGACTTTGGGTGGCCCTGCGGGGCTTTAATCGCCGACGAAACTAGTTTAGTCTACCGGAAGAGCCCTACATACAGACGGTGGCTTAGTTCGAGGTGGAGTTCTCATTCCGTTTTTGGAACTTGAAGTCGCCAAGAATCCTTTCAATCCGGGCTAGTCCCTCATCCAATCTCTCATTTTGTATCCCGTAGCAGATGCGGAACCAACCAGGTTCTTTGAAGTGGTAGCTCGTACCCGTCGAGAGTGATACACCAGCGCTTTGGAGACAGTTGTGAAATTCTTTCTCGTCCCTGAGGTCTTCCGTCTCGCAAAGCCGAGCAAATACGAACATACCACAGTAGGCTGGGATGAATTTAATATCATGCCGCGTAAAGAAAGCCTCCATCTTGCAATATGCTCCCCGAAGCCTTGCTCCCATCTTCGTTGTCACGTATTCGATTGTACGTGGATTAAGCATTACTTTCTCGGCAACGAATGCCGCTATCGTGGATGTTTGACTGTGAGTACTGAGGGCAGAACCCATGCGAACCGCGGCATTAGTCTGCGAGATAAGGGCACCCTATAAAGCAAGATGCGAAATGAAATAAGCCAAGCGTGCATAAGATATTTCTCAGGAGAGATGTCCCTACCAAGCGGATGCCATTACAGGCAAAGTCCTTGCTCAAGCTATATAGAACATGAATCAAACCGTTCGGATTATCTAGGATCAAAGCTGAAATGAACTTGGGATTGGGAGCCGGGCCAGGTTGCCCATTGTGCTGAGAGAGGGCGTAAACCTCATCCGATATATAGTGGAGTTTGTGGAAGGTACAGAAATCGGCGAGCGCATCGAGTGTTTCTCTCGGATAACATCGTCCCAGGGGGTTGTGCGGGTTGCACACGAGAATTGCCTTTATCGGGACGGTAGCTTCCTTCAAAGCTTTCTCGTAGTGGCCGATGCTCGATCTGTCGAAGAATTCGTCGAGAGGCACGTGGACCGGGACTGCTGTGACTTGGTTGTGGACGCTGAACGACAGATCCAAGCCGGCCCAGTACGGCGTCGCGATGAGGACTCCATCGCCAGGCTCGAATATCTGTTCGATAAGAGCATTCAACGCAAAGCTTGCTCCGGCAGCCAGAACAATATGGGAAGGTTCGACAGGAATTTTAGGGTTGAAGTAGTCGTTAAGCAATTTGGCAATGAGTTTTCTCGCCTTGAGGCTACCTCCAACTGGTTCAGGGTATGAGAGATCCTAAAATTTAATTATGAAGCCCACGTCAGCATCTAATAACTCGCCATCATGCCGAGGCATTACGGAGACATTGTTGGGGCGAGTTTCCATACGTAATGCGTGAGAGAGTTGGGGTCAAGTAGCTTCGGAATGTCTTTGAGGATATCACCCATCAACAGGTAGTTCTCCGCCGTGCTTAGATCGACGATATCAGGCGCAGCGGTGATGACAGCGTCATATTGTCCCAGAAGTCGAGGAATGATGACCTCATTGCGCTGCTTGCAAATTCTAGAGAGCATTATGTCCGTTGAAAGTTGACGGGTAGGGGATGGAGATTGAGTGCAGACTTAGCACCATCATCCCAGTGTTTACGAGGAGCCACGTCCCGTCCAGCATTCGGCATATATGTTCAAAGTCCCTAAGGTGCGCTGGAGCAAATACTTACCGACAGGCCAGCACAGGGGTACCTCGTCGGGCTTGCATCGGAGAGGATGGAGGCTCCTCTTGTTCGCAACACCAGAGTATGCCTGAGTCTACTAGTACCTGACGCATCTCCTCATTGGATGGCACGCCTCAATACAAGTGACTTATTAGATCCTTATTTACTTCACGCAGTACCTCCCGAAACTCTTGAAGAATATTCAGTTATTTCAGAAACAACTCGGTGGATCGGTCGAAGACGAGATCTTTGGTGCTTAGTTGCCAATCTACTACGCTTTTTTTCTCAACCTTAGTTAACTCGGAACAAGATGGCCATGGAGAATATCTTGACATTGTGAGTTTCGATCTAGTCTGTCTGGTCTCTCGACAGAGGATCGGCAACTGACTCTGAGATTTACAGTGTTCGGCGGCTACGTTCGTGGGTCACCGAAAGCCACAAGACAGGGAATTCCTCTTCCGTAAGTGCCCAAGTTTATGGTTATTTTGGATTACAAGTGGAAATTCTCACGCCGATATGGCTCTAGAACCCCGATAGAACGATAGAGGCCGAGTCGACGGTGAAGCATCGCATTGACCGCAGCCGAGCCCTGTGGGATGCCAGCGCAGGAGAAATGCTGGATAAGATGTTGCGCCTTACGAACATGTCTGACACATCACTACACCTTCACCGGTCGTTCTTCGCTGACAACGTGGCCGCCTCCCTGGGACCTCATCCTGACCTTGAAGACCGAAGTCAAGGGAGATCGATGACATGTTGCGGGTGGAAAAGCTTCATGACTGACGACCATACGCCCATCGAGCTCAGTTGGAATTGGTCCTCGAAGGCCAGTTCGCCGGTAGTTCGATATTCAGTTGAACCCATCAGCTGGCGGGCAGGCACCGCGGAAGACCGGCTCAACACGACCGCTGGCCCGGCATTGCTTGGCCGAACACTCCCGTTGTCTCGTAATCTCGACCTACAATGGTACCGGCATTTTCTGGATTCGCTGACTTTGCGAAGCTCGGAGCTGGGGGAAGATTTGGGCAAAGCGGACTCGAGTTCTGCTTCGCAAACCTTCATTGCGTTTGATCTTCAAGAGGACAGCGTAGTAGTGAAATACTACTTTATGCCGTCTCGAAGGGCAGCACTTGAACAGAAGTCAAACTTTGAGCTTATTCACAGCGCGATTAGCAAGTTGGCACTACCAGAAACCTACTTCGCTACATCGCTGGACATGATTACAGAATACATGGGAATGGCAAACGAATCGGACAAGCTGGTCGCCGAGATCGCAGCCGTCGACTGTGTAGCTCCCGCCCAGTCGCGCATCAAGATCTACGTTCGATCCCGGAACACCACGTTCGCCAGTATGCTAGACTTGATGACATTAGGAGGCCGGCTGCCGGCATTCACCGACGCTAATGAGGCTTCTCTACGCGAGCTCTGGTGTGCTGTTTTCGGCATCGACCCAGACAAATTTTCACCGGCGGACCGTCTTCCCGGCCGAGACCACCGAACAGCTGGAATTCTGTACTACCTAGAACTAAAGGCCAACTCACCGAGGCCCAAAGTTAAGGTGTACCTCCCCGTACGTCATTACGCGCACAGCGACGAACAAATCGCACGTGGTCTGTCCGACTTCATGAAACGCAGAGACAAAGGTCTGGTAAATAGGTCATACTATGACGGTGTGACTCGACTTTGGTAAGTTTAAGCCCTCGATAATCGCATTAAACTATCCTAACAATGCCGATGTCATGCGTGCTATGGCTAACTATTTCACCTCTATTTTCTTTTCACTCTGTAGCACACATCGAAAACTAGAGGCTGGTCTCGGTTTTCACACCTATGTGTCTTGCGCTGTTGATGGGGATTCATTGGCTATCACGTCGTACTTTAACCCCGAGATTTACTATGATCACTAGGTACATGGTACATTGGTTAGGGTAGTGTGCCAATTTGGTTCAGTTTGCCCATAGGGTTATGGTTCTGAAGTCTGTGCTGGCCTGTATTTCTAGCGGATGTTCTCCTCAGTTTTAAACAAACTCCCTCTTTGATACATGATACAGCGAGTTGGAATCTTCAATGACAATTCCATAAGTTTTCTTCCATTCGAGAACATGTTACCGGGAAGCAAGGGCACAATGGGTATCTTGGTGTCATTTCATGTAAATAGAACGCCGACACCGACGCCGATATCCTCCGGATACTACCGTTTCCGTTTCCGCGAAGGAGCTGACCCGGAGAGGCCAATTGGCTGTTGGATTTGAAGTTTAGCATATGTTCAATTCAGCCCGTAAAACGGTCATGAGTTGATTCTTCCCCGACTGGAAAGCTCCGCCACTTGGTCATCTCTCTCCGTATCGACACTCCCTCTTCGCAGCATCTCATGGAGGTCGTAATCCCACCGTACATTACACGACTGCTCGTGCCAGTCTCGGTAGTCGCCGGCGTCTGGATTACAGGGCCTGGCCTTCTACGCCTTCTCCAGACCGGAATTAACGTTCGTTTCTTTTATCTCCCCTTCATTTTTGGGTCTTTCGTAACTTTCGACGTCGTGGAAAGGACGGAATAGCCGTTGTTGTTGACCTGGTCACTAATTTTGTTGCAAGAAAAGGCGCTGCTCGCTACCTCGAACCGGATACGAGATCAGGACGGTAACGATATTCCTGGCCCTTCATGGCGATGGCCTGATGGACAGTGCATTGAGAAGTTTATCTATGGGAGAGAAAAGAGTAAGGAATGGGAAAGATACGGATCAACGTATCGAATATGGGCCGGTACGGCTCCAGAGATGTCAGTTTAAGACAGAAATTCCTTTGAGAGCAAACAGCAGCGGCATCAAAATCCCGTGCTAACACAGGCAATTTGTTACAGAGTCATCAGCCAGCCAGAGGATATACGGGCTTTCCATTCCGACTCCAATAAGCACGAAAAGGCGCCGTCAAGTAACGCCGGGTGGTTGTTCCATCAATTGATGGGCGATTGCATGGGCCTTATTAACGGGACAAGATGGAAGAAGCTGCGGAGTGAGTTCGAAGGGCCATTTCTGCATCGAAATGTCACCGAAGCCAGTCCAGCAGTGGACCAATTTGCCGCAGATTATGTGGAAACCATAGGAAACGGCCATTCAGACGAATTCGTCATGGAAGCTTCCAAGATAGTTTCCAGGTATCCCTTTTTCAGCGTTGCTCAATGGCTTTACGGACCTCTAAGCGACGACGAAAAGGAGAGACTGTGGGAGATCGGCGGCAAGAGTCTCTCCATGATGGGATACGTCCTCTCTGGGGGCCTCTTTCGCTTTTCCTTTGCCCCGTACCTTTACAGAAAGGCAATGCGAGACTTGGAGGATTTCCGTGCTTCCTGGACTGCATTCAACGAAACCATGTATAATTCCAGAAGTTCCCTTGAGCATCGATTTCCTATCATGGATATCTGGCAAGAGGTAATCGACGACAGGATATCGAAGCAAGAAGTTTGTTTCACGGCGTTATTTTCCTTAACTGTTTTCACTTTCCTAACTAAATCGGCAGGTTCTCCAAACTCTTAGCGAAATTCTGTTTGCGAACTTAGACGTGTCCACTCATACCTTTTCTTGGATGGCCATATTTCTGTCGCGAAATATTGCTTTTCAAACGGAACTACGAGAGGAGGTTCGTGCACATAAACATGAGCTGGCCGAATATATGAGCCGCAAGGATTCGTTACTCAGATACTGCGTTCTGGAGACGATGCGGCTCCGGCCCTTTACGGGTAGGTTGGATTCTGGAAAACTTACCTTTCTCGCTCCACCTCTTGCGTTCACTCGGCTAAACGAAGTATTGGCACAGCGTTTTCGATCCCGGAGAGCTCCCCGGAGGACAAGATTCTGGGCGGGTTCTTCGTTCCGCGTAACGTGAGTTCCGCTATCTGCTTCAATACTTTTTCTAGTCGTAGTACAGGTAAAGTGAAAATTGTTGGGATGATTGCTTACTCCAAAGCTTTCATGTGTTAGACATCGGTCGTGGTTGACGCACTCCGTTTGAACTATAATAGCTCATTCTGGGGCGAAAAGGCCGACTCATTCTCGCCGGAGAGGTTCCGGAATATCAAGGCTACAGATGTATGTCCCAATAAAACCCCGGCCGTATCACATCTTCTGCCAAAATTCGAGTCCTAACAATACTGAACCAAGCTCCGATACAATATGTTCACCTTTGGATTTGGGGCCAGGAAGTGCCTTGGTCAGTATTCCGCGGAAGCCATGATGAAGTACTTTTTCTACCATCTCATTGAGACGTACGAGTTGGGTGTACCTGAAGGGGACGAAGATGGAGATGTACTGTCAAGAGACACCTGGGTACCAATAACGAAGGCGCGGATTTGTATGAAGATCTTGTAACCGGGAAAAGGAGTGTTTTACAATGTCCACACTGCCCTTTGTCGACCTTGTTGCGACCTTGTTGCTTTCCATTTCTTTTCGCCCCCCTTTCCTGCGATTTCTAGCCAACTTTCAATCCAAGACAGATTTAGTGCAACACTCACTAGGGAGATTGTAGTAGTAGCTACTCGGGAATTTGTCACTTGAGAGGGCATTTGCTCGGGAAGCTTATTACACCCGGTTTATTGAACAAGACTACCTAAGGTGGCTGCAATATTGGAAGTCCACGCTCAAGCTTCCGCAAGGTTCTTTTCTTTCAACTCCTCCTCCGACAGCCCAAATCTCGCCACACGATAGAGGGCCTTTGCGACAGGCGGGAGGCTGCTTACTCTCTCACTCCATTTCTTCAAGTTAGGCCACTCGTTGAAGTCTATATCCGCCGTCGCGGCGACTCCCTCGTTGGCCAAAGGATAAATGGCAAAGTCGGCAATGGTTGGGCGATCAGCAATGGCCACGTACGTTTGTCCCGGCTCGCTGAGGCGCTTTTCCAGGAAGTTGTACTCGGATTTGATGGAGTTGACAAAAACTTGAAGGGCGTCAGCGATGGCAATTGGCCGGGGAATCTTGAGCAACAGCCACCACTTTCCAGTGGCGCCGAGCCCTGCCGTGTACGACATGAGCCAGTTCATGATGATGGTGCGCTCGCAGAGATCCCTGCCCTTATAAATACCCTCCGTATCGTACTTGTCGGCGAGATAGTACAGGGCCGCCGAGCTTTCGAATACGTTCATTCGTTGGGTCTTCCCTGACACTGTCTCGTATACCTCGACGTCTTCGATGGCCGGCACCATCTTGTACGGGTTGACGTCGTGGAACCATGTTTCGTTGGAAGTCGACTTAATTATGTGGATTTCGTGGGGGATTTTCAGCGCCTCGATCAGCATAAGCGGCTTTACAGAGTTTGCAGTAGATGTTGGGCTGGCTAGTTATGGAGAGAACTAGTTGTCAGCTATATGACGATGCCAGACAGGGGGATCAAGCTGGATTAGAATTTCAAACTCACCTTTCTTGACATACAACACTAGCCGATCGTCAGGGATCGACGGTCGCTTGCTAAGATCTTCGGGAACATCGGTGGCCATTTTTGGAGGACTTCGTTAATTGAGTGCAATTGTTAGACTAGGCAACGGACACGAGTATGAAGTGTAAGACTTCTTCTGGGTTATCACGAGTACGAAATGGGCTGGAGGTTGGCAATGTTGTAGCCTTAAGCCAATAGCCGCTCATCGGGAAATATGAACATTGTGCCTCTCGGACTCGCTCACTCGGTGCGGGTACGGAATGGAAGCCGAAGAATACACTCCGGCGCTGTCTGTCGGCGAAGAGCGAGATCGGCGCCTTACTTAAAGTGAACACATTCGAAAAGTTTTAGAGCAGTCGCACAGCATTGAGAGGCTTAATTTCCAGTAGAATTTATTTAAATAAATATCGATATATCACTCGATTTTCAGAATTCTTTTTCTACTGTTCGAGGATGTGGTACGCTCGCTCATGGGAGTGTTCATGGGGGATGTATTAGTGGTCCATGTCTGGTTCAAGCCGACGGAAACCAAGTTGAATTTAACAGTTTTATGGCAGCAAAATAAACCCAGTTCGTCAAGAACTCGGTTTCTCCGTCTTCTCCGTCTTCTGCTTTGTCGATTTCCATTCAGTACCCAAGGCGCCCACCATCGCGGCCGCAGATAGACCAGCGGCGATCATAAACGTAGTCGAAAGTGCCTTGGCGTACACAGGAAGGACAGTTGCACGATCCGAGTCGCTCAAAAGATGCAAGAACTCAGTTGCTCCCTCATGAAGCAGCGCAGCTGCGTCTAGCTGGGGCAAGGCAGCCGAGACGCCGGACACAAGCCGGCTCTGGAGTTGGTTCTGTGAGATGGAAACAAAAATGGCCCCACCAAGCATCTGAGAGAGATTCATCAGGGCGACGCCAAAGGACACGTCTGTTTCTGGCAGGATAGCCTGTACGACGATTAAAGGCTGTTGGAGGCAAAACCCGATTCCGAGGCCAAGAAGGACCTGGTACCCTATCCATTCTTTGCTTGGGGTGTCCACGCCGAATGTCGAAAGTAGGCCAGCGCCGACCGAGGCCAAGATAGGCCCTAGAATCATTGACGGGTTGTAATAACCGACGGCACTTGTTAATATGCCTGAGAGGATAGACATGACGAAGAAGCCGAGGATCAACGGAAGTAGCATAACTCCCGACTTCACGGCGCTCGCACCCTTGACAGCTTGGAAGTAGATGGGGAGGTATGTGACCGCGACGAACATGGCGCCAGAGGTTGTCATGGCGAACAGGGCAGATAAGCATACACTTCGCCTTTTCACAATCGTGACGGGAATCGTGGCGGATTTCGGGAAGATAACCTGGCTTCCGACGAATCCCAAAAAGAGAACGCCGAAAACGACAAGCAAGGCAATGACTCTCCCATCACTCCACGGGTAGATGGAGCCGCCCCATTGCAGGGCCAAGACCAGGCAGACAAGGGATGCGATGACGACGATGAGCTCCGGGATTCGTATATGCTTGACCTTCTGGAGCAGGCTCCACGACGCATATGCAGCATTGATGGGTGTTCGCACAAACAACAGCACAACAACCACGGTCACGAGTCTGATGGGAATGTTGATGATGAAGCACCACCTCCAGGTCGGTCCATCCGCAAACACGCCACCAAGGAATGGCCCCACGAGACTGGCAATGCCAAACGTCCCGGTCATAAGTCCCAATAATGCAGGCCGTTTTTCCAATGGCGCGGAATGGACCAAAACGAGTGTAGACCCGGGGAATATGCCGGCGGCACCGACGCCTGCCACTGCGCGCCCGACAATGAGAGCTGATGAGTTCGGCGCGGCGCTGCAGATTATAGATCCGACCTCGAACAATGCAATGGCTGCGAGAAATACTATCTTTACGGAGAAAACACTGTAGAGCTTCCCGTATGCGAGTTGAAATGTAGACGCCGTGAGCAGGTAGCCTGCCGTGTACCACCCAACATCGTCAAGCGCACGGAACTCATCGGATATTTTGGGCACCGCCGTGGTAAGAATTGTTTGGTCCTGGACACAGCGTTGAGTCCGTCGTCATTAGCAAATCCTACGATAATCTATTGCGGTGCATGGGGGTGGAAGTTTACGAAAAACCTACCAGGCCACAGAGAAATAGAGCCAAACACAGAGAGACCACAACCATTCCCAGCCGCCAATTGCTTTGGGGGTATATGTCGCTGCTTTTCTTGCTAGAAGCTTCATTTTCAGAGTCTGCCGGCGAGCGTTCCACGTCCTCTTTCGTCGGCTTTTCGATCGCTTTCACGGCTGTATCCGGTGGCGATGGATCTTGAGATGATGTGCGAGGTTCATCGCTTGTTGTTTGGGGTAGAATAGTCATGCCTGGAACTAAATCAAAAATTTGGCTTAACAAGAATAGCTTTCATGAAGGTCGAAGACACGCAGAATGGATTCGTCTAGTTGCGCCGTTGTCGGTGCATGGGAACTTGGGAAGGGCGGAAGCGATGTCACCTTCGAATCGAACGGAGCGAAACAACACAGAAGGGGAGGCAGATCGCAGTTCCCCGATCTCTAGCGTCAATGGAGATTTTCTCGGAGACTTTAACGGATACATTTTCGGCCAGTATGCGGAATATTGCGGCTGCCGGCCGTAGAGACTAGAATGACGCTCCGGTCATTGTCCCTCCGGGTCCTTTTCATCTCTCCCATGCCCAATCAAGTTGTCGCGGATTTGATGCCCCAAACACGAAACGGACTAAAAGGGGAAAAGAGAGACATGGCTGAAGCGAGAGATGAGGTAGCTGCTGTGAGGCTTGAAACATGCCAATCCACTCAAGTCCGGCCTCTTACACATTTGAAATTTTGAACGATGGCATCGGCGATGGACCATCTCTGGTATTTTGCCTACGGCTCTAACATGTCAGTCGATGTCTTCACGAAGAGACGAAAGATAGCTCCTATCAGCTATGCGGCAGCTCAAATAGAGACGTTCTCATTATGTTTCAATGTTATGGGCGTCCCGTATGTTGATCCCGGCATGGGAGGTCTTAGGGCCATCGACGACACTCAGGAAGGACTGGCGGGTGCTCCCGTGATAGGAGTCGCATACAAATTGACCCCAGAGGACATGAACAGAGTCATCATCAGCGAGGGGTGAGTATCTAAGCGGCGCCGCTGGGTTCTTCCAAGACAGTTAATTCATTTCCACGGGACTAAAAATGATATCAAGCGGAGGAATCGCCTACAAAGTGATTACGGCCGAGGCGACATTACTTTCGGATAAAACCAAAGTTTCTGTTGTCACTCTGATGGCTCGACATGCTGTTGCCAGGGCATATGAGCGACTTCCCTCTGTCCGGTATATGGTAAGTGTCAAATTGTATCAATCTTTCCGTAACGAGTAGCCGAGATCAACGTCGAATAACCGTCTTCTACCCATTAGTCACTATTAATTCGAGGTGCTCAAGATCAATCTCTTCCAGACGATTATCAGCGAATGCTGTCCTCCCAACCCACTTTCCAAACGAAGGATACATGGAGGTATCGACTGGGGAGCTCGCTGTTTCTCTCCTTCTGGCTAAGAGTAGCTGGATGGATTGAGATAGGGGTTCATAAGTATAAGAATGCTGATGGACATGTTCCGGTGTGGTTTCTGAAGATCTTCGACCTTCTCTTGTGGACGATGTGGGGTTATCATGACTATGTACATAGCAAGTTATTCGGACGTGGAGACGGAAGATGAAGAATGCCGCAATGCAGACTGGCTCTAGTTCCAACAAGAGGAAAGGTCATGAAGACATCGTCTTAACAAGTTTCATAACTTTGCCTTATTTCCCGGCAGAAGATTCCATTCCCTTAGTTACCGCCTCCCTCTCGAACCGTATCTGCTCACGTCCTTGCCCCTTCGTGCGGCTCCGCGTCTGGGTATTCTCGCATCACGAAATCTCGCATAGTCGGACCCCATAGTTGCTTGACCTTATCTTCCAGAACTGGTTCACCAGAAAGAGACTTGGCCACATCCTCGACTGCACGAAGTACGCGGATTACATTGAGGCCAATGACCTTCTCGACATCTTGACGGGATATTCCGCGACTTCGCATCCGCGCCACTAACCGGGGCAGCTTCGAAACATCCTCCAAACCGGTCACAGCCTTCGCCATTCCATCGTAATCAGACCCGAGACCCAGATGATCGTAGCCTATCCGTTTTCCCACATATACAATATGGTCTATCAATGCGTCAATGTCTGCCATGGCTGCATCTTTGTGAGTTAGGTTTGGAATAAAGCTGATCATGATGACGCCTCCGTTATCCTTCAGTTTATCGAGGACATGGTCTGGTACGTTTCGTGGATGAGGTACAATCCCGTAACTAGAGATGTTTGTGAGGCCACAAGTTAAGAAATCAGCCATCGCCATTTATTGTCCGGATAAGCATCAGCATAACCATTTCTTGAGAAGATCGACTTACACTGATGAGTGAGAGAAAATCACCGGGGCGGCCGAGATCTCAATGGCGGCCAGCATGGCCGCCTCGCTCGTATGAGACAGGTCAATAATCCTGAAAAGAAGAGGGGGGATGTTATTGGCTCATGCCCTACTCAGAAATGCCTGTCTACTAGGCTCACCGACACCCTTACATTCCGATGCGGTTCATCTCTCGAATCAAAGCCTTCCCTTCATCTGATAAGCCATGGTGATCTGGGGCGGCAGAGGTCTAGAAATATACACACTATGTTAGTGTCGATGAATATTCCCCGCCAACTTGATCGTGGGAGTAGAAATAAGCTCCCAGCCTGGAAGCAGAGAGAACCGACCGCACTATCAGCATAGAGATTATTCTTGTTGTGGGCGAGCGTAACATAGCGCACACCGAGCTTGTGATAAATCCGCAGAATGCTGGAGCTATTTCCAATCTGGTGAAGGCCCTCTACTCCAATGAGACTGGCACATTTCCCCTGGCTGAATATCCTCATAATGTCATCCGCATGGTGAACCAGGGCCATATTGCCGGAGTATAGATCTACGATACGGAGTAAGATATCGATTTGCTGGAGAGTGTCCCGGATGGCCTCGAAGTGGATAGCATCATCGGCAAAGTTGTCTTCCTGGGGACTGCGGATCCATCCTCTTAGCTCTCTGTTTTGCAAGGGTGCGGAGGGCGGGCAGGAGATGCGTCGTGGGCTAAGGAAAAATACCAGTCAACGTAGACGCTCCAAAACGCTCCCCCGAGCTTCCCTTGGATGAGCCGCTTCAGGTCCACGTGGCCGGCGAGGTTTCTCTGCGATCCAAACCGCTCGTCCAGTTTGTTATCATAGTAGCCGCGTATCAAGTGCATCCAGTCATTATGACCATCTAATTTGCGAAGATCAGCAATAGGCCAAGATCCGTCGTTAAAAAAGTCAAGGCAAAAATATACTGCACCTATGAATGGGGTATTGGATAGGATCTCCACCGCCTCTGTGAGGTAAGAGTCCAAGTCCATGATCAAAAATCAAGCCTGAATTCAAGTCGGCGCTCGTTGAAAGTGGGATCGGTCAGAAAGTAGGCTATAAGAATGTGGATGAAGGAAGGACAGAGAATACTACCTCTGAAAACTAGGGCATGCCGCCCTCAAGTCGGATATGCCTGGGCGGTCGATGGCGTCATCCAAATTGCTCGCCGGCCGGAAAATAAATGCGAATAATTAAAGTGGCACGCACCGCCAAGACGCCGACGCCGATCCCGATGCGGGCCTGTCCGTACCTGACCAACACTTGCGATTCATAACTGCGCTGCTTTGGCAAGCTCTCTTTAGGAAACTTGGGCGGCAGTATCGCACTCCTTAAATCGGTCACCCAACCCGACATTGCTGTTGGCCAATTTTCTAATATTCTGGTCTTATCTTTCCAACTCCCAATTTCTCAATAGACAACCCCTTTCTTCGGTATACCTAAGCAAATCAAAGCAGGTCAAGATCAGCACAAAATGGTATGACTAACGATGGTTACATCGATACACTCGGGGTTCCCAGACTGCATGCTTGAGCTGGTCCACTAACCCTGTCGAACAGACCGAGGTGGAAAGTACACAGGCCGTACCCCAGGATACGTACCGGGCACCGCGTGACGAGGGTGAATACGATCGTCTAAGGTTACAACATGATATGGTCAAGGATGTGATGGGGGGCAAGCTCCTACTGTCGCCCGTCGACCTCTCGGCCCCGAACTTGCAAGTCCTCGACTCCGGAACTGCAAAGGCTCACTGGGTTATCGACCTTGCTCGCAGCCTGTCGTCAGAGTCCCGGGTCGTCGGGACCGACATCGCCCCTCAGCACTTCCCTCCCGAATCCCAGCGTCCGGGAAATGTAACTCTGACAACCCATTCGATATTTGAAAACTGGCCGTTGGATTATATTAATGCATTCGATGTTGTTCACCAACGTTTTGTCCTCGCGGCCTGTCCTGATGAGCAGGTCGCCGCTGAGTCAGTGGCAAGACTGTATGCCTGTGTGAAGCCAGGCGGCTGGATCGAGCTTCATGAAGGCAACATGCTCATTATCCGAGAGGGCCCAGAACATGCCGCCTTCATGCGATTTCGCGACATGATGGTTAAGTCCTGGGCCTTGATAAAGCAGCAACCTGCTCCCGGGTTGCAAATTGGAAAATGGCTCCGTGAAGCTGGCGCAACGGACATCCAAGAAACGACTCAGGTAATCAAGGTCGGGGCTGAAGCAGAAAGTAAGGCCGAGGGAGAAAGGGCTATGGGCGTTCTGTTTCAGATGCTCGACGGCATGAAAGCGATGCTTGGAGGTAGGTTGCGCAGTTACCCCCATTAACTCGTCTAACAACTCATCACGCCATTCACTTCCACAGCAACGCTGTAGCCGGCACTAACTGAGAGCAGACACACCAGGCCACTTTACTAAAGCAGAGTTCGACGAGCTACGAAGAGATCTCGAAGTGGAGCTCAGCACTGTGGGAAACTTTTGGCAGTATCACCTCGCCTATGGTAGAAAGCCACTCTGAGATTCTTAATGACACTCACGCGGCGGTTCTAGAGGAAGCCAAATAACACTTCACGCTAATCGAGTCCCAATTTCACATTCGATTCTGTTACTGAACTTTTATTCTTTCCAGTTCCAACATTGTCCAAAAATTCCAGTAACGCCGTGCTCCTTTTTTTTTCTTTCTCATTTCTTTCCTTCCTCCCATCTGAATCACTTTGTATCAATTCCCATCTCCTGTCTTATTCTTTGAAAACCTCGAGCCAGCCTGCCCACTTCATATCGTAGAAACTGTATGTGGGCCTCGTCGCTAGACAAGAACTCAATTTTGGTCTGCATTTTCTCTAGAGTCTCCCTTAAATTGTCTAAATGAGTTCCAACAAGCACCTTTTCCAACACAGAGCGTAATTGCCCGGGCACTGCGTAAGTGCCCACACGTATGTGTATGGAAGGCCCTTTTCTTCCTGACTTGTCGAGAAGAAGTAGACTATTGTCAAGCGTGAGAGACAGCACAATGGTTGCCAGGAAAAAGGCTTGCGCGTCCGACGAGCAGCACCAGCAGTGAAGAAACCCCGTGAGCACGTCGAGAGTTCGTTTTGTACAATCTAGCATCGTGTCTAGGCGCGCGGGAAGCCGATGCTGGGGACCGATGTATAAACACTGGGCCTGTGCACTTAGGCTACGGAAGCAATGGCATGAGTCTGAAGCTGAGGTGTCTATCATAGAGACGTCGGGTGTTGCTTGGTCTGATGACGGGGAAGGTGTCGGCTCTATGGATGTGGTAATCCATTGCGTGATCTCAGGCTGTCGTGCTGGTGGTGTTGGAGGTGGACCATGGCAGGACCATGGGGTTGTGCTGTTCTGTGTCCGTGCTAAGGCCGTTTGAGAGGTGTTGGTATCGTTCGTACTTATTTTCGGCGATCTGATCTGGTCGCCCTGGTCCAGGTTAGAGCAAAAGTCGGGAGTCGCGATTCCTTCTAGAAGGCCACAGTCATTCTCCCAGAGTGTTGAAGATACGAGAGAGGAGGGTTCGAGATCAAACTGCTTGAATAGAAGTGTCTTAGAATTCCGTTCTTTTCACCCGTACTTGGACAAGGAAAATTGACTCGTTGGGTAGTGCGGGTCGGCGCTCACCGTGTTTCCAGAGCTATCATCGTCCCCAATCGGATACCACTCGGAAATTTGGAATTCAGCTTGACTGACGCCATAGCTTTCAGCTTCGTGGAAATTAGTGCTTCTTTCCCGTTCCGGGGAGGTGTTGGTTTCCCCAGCTAGTAGAGAATGATCTCGAGGCCGTAAGTCTATCGGATCCGCGCGTGTGGGCGAAGCCACACCGCGGACAGCACTTCGATGGGCGTCATTCGAGCTATTACCGCTTCCACTCCAAGCTCTATTCTTGTGTTGATGGCATTGAGATTCTGACGGCAGTTCCCTGTCCTGACATGAGTTTCTCCCTGCCATGGCTCTCAGCTTTTCTATTGTTCTCTTATTTAGGCTGCCCTTCGGTTTTCCAAGATTCGCTCGATAGCTATAATGACATTCGATATTCCTGAGTGGTGAATCACCCAAGTCAATAAGTCAGATCATTTTGGTGCTGTTGGAAATCACACCGGGAAGGCGGGAGTACAGGTTGGGTTCGGGAGACGTACTCTCGGTCACAGCGAGCACATCGAATACCCCCGGTGCATCGGAGCTTTGCCTTATGACAGGCATCACACGCTGAGCGGAGCTTCCTCGTCCGAGCCTGCGGTGCCTGACTCGGGGATGCGGCCCCATTCGGGGGTTGTTGGTCCCTTGGCTGCTCGGGCATTGTTTGAAAAAGTAAAAGCAGCCGCGTCCAGACTTGAAGGAATATTCCAATTACTGATCATCCAAGATGGCAGACTACCTAGCTATCAATGTATGGACCAGAGGCGCCCTCCTTAAGAGAAACCAAAGCACGCTGAACACGATAGACCGTAAGACGGGCAGGTTTCTTCAATTCTGCCACTAGTCAAAACTACTCAATACGCATGCTACTACTGTCTTGACGCAGGAGCAGCATGAGAGGGTCACGACCAACCTTGATGGCCGATGCAGAATACCTTCCTCTCTCTCCTCTCTCAGAGTCGTCGTGTTCCGCATTCCCGTTCTCCGCTTATCGGTTCCACTGGAAGAAAAACAAAGCTCTTTTAGAGTCAGGAATAGTCCAAACTTGCCATAAGCCGCATGAGGGATGCATTCCATATCTGGTTGAAGTGGTAATAATATTATTACTCCATCCCAACGAAACGACACAGCAACGCCTGCCGCACGGGACGGGAAATGACCGACGTGCATAATCTTCAAGATCCTTCTTCCACCGAGCTCCACACACCAACCCCCATTCCCGACCAAATTATGTCGTTCTTGGACTATAACTGGAAGGCCTGGTGGCCTGAAGAACTCCTCCCGCGCCCTGACATCTCCACATTCGTGCCATCAGGGTCCCGGCTTCCATGCGCAGGGTGAGCACTATTTGATGTCAACTAATCAAGTGGAAAGGGGAAGGCTATTCCAGGTGCGCGGGACGCAACCCCCACGCGCTTTATGTTGGCTATATAAAGGAATCTCGTTACTTGATGGGGTGGTATGTGGCTGAGATGCAACCACCCTTGTTCGCCATCGAGGCAGGGAGACTGCGCGAATTCGTGATTATTGATCTGTGCCTGGCTGGGCGTGTCCGAAGTACACTAGTCTGAACCTGACCTATTAATGGATGGTCTCGGATCTCGGGTCTCGGGAAGGCATAATAGCGGTCGTCCTATGGTTCCAATCTGAGCTTCCTTCGCACCCTGATCGACGCCCGCCCGCTCCCACCTCATCACCCGCCACCTAGGCGGAATTTTCTTCCGCATCATACTATAAACTACGAAGTGTCTCCAGATACCAAATGGCCATGGACAGCGCGCTCTTCTCCTAGCTACCCAGATGCTCGTAGTCCAATACTAAACAAGGGCATTCATCCCAAGACTGCCCACTTCCTGCAGTTTTTCGCTAGTCTCAACAGGCCACGAAATTGCCATGCACCTTGATAGACCAGCCACAACTGCAGTCTCCGGGCTTCGACGGCCCGTTCGACGTGAAGGACGTAAAGGGTCTTCCAGTTCACCCTCACCATCACCACAACCATAGCTACTCAGTTCCCAATCTTATTATATAACTGATGGACAGAGTCGTAAACACCCACCATCAGATCTTCACTCTTGCATTCACTCCCGCATACTACTACAACTCTCTTTTCACCCTGCATTAGCCGCCTCCTTCACCATGGCTTCCGTCATTCGTTTCTTCGCCGTTGCTCTCCCCCTCGTGGGATCTGTGTTGTCCCAATCCGTTAGTGTCCATGATTACATACCGAAATGCGCCGTCAAATGCTTCGCGGACGCCATCCAGTCAGAAACCACCTGCGCTGTCCTCGACGCGGAGTGCCATTGCTTGTCCGATAATCTCCACGTCATCGCTGAGAGTGCCACTCCTTGTTCTGTGGAGGCCTGCGGCGACGATGCTACTGAGAGTAGGTGTTTCGCCACTTTCCTCCCAACCTCTGCAGTAATGATCATTAACCATACGTGCCACCGTAATAGACGAAGTGCTTCCGGGCGCTCGAGCCTACTGCTCCGCAGCCAGCGGCTCTGTTGCGGACTCTACGGCTCCGGCTTCCCAAACCCCTAGCTCTGCAGCGAGCCAGACATCGACTGTGGCGGAGCCTACCATCTCGCAGTCCACCATCCCCGAGTCGACCGCGCAGACAACTGTTCCCAGCTCTACCACCACACCTGTCATCGTCAACGGCGCTGGGATGCAGTATGTCAGTGTTTATCAGTTGATGCTTATTTTTGCTGGCGTCCTTGTCCTCTCCTAGACAAGTTCTAGCTAATAGTGCATCTCGAAACGTAATTAATATGGGGGAGGAACTCTGCGATTCCAACTTCTACTAGAAGGGTTTGATAGTTCTTACATACGCAAAAATAAACCTACGATTAATATCTAAATGCCTGTCGTCTTCGGGTTGGCTCCAGATTTTTAACTTTTTCCCATCACATTCAATAACTCCAGGGGCTTGACTTGAACATACTTACTTTGAAATTCTATACATTAAGCACATGAACCAGGAGAAATCCGGTCTCACGTTGTTTTAGTGCCTGAGGCCCAAAGAAGGAGCTCTTTATGAATCTAACCCTGATGCCAGGGGCGGCTCAGGCTTTAAAAATCGACGAAAATTTCAGGAAGCGTGAGTAAGTTTCGAATCCTCAGCTCGTTGTCAGCCCAGGTCAAGCGGCCAAGGTGCACGTGACTCTGCAACCCCACCAAACAACATCTCTCAAGCTCCGAATCTGGTTAATGAGGTCTTGAGCGATTCAGGCGGCGGCGACAACGAGCATACTTGAGCTACTCAATGGATCAAGGGGGCCTGGCTCGCCAGGCTTGTATAGTGTGCCACCGGCAGAAACGGAAATGTACGCGGGAGCTGCCAAGCTGCCAACTCTGTCAGAAGAACCGGCGGACTTGTGAGTATCCTGCGTCCTCATCTCCGAGTCTAGGTTCTGGACAGGTAAGAACCCTGGGAGCAGGTTCGTCGATAATTCCCTCCCAACGCTCATACTCGTATTCCAGATTCCAAACCGCACAAGTGCCAATGCTGCGTTCTTCCTGGACTCGTACATCTTTACCCGGAATCGCAATGTTATTGAACCCATCCAGCTTCCCATCCCTCACGAGTTGTTGTTAGCAACCAAGGAAATATCACAAAACCAGCAGAATTTTGAACTGTACTTTAGTACAGTACATATATCCTTCCCTATCAGTAGGCAGGCTATTTAACTCGATAGCATGTGATCCCTACAGATTCTGACAACCTGATGCGCCTCCTAGTCTCGAAAATCCGCTTATTACAGCGCCTTTCAAATGGACTGGAAGTAACGTCTGACTTGGCCCTTGTCCTGGCAAGCATGCGGCTACTATGTTCGGGACTAACTAGCAATACAATATTGGAGTCAAGTCTCTATAAAGCTCTAAAGCAAAGTCTGCTCTCTTCCGAAATGTCTGGTGAAATCTCTGTCAGGACCCTTCAAGCAACGCTACTCACCGGGCTGTATGAGTTCGCTCACGGTATCTTCCCCGCGGCATATCTTACGCCTGGACATTGTGCACGCATGGGACACGCAATAGGAATCCATGACAGGCGGAACGCAGACCAGCTATCTTCGCTTCCAAGTAAGCCTCCGCTCCAATTTATATTGTGTTGCCTATTCACTAATCAATCGTTCAGCATCATGGACGGAGCTCGAGGAGGTCCGAAGAATCTGGTGGGGCGTAATGATTTTGGACCGGTAAGGGATGCCTTCTTGGTCTTTCAGCATCTATAACAAAATGGCTATGCTGACTCGTGGATCGGATCGAAACAAGTGCCGTAAATCTTGGGGTCTCATGTCGCCCATTAGCAACTGTAGATATCAAACCGGAAGACATCCTGCCCATGGATGATGATCGGTGGGATTCCGGGGTGAGTGTTCTGCCCGCAAATTCAATACCAACTGAAATTAATTTTGAATATATGGTTTTACATCTTTCCAGGAACCCGCCGCCTCTCCTTCCCTGGCCGTCTCGTCGAGCACGGAAATGCCTGCCCCGCCATTTGCACGAACCTGCCAAGCCTCCCACCTCCTCTCCCGCATCCTTTCGCATATAAACTTCAAACCTACAGACATGAGGCCGTATTATACGGACGGAATCCTTCTTCATCAAGTTCTTGAGTCATTTCACCGAGGAATATCGCATGAACTTCAGAATTCGGACCCCTCAGGTTTCATCGCTCTCAGCACCGCAAACGCTATTTGCTGCAGCGCACTTATCGCTCTCTACGATCATCATAGTTGTGCGGAGGCAGATAATCCAGCTGGTGTTGGGCTAGAAGAACAGCTGAGAATCCAGGAAATTTCCCTCAAATCGTTGCAAAGCCATGTGGGTCCGGCGATACATGATTTTGCTCGAGCAATTTCAGAGCTCGTTGATCGAGAGGGGCCACAAGCCGCAAGTCCATTTCTCGCGCCGTGCCTTTATTCTGCAGCCGTTCAGTATAAGTGGTATATCCGAGAGACCAATCGGTCTGACCTCGAAGGGGTGGTGTCCGATTTAATGAGGGCTCTCACGAATGTCGGGCTTCGTTGGAACATTGCAAGTAGGCGGCATCTTCCTTCCGAGGAGAAACAATGTGCATCTTTTATCTTGCTGACCTGCTGTGCAGACCACTACTTATCCATTCTCGACACCGTGGTTTAGCTTCCGCGGCATGAGCGTCGTAATTGCCATCAAGTCCAGCCGTGATCTTGGGTGTTAGTATCGCTAATATGTTTCAACACCTGCGGATGGGATTATTTTCGTTGACCTATCCGCCTCTCTTCAAGAATGCAGGAGACGTACGTGGTGACCCAAAGATGAGGGATTGATATGCTATTTTGGATGGGTAATATGTGATACAGAAAGAAATATCTACTCAACGGCCAGCAAAGTCTGTACATGATGCATGGCCGGGATGATCTTGTCACTCCATCTCAACTTAAATTCCTTGCCTAACTCCTTGTGCACCGCGGCCTGGACAGCATCCAAGACCGTCGGGAAGACACCAAAATTGGCGGGATTCTCCTCGTCATTATCGCCGCCCTGAAACACACCAGTGCGGACGAGACAAGTATTCCAACCATACATGTTGCCTCCGATAATGTCAGACTGGGGGTTATCGCCAATCATGTAGATGTTCTCAGGGATCGTCCGCTCGTTGTGAATCTCCTTCATCCACTCCCGGATGACCTCATCGGCGAACTTATACGTAGCGCGCTCTGGCTTTCCGTACACGGTTCGTTCAAGGTTTCCACCGGTTAGAGCCTTCCACTGAGCCTCGATGGCGATTCGGAATGCTCCTTGCGTCAGTCGGGGTAGCCCCTTGTGCTCCGTCGGCATAACCATATCACCGTGGGAGAAGTAGATGGGTAGCTGCGTGGCGACGGGGTCCTTCGATTTTGTACCCAACCTGCCGTTCTCGCTTTGCAGGAGATCGAGGATGATTTGCATGTCTGTGGCATAGTCGCGTGAATCGGCAAAGACAAGGATGGCGTCAAAGTTGACCCGATTAAAGTCTTGCGGTCTAGCACCCTTGCGCTCTTCCTCGGTGAAGTGCCTCCAGGGAGAGATGGAAGGGTCCCATGCCAGGATGTCCTTGGGAACCGCGACATTTCGGAACCCGTAGTTTTCAGCGGCTTGTCGGGCGGTGTATCCTTCGCCGCCAACCACCAGTACCGTCTCGTAGTACTCGGCCAATGCCTGCATTGGGGTGTGAGACTGGATAAACTGGTTGGTCGAAATTGGGGTTCCGAGGATGCTCGAGAGCTGCTCTGTCCGAGCACACTCGGGCTTTCCGCCACCGTTGGTGAGGAGGATATACGGGATCTTGATGCCGAGCTCATTGTCACCGTTGAGGAGCTCCATGACCCTTCCGGATTCCGGAATGAGGTTGTCACCGTGGAGCAGGACTCCATCAATGTCGAAGACGAAGGCCATATTCTTGGCGGCCGCGACCTTTTCCTTGGAAAGGTCCTGGATCTGAGAAGCGAGCAGGTCTCGCCTTGTACCGGCGGTCTCCTTGCCGAATGATGTGCGGACCCTAGGAGATCGGGGGATGGGAAGAGAGGCACCAAAGGAGTTGCGAGATGGCCTGCGGTTCTTCATGGAGGGCGATCCGCTCAAGTTGTGCATGAACTCTTTGGAATCACTGATAGAAGTCCTCGAGGCTGGTATCTCAATGGTATTGCCTTGGAAGTGAGGGTCAGATGGGGTCTTGATGAGAGGGCTCTTATGGCCATTGGTAAGGGCCCCGTTTCCATTCACTCCGTTCTCCTTGGAGAGACGGAGGCGAAGATGATCAACATTCTTCTGCATGGTTGTATGTGCGTAAAGGGTGATACTGGAGAAGGTGTTGGAGGCTGAGGGGAGAAAACAGACGCCGGCGAATGTGAAATGGGATGCAAACGATGAAGGGAGCTCCTAGTGATACTAGAGAAAATGTAGGAATTTCAACAGGCATTTCCATCCCCTGGTAGATATATGTATTGACCGTGAAGAATGAAAACCTCAACCTGTTGATGACATCACATCTGATCGCTGAATTCTCGGTATCTCTGGTTCGTCTTGGCCGTGTCTATCGCCAACGATGGCCATCGCAGCAAGATGATTTGCCTATCCACATCGCATCCACATCGCATCCACCCCTTACCCACCGCCTATCCACCACCTATCCACCACCTATCCACCACCTATCCACCACCTATCCACAAGCCTCCGCCAGCCTCCACCAGCCTCTACCCACCATCGCCAATCATGCTCGATCCAGGCCCCTGGATCCGAGGGGCATGAATGGCAGGGGCTACAATCCAATCGGCCAAGAAACAAGTGTTCTTGATTTACGCGCATTTAACTGGAGCTGTGGACCCTGACAGGGCGAAACGTAGATGCTAGGACGAGGATCTATGACGTCGTCTCGGCGGCTCAAACCTTGGCGCGAAACTTTCTCACCATCGAAATATGGGCCTTCACTCACATTTTTGCACGCAATTCCGAGAATAAGATACTGATTGTCTCCAGGGACCCATTACTTATCGGTGCCTAGTGTTTCAGAAGCCTTTCGAGAACCGGTTTTCATCCCAATTAGCGCATGAGACGCACCCGCGCCCGGTTCTAGTTCGGGATATTCAAAGAAAAAAAAGATAAATTTTCAATGCTCTCGAGTTTCACGCCAAGGGATGATAAGCTCTCGGCCTGGTCTAACTGTTCCGGAATGGTTTACAGGGGAAAAGAACTCAAACATTTCCTCGATATACGCGGCTCCACTTATCAATCTGAATTTTTCCAGCGGCGTCCTTGACCCGTGTCTAGGAGTTGAATGGTTGAATCTGCTCCTCGGATTGGCCCATAAGATCGACTCGTCTCCTCCAGCCCGCCGAGCATATTGCGGTTGTCCAATGCCTCATAGTGGTTCCAACACTTCACGTTATCTTCACCTCGGCTCTCACTCTCCCACAGCTATCTCATTCTATTGAATCCAACATGTCCAAGGCAACCACTTTCAAACTCAGCAATGGGATCTCTATCCCTGGGCTAGGATTCGGTACCTTCTCTAACGAGCGACAGAAGGGAGAGTCTTACAACGCGGTACTGCATGCTCTTCGGGCGGGTTACAGGCATCTAGACTGTGCCTGGTTCTACCAGAACGAGGACGAAATCGGCAGCGCCATCAAAGACTTTCTTTTAGAGAACCCGAGCGTAAAGCGATCAGATCTCTTCATCACAACAAAATTGTGGAACTGCTTCCACGAGGAGGAAGAGGTGAAATGGTCTTTGAACGACTCTCTCAAGAACCTCGGACTAGACTATGTGGACCTCTACTTGATCCATTGGCCTATTGCCTGCGAGAAAACCGAGGACAATCAGCCCAAACTCGGGCCTGATGGAAAGGTAAGATGTGACGTCACCCTTTCCCCACACGGCAATACGCCGCGTTCTATGATTGGAACAGATTTTCATTTCTCCATCGCAGTAGTCCTCACAGTGATCTCCGTCTGACCTTTGTCTGCTTTCTAGTACATCATCAACTACGACTTGACCAACAATCCTGAACGGACATGGCGCGCCATGGAGGCCCTCTATGATGAGGGTAAAACGCGAGCCATCGGCCTGTCCAACTTTACCATCCGCGGGATCGAGCAGATTCTTTCCTTTGCCCGAGTCCCACCCGTTGCCAACCAGGTGGAAATCCATCCGTTTCTTCCAAACACTAAATTGATCGAGTACTGTTTGGCTCGTGATATCTTGCCACAAGCATACTCCCCTCTGGGATCACAGAACCAAGTTCCCAGCACCGGCGAAAAGGTCTCCACGGACCCTACGCTAAACCAAATTGCTAAGGAGGGAGGATACACTCTTGCCCAAGTCCTAATCGCCTGGGGTTTGCGGAGGGGATACGTGGTCCTACCGAAGAGTTCGAATCCGGAGCGTATCGCAAGCAACTTTAAGCAGATCGAGTTAACCGACGAGCAGTACGACGCCATCAACCATGTGGCGGAAGGGAGGCATACGAGGTTCGTAAATATGAGGGATACATTTGGGTACGACGTGTGGCCTGAAGAGGTCAACCAAGACGTCGGAGAATAGCCTCATCGATGTACTTACCTCTGGGAGTTGTATAGCGGAAATGGAATGCATGCTGAGCTGGAGGACTTGCGTGTTTCATTACTAGACATCGTCCAGACTTACTCAACGATAGCTAGAAGTACTGTGATAAATTCATGAGATAAATTCATTACGACCGGCAGCATGGGCAGCTGCCGTGGTTTCAGCCTGGTCAATCAGTGAGGGTATTCCACTGTGGGGACTTCTACCATGCGCCAAAGGTTCCCGAGGGTACGAATAACGGACTCATCGATGTGCGCTGCGACGCTTGCTTCGTGTACCCGGCGCAGTTGCCACACAAGACGGATTTACCCACCGAAGTCTTCATATACAATCTCTGCCAAGGCACAGCAGGGAACCCGGATCCGAAGACCGAGACTTACGGCAAAGATCTGCGATCCCAAGACGATATCTTCGAGGAGGCGACTAGAACAGCTCGCGGGCGCACCCAAACCATGGAAGAGTCAGTAGGATAGGTGCTTCATAGTGGGCTAATATACTCCTGTGCCAACCTGGGCAAGTCTAGGATTTATAAATCTGATTTAGAAACCAAAGCTAGATGACGCAGCAGACTAGAAACTCAAACTAGAGTCATCCAAACACTCATTGCCAACTACCTATGGACGTATTCCGTCCCCCATGAATCTTCCAATCCCCCGTCCTACCTGTACGTTTCATACCATACTCTCAAGATCATCCTTCCCGAGTGTTGTTTGCGCTGTGATTACTCATTCTTCTACCATGGGGACCGCCTATAGGACCCTATCTTTCTGGCTTCTGCCCGTAGCAGATGTACCTAAAGACGGCAGTGTCAGCTCTGGGCTATTGTTCGTGCAGTAGTTGTCTGGAAGGACGCCTACATGTATTGGTATGCGTGAATCGATGGATTGCGTAGATCTTTCCGTAGGTGCGCCACGAGGACGTGGACTTGTTCTGGTGTCCACTGTAGTTTGAGCACTTGGTTAGAAAGGCTACCGGCACAGCACGACTAGTATTGCCCATGCACAGTCATCCAGGAAGGTAAAGAGAAGAGAGAAGAAAATGCATACTCCAAGGTAATGGGTAAATAGGTGCATGGCCCATCCTTCTAGTCCCTCCTCCCAACCGAGACGGTTGTAGGCACCAATACTTTTCATGCTAGGGTCCTTTGCCCATGTCCCAATTGGCCAAGGAAATGGACGGCGGCGTACATTCACAAAGCCGGCCGCCCTCATGAGTTCTGCCATGTCCTCGGCTATGCGGAAACTCTTGCCAAACCGTTCCCCGGCCGTAAGTGCCAATGGGCCCCAGCGGTTCAGGTAGGTGCCAGCCAGGCTATCGTCGTCGCAGCGTGCTACGACACTGATCTCAGCGTGTTCAAACCATGCGCCGGGTTTGAGGTGTTCGAGGACTTGTGCGTAGAGGGCGGGATAGTCGGCGACGCAGCCGTAGATGCAGCGAGCATGGATGAAGTCGAACGAGGCGGGCGGTGTGAAGGTCCAAGGGAGACAGAAGTCGTCGATTTGGAACTGAAGGTTCGGTGGTACCATGACCGGCTGGATGGGCGAGAGGTCGGTAGCAATGACGGCGGCTGATGGGAACTGGTCCGCAAAGTCCATTGCCCAGATACCAGTCCCAGTGCCTAGGTCTAGTACCCTCTGCGGGTCTGGCCCGATAGGCGCCAGAAACAGCTCGCCGCCGAGCGTCGAGGTGAAGAGATGGTGATAGAGGTCGAGGTTATCCAGCGCGGCGTCGTCGTTGGGTCCCCTAGTACGATGAATAGCGAGATCTCTCAGTGAAGTTCTTGAAGGTCGGTGGATTTGCCACTGGTTTTGCTAGGTCACACCTACCAGTAGGACCCCTGCTGGTAACTATGGTACCTTCTCCCGTTTTCGTACACATAGTTGGTGATGGTCGAGTACAGCGAGTGTGTGGACTGGCTGTCGTCGCCGTACGAAGAATCCGTCTCCGCGAGGTCGGAATCCACCTGAATGTGCGCGACGTTTTCTTGGCCTGGATCCGCCATTGATAGTTGTGCGTTTCGGAAAGGAGTGGATTGCGCTGGCAGCGTTGCAGGCTGGGTCGATCGAACCGGTGCTAGCTTTTAGCACGCTGCTTAATACCACGCATCCTACTAAACCGTATTTTGTTTAGCACTTAACCCCCAAAAGTAAAGCTAGATGATGCAGGGGTAAGACCAAACAAGTGCAAAAGGCAGGGACCAGCAGGAGAGTATGGAGAGGAGGCGGGGTAATTAAAAGAAATTTAGAACGCCCCTTATCGTTTTGCTACCCGTGCCGTGCACCACCCAATTTGGCGCTAGCCGAATTGGGTAATCCGGTGGTCGAGGAATTTCTTTTCGAAATTTGGCGCTAGCCGAATTTGGTGGTGCACGGGTATTGTTTCCAGGCAAGACTTCCAACCTGAGTGGTCAGATTCCATGTTTTGCTTAGTCATGCCCTATAGAAGGTGGATCGAATACTACTTTCTATAGTGGGGGGGAAAAAGGTTGGAAGCCACGGATATGTGAATATTACTACACTGACCAATCACATCACATGAATAAGTTAGCCCCGTTTTGTTCATAGATTAATTAGCTGTGTAATCCCCGATTATTCTACGTATAATTATGTAAATAAACGGGGGTGTTGCAAACTTTTTGCCACGTAGGTTAGGCACTACCAGGGAGACTTTCCCCTCCAGAGAAGGGATAATGGGTAACAAATACTAGTGAATTAACCCACAACACTAAGAGGTTAATTGTACCAATACTTCGTCCGCAAATGCAGAGAGCAAGGTCTTGGCTCAACGATTCCAGGATATGAATGGCCATAATATCGACACATTGCTCGTTATTGTTCGAAGAAAAACTCCTCCCCTCAATTCTGTATACTTCGTAGCTCGTTCGAGACTAATTCCAGTCGATCAAGTGTTGCTTTTCTGCTGGAATGCCCGCCACTTCCACTATGGCAGGTTTAGATTACACCCTGTACTACCTTGCGGGCTGTGGGTTGGCGGCGTTCGTTATTTATGTCTTTTGGCTGGTTGTCTACCGACTGTACCTTAGTCCCGTGGCAAGATTCCCTGGCCCAAGGCTCGCAGCTCTCACCAACTGGTACGAATTTTATTACGACGTGATCCGAGAAGGGGAATTTACATGGCATATACAAAAGTTGCACAAGAAATACGGTATGTCCCCGTTCTATTCGATTAGATACCATTACCCCAATGATTCATGGACCAGAAACCCCCCCCCAAAAAAATCAGCCATCCCATCCCCCCCGCAGTACTCCGGGAACATGCGGTCCCCTCCTAAGTCTTAACCCATGATCTACAAACCCTATCTTCAGACCATCCCACGTTGCCGTACTAGCCCAAGCTGACTTGGGATTAATTCTCGTAACACAGGTCCCATCATCCGCATCACGCCGACGGAGCTTCACATCGATGACCCAGACTACTACGAAGTCCTGTATACGCGCGGTTTGGGTCGGCGAAACAAATACACATACTTCTCCGGCCGCTTCGGCTACGCCAGCGACACTTTCTCTACCGTCGATCACAACCTACACCGTCAGCGGCGTAAGGCCATTAGCCCCTTCTTCTCGGTCACTAAGATCGCCGACTTCCAGCCCGTCATCCGCGCCAAGGTCGAGAAGCTGTGTGACAAGCTAGATGGGTACGCCAACAATAAGGGTTCTGTCGTTCGGCTGAGCCGCGCATGGATGGCGCTCACGACGGACGTCATATCTGAGTATGCGTTTGCGCGTTCATATGACCAGCTTAGCAGTCCGGACTTTGAAGAAACGCTGCACGAGGCACTCATTGCTATCTACGTTACAGGTCATTTTGCCCTGCACTTCCCCGTCGTGTTCCCCATCCTCGACATGCTCCCGGAATGGTTCGTACGATGGGGCAAACCAGAAATCATGCCAGTGGTGGGACTGCGAAAGGTACGCACTAAAGCCCCGAATCTTAACAGGCCCACATCGCTGGAGACCTTCCAACCAAATCTCCCCTTAACCCCGTTTTCCCATTTGCTTCAACTCAGGTCATCACACTCGGCCCTAGTTACGAACCTGACCTAACCTGACCACCACTCCTGTAGGACCTGGCTGCCAAAGTTCACCAAATCCGAGATGGCATTAACGCGGGCCACAAGTCTGCCTCTCACCCAACGATCTTCCACGAACTGCTAAATAACATGGAACTGCCCAAGGAAGAAAAGTCGGACACCCGCCTTGGCGATGAGGCCCAGCTAATCATTGCTGCCGGGTTAATCACGACATCGTGGGCCCTAAGCGTCGCTAGCTACCACCTGTCAGCAAATCCCAGCTTCACTGCTCGGCTCTGTGACGAACTTAGAGAAGTCGAACAGCCGTACGACTGGCGGAAGCTTGAGAAGTTGCCGTTCCTCTACGGTGTCGTTCACGAGGCTATGCGGTTGGCCCATGGCGTTGTGACGAGAGACCCCCGCCTCGCCCCAGATACGGAGTTGCAGTACGGCGAGTGGACGATCCCACGCAACACGCCGGTGAGCATGACAACGTATGATATCCTCATGAATGAGAATATCTTCCCAGATCCCAAGTCTTTTATTCCCGAGAGGTGGATTAACCACCCGGAGCTGGAGAAGTATTTTGTGCCTTTTGGCAAGGGCTCGCGGCAGTGCCTAGGTATCAAGTGAGTTCGATTCGTTCTCAGGAGTACCCTTTCCCGTATAGCGTTCGTCGATTATGAGCTGACGCAAACTAGTCTTGCGCAAGCAGAGCTTTATATTACCATCGCTACAATTTACACTCGTTTCGAGTTCCAGCTCTTTGAAACGGATATATCCGACGTTGAGATGGCCCATGCATATCTGGTTCCGTACACCAAATGGGAGTCGAAGGGGATTCGGGCTACCGTGAAAATGCTTGACTAGACATCAGCCGTCATGGACCGGCGTGTTTAATTCTTATACATCCTCCCATCGGAGAGCACTTCGAACAGTCTCCTAATTAGTCACGCTACCTGTCGCCGAGCCTCACAATCGAGTATCCTAGGCTGCCGTTTCAATACCTCCCTATGCATTCACATCTATTCACTCCTCCGCGTGCTATGGAGACCCCCACATTTAGGCCCTACGTAGCCGTATATACAAGCTTTCGTCACTTCAAGGAACGCCTTCTCTACTTCGCAGTATAGCCCATCCCTATATAAGTAGCGGGAGAATTTCCTAAGGAGCACCATCTTCTTGCTGCCACCTTCTATGGGGGTAGAGCTAAGAATAACGTGTATACTCCGCAAGTTATTATTCTTGCGTTTAATATCTTAGAGTACCTCGCCAATTTGCCTAACCGCTCTAGCTGTCCACTTTGCCAGCATCTCCGATCTCCGAAGCCAGGCTCGTGTAGCGAGATTTACGAGCCAATGGAGGTCTAGATTTTGAACTGTTGGCCGCTTCCTTATAAAGGAATACGCATCTAGAGTCCAGATCGCCTCTAGCATACGTTTTCACTCTTCTTCGCCTGCTTATCCCACTGCGGCTGCATATTCTTTAGCTAGAGGATAAAGGGAGGAGTGAGGGTCCCGGGGATCAAAGCAAGAAGCTATATAAGCTCAACTAAATATATAATAGCTACTCCTTTTAGGTTCTCGCTTAGAGAGACTCATACGCCGGCTTCGCTTGATCATATAAACCTTTCCTTTCCTGGTTTGCCCTTCACTGTCAACGAGATAAACCGTAGTCTTGCAGCCAGGATCGTAAATCCCGCCGGTCATGTGTTGCCACGCTGCGATACCTTGTCGCTTCCTGCGTTTGCTCGGACGCGGCGACAAACTTGCTCGCTTGCACTTAGTCTAACGCTTGTCCTGCCTCTTGTCAGCACAGTATTCGGCTACATTAGAACAGGTAGTCCCTACAGCGACGCTCTCTTCACGTCGAGCTTCGTCTAGTCGGTCCAGAAAATCTTGTTCACACTTCATCTCCAGCAATTCAGAGAACGAAAAGGAGGAGATAAAGAACGGAACTGAATCATCAGGCCCTCCTACATCTCTGAACCGATAGCTCGACGTCTTCTCCTTAGTACCACTAAAGACTTCAAATACCTCTGCGTCAAGATTGATAACGTATACCCATTCGCAGAGCCTGTTGTTCGCAAATGATAGTTTGAGCTGGATCGGGATCTCTTCCCCGTGTTGGGCTAGCGCGATGACCTCAAGGATGCGGGCGCTAGTGTTTGTAAATATGAGGGATACTTTCGGGTACGATGTGTGGCCTGAAGAGGTAAGACATCGGAGAATAGCCTCATCGATGTACTTACCCGTGGGAATTGCACGGCGGAAATAGAATACACGCTGAGCTAGAGGACTCGCGCGTTTTCATTACTAGACATCGTCCAGACTTACTCAACGATAGCTAGAAGTACTGTAATAAATTCATTAGATAAATTCATTACGCATACCCAAACAATGCTAATGTCCGCAAGTCCCAATTACAATGGGCCTGAGCCCAAATTGCCGAAATTTTCGTGTGGTTCGATTTGCATTTGTAACTCTACAGCATTAGCTTGTCCAGCACTGGATGCGGCTGCTAGGTAGAACAGTAAGCCTAGGTCAATGTACGCTGTTGGGCCGAAGATTTGAATCTCTATCTCTATTTGTCTAGTCGTAAGCTAAATAGAGACCGATTCTTGTAGGATGGAGGTAAACCCGCAGGCAAGCGAGGAACGGCTATGCAGTAAGTGCGGCGAAATTGAGATCGGATTCTCGTCTCTCACCGCGATCGTTAACAATATCCCTTTCTATGAAGCCCGAATGTGCAGTTCAACTGGGACCTGGCGTGGGTGCGCCGGAACCAGAAAACCTGTGCTTTCTGCCGACTACTTTTGCAGACATTGCAGTTGTCGGAGACCTTTGGATCCTTGCAGTCGGGCACCGTCCTTGCTCGCCTCGAGGAATCAGATTTTATCGAACATAAGACTTCGGAGCAGCCAGGCAGCTTGGGAACTTCTGACGATAGAGACGCTGTTGGTCTTCAAACCCGCTCTCTGGACGGCCGCATATGGAGGGAGCGCATGGTTCGGCTTTGGATAGCAGCATATGATGATCCGTCCGTTACAGAGTCCGTCTTTGAAACCCGTTTCAACCACTGCCTTGTTCTCGAGTCACACTGTCAGCCCAGCCTAACTTCGGCCGGCCCTAACAGAGCGGCTTCTCGAAGCTGCTCCTCATTTTCACTGAAAGAGGGGTGCAGTGTCGCCGGCGACAGCGGTTCTGGACCGAGGACATGATCCTTGAGGACGACTGAGTTATATACAACAGCCCCACCGCGATGGGTCTGTACTCCTGGAACCACGTGGCGATTGACCATCCGCATCCGGTCTCGGAGCCGCCAGAAAACTCATTCAATAAGTACGAAGGGTGGTATATCACGGCCGCCCGAGATATGCTATCCCGAGAGTGCACCTTCGAGGATGACTACCTCAAGAGCTTTGCCGGATTTGTGAACTACTTCTCGATAGCCATGGGTGAATTTAGATTTGCCTTACCGCTATCTAAAGTGGGTTCGACAGCCTTGCTGTGGCGTACGAACTGCCCTTTTCCAGTTTCCAGGAGAGAGTGCTATCCCAGTTGGTCATGGGCTGGATGGCGACATAAACGGCTCCCGGATTACAGGCTCTACTGCGAAAACGGATACAACTACAAGCCGTTGCCGAGGCTATTCTCTATCGGCAAGACTGGCAGAATACGCCCTTTTAGAATCCCAGATGCTCAATACGCCTAGAACATTGATGACATTCTCAGAGCTCATTTCGAGGTTCCAATCGGCTTTGAAAGCTCCTTTCAGATGCCGGCGATATTCAATCCATCGCACATGCATGTCTTCTGGACCAGCTCCGCGTTTTTCTACGTCCAGAGGAAGCAACACCATGCCACTACTATCCGGCCGATGTTCACCGTCATTCACCCCAATCCGCAGATTGGTGTCATCGGCAGAATACTACTGGACCCTGACTGGAGGGCTAGGCAGCCTGACCTGCTGGAGTTTGTCGTACTGGGTAGCACGTCCACATTGGCCGATATGCTCATCGAGAAGGTCGGCGGAATCGCATATCGCGTGCAGATTCCTGACAGGAAGGAAGATGACACAGGCTACTTTATGAGGCTCACTCCGAAACAGTGGACGGAGGCCAGCCCACAGAAGAAGCTCCTGATGTTAGCCTAGCCACTGAAGAGCACTTGTCGCTTATCGTGAATGCACAGAAACGGCAAGTGAGCAAGGTGTGCGCGGACAAAGGGTCGATGACTCACTAGTACTCACGTATTTAGAGGTGTCTTATCCCTTTCTACCATGCTGTGATATGTTATTCTGGCTTTTGGCTTGGAATAAGCCGCCGATCGCGTCCGCATTGTATCCGTGGGTCCATGCTCTCGCATTCGGGAGGTCGTGCAGGAGGAACTCTTCAGGCCAGAATACCTGGAGCGGAGAGGAACATGCTGCATCGGCCGGGCCATCGGGCGTCGTGATCGACGATTTGCTTCGAAAAAGGGTCACCAGGATCTTGTGCTTGCCTGTCGATGCCGCACTCTTCTCGACGAGTCCCCGGTCATCCTCCCACGTGTGCTTCGGGTGGGCCCGCAGGCCTGCACGCAGATGATGCTGCGTTATGTTAGACGTCGTCTGGGCACAGGTGGGGCAATCCAAGGTCCCAAGGGTCCCGTTGCAACGCGATCAGCGGTAATTCTCGGATATAGGGTTTGCCGTTAACTCCGAGGGGACAACCGTGAACAAGTGAATCGGAGCACTCAGTTTGGAAAAGTTCAAACCATCTGACCTAAGACATTAGGCTATTGCTATTGGCACAATTGAGCGTGTCCCCGCTCGAAGGCGTTCGCGGTGGCAGCATAGCGCCAACGATGGATACGATCGAATCTCAACCGCAGCTGCCCCCTTTTCAGTACGAGCAGCTGACCTCGCCAAGAAACATCAGGCTGCTGAGGATTACGTGGCTCCACACCCACCAGCAGAGGTACGCCGTCCGGAAGCAGCTTCTCGAATGCGACCTGGACGCCTGTCCCAAGTTCTGGGCCCTCTCCTACGCGTGGGGCGACCCGGCGCTCAACCACGCCATCACCGTCGACGGCCGCCGGCTGCCCATTTCCCATGCGTTGCACGATGCCCTGCACGACGTCGTCCGGTTCATCCTGGACGACGACGACGGGTCGGGCGTTAACCTGATCTGGATCGACGGCATCTGCATCAACCAGACCGCCGACATCGCCGAGAAGAGCGTCCAGGTCGCCCTGATGGGAGACGTATACCGGAAGGCCTATGGCACGATTACCTATACTGGCCCTGGGTCTGGCGAAACCGTGGGTGCCCTTGAACTGGCGTCGCACTGTCAGCGTATCGAGGATGCGTTCTCTGAACACGTCGGTGCCGAGGACGGCGAGCGTACGGAGATCGATCTTGCATCGCGATTACCCAAGGAAGGGTGGGTGAAGTACGGGTTTCCGCCACGAGGGCATTGGAAATATCAGGCCCTGCGTCAGCTCCTGCGGAAGCCGTGGTCATCCAGAGCTTGGATTATCCAGGAGTCGGTTCTGAATCAGAAGGCCATAATGCTGTGCGGCTCCTGCGTGGTGTGTGACTGGGATCTCTTGCCTAACGTGGTCCGCCTCGCAGGTAAAGGCACTTGCCCCTCTGCCTGCGTGTCGACCGTCGACGATCCGTCCTCCGAAGGGGCGTCCTACGTCCAGTCGCTCGGGAACATGCGGCGCGACAGAGTGCGCGAGAGCCTGAAGAAAACTTTGAGCCAGCTCCTCCGTCGAACCCACAATTTTCAAAGCGGAGACCCACGAGATAAGATCTATTCTCTGTTAGGGTTAGCAGACGATCGAGACATCATTGGCATTGTGCCCGACTACTCTTTGCCAGTACACGAAGTTTTCGTTGACGCCACCATCAGAATCCTCCGTGCAGACCCGGCGCTGGAAATACTCTCCAGCGTTCGCAACGACAAAGTGCTCGATCTGCCTAGTTGGGTTCCAGACTGGAGCTCGGCCGATGTCGAAAAGTGCGGCACAAACAATTATCTTTGGTTCGGAACCCTGGTGGCCAACGGGCTTTTTGCTGCTGGCGGCCGGGGCAGGTCTTCGCGAATCGAATTCAGCGCCGACAGAACGCAATTGTCGGCGCGCGGCGTCATGTTCGACCGGCTCCGCTGTGTCATCGAGCCGTCTCTCAATCGTCGCGCGGGTGACACCGAACGCCCCGTGCAGAGTATACTCGCTCGCTGCATCGAGGTAGCAGGACGCGGTGACCCCCCGAGCCCGTACGGCTCCGCAGCGGGCATAAGGGAGGCCTTCTGGAGAACTCTGATCGCAAACATGACGCACTTGGAGCGAGAAGCAGAGCCAGACTACGGCCAGAGCTTTGACGCCTTCCTCCGGCGCGAAGAGAGCCGAGCAAGGTCCATAGAGCTCCTCCAGCTGGTGCCTGTCGACTCGGAGACCGAGGCCGCGGCCTCTGGGTTCGGAGTGGCCGCCAATCTGGTGTCCATGTATCGGAACATCGGTGTCACGCGGAAGGGGTTCGTTGCCTGCGTTCCGAACCACGCTCAAGAAGATGACCATGTTTGTGTTTTGCTTGGCGGTCGCATCCCCTTTCTTCTCCGAGATGCGTGCGCGGGAAAGTTCAACCTCTTAGGGGATTGCTACGTGCATGGGATCATGAAAGGGGAGGCCGTATATGGCGTCGCGGACGAAGATATGGCGGACATAATTCTAGTCTGATTTTGAATGCCTTGGACATAAAGGCACAGGAGTAGTCCATGGAAATCGTTGCGCGTCCCTAACACGAAAGCGTTTTGATGCTTTTCGGTGCCTTGTTGTCTGTTCTCGGCGCTCTTCGTGGTGGAGAGGTCGGCGTCGCTGGCCTTTAGGTGGCTGAGGTCGCTCTGAGACTTAGAAGAGAGTTCTGATCCCAGCTGCGGCGCCATGGTCGTGGCTGGCACGAGAGGGCTGACTCTGGCGGGGATGGGAAGAGGACAGGCGGGGGATTAGCCGTGTGGTGCTGTAAAAAACGCCAGGTTCTTGGACCAGCTGTGAATGTTGTCGTATGAGCTACCTTCGCCTGTGATACTGTCGAACAGCGTGACCGTCTGCCGGTCCCGCAGCCTCCACCAGCGCGCCGGGCTGACTTGGTCTTGCAGCCACCACTTCGAGAGGGGATACAGCGTCCCCATCCTCCACTCGCTCAGGAAGATGGTAGACCGGCTGCCCTAGAAGTTGGCATGGCGGAACAGCTCGATGGCGCCGAGGCGCATCCAAAATTGCTTCTACTCTTACCACGTCTTGATCTGGGATGTTTCGGGAATGTTTATTGCTAATACTGCCCTCGCTTTGGGGTCTAAATTGTAACCGTATTTGTATCTTTGTGGAGAGCAAATATGTTTTGGGTTGTCGGTTTTTCGTAGCGCATTTTCATTTGATATTTAATTCCAACCTAAATGATACAATAGTTCAAGCACATCTATCTCTGCCTTGGCGTGCATCGATCTCATTATTCTTCCTTGTAACCCGCAGGACGGTCAAAATCATCCCATGGGCGTTGGTGAGCGGGAGACAACATGCCTCCTCAGCCCGAATCTGACACCACAAAGTCGTGGGCTGGGGTCGAAAGTGGTCATCATGTGGCGGATAAGGGGGTCAATTAAAATAGAGGTGGATGGGAGTGTTAAAAGAAAAGAAAATGAACTTGAATGAGGTGTGTGGTGATCGAAAAAAGAGAGTGGGAAAGGGAGCGTGTGTCCTTATAGGGAATGTGATTCTATTAATATATCCGTTTTTCAAGTAAGGGAAGCGTTATGGAAAAGGTGGTGGAGTTAAAAGTAACGGCGATGGCTAGTGAAGTGTTGGATCCGGACATCAATCCTGGGTGCTGGGTGCATCCCCGACAACATGTATTTTCAGTATCTCATCGGCACACGGCCGCAGAGCCCTCAGAGCTCTAACAATCCTAAGTACACAGGGCTGTCGCGGCTGGCTGCAACTTGACCATAAGCAGCTTTAGGTAGACCCGGAACCTCGCTGCCTAGATGACCTTCAATACTAAAGCAGAAATCGCTCGGTTTTCATCTGAGGTAAACATACAAAGCTATGCTTGGAGCAGTTTGTTTTCTACTTCATACTTCCATGCGGCCGCCGTTGCGTTGCAGGATTTCGAGCGGGCTCGTGCGGGATGCCGGGCGGACCGAAGGCGGATGAAAGTGGGTCAGATTCGGACACTGGCGGACACTAGCGGACGCATCAAAGCGAAGCTTCGCCAGCAATGGTCAGAGCTGTGAATAGCTCGCACCGCAATGATGGTCAGGGATTTATAATTATTCATAATCTCCGCCATTCCAATTGAATATTTAATGAACTGATAATCCCTTCATTTTTAGACCTAGTCTCTCTCTACTATCAATCCTCTTTCTTCTCTCTCCCAGCCATCCAGAACTGAATACTAGTCTGTCTTATCCCCAACACTCAGAATGACCTTCACCCTCGAAGAAATCCCCTCTCTAACCGGCCGCATCGCGCTCGTGACAGGCGGCAACACGGGAATAGGCGAAGCCACCGTCAGACACCTCGCGGCCCATGGAGCCAGGGTGTACATGGGTGCCCGTTCCGCCGAGAAAGCAGCAAAGGCAATTGAAAAGATAAAGGAAGCCCATCCAGCCGCTGATGTTCGGCCTCTGATAGTAGACCATCTCTCGCTCTCGTCTGTGAGAGATGCAGCAAGGTCGTTTTTGGAGCAAGAGCCACGCCTCCACCTTCTTGTCAACAACGCCGGCATCATGGGCACGGAGTACCAGCTCAGCAAGGACGGGCACGAGGCGCAGTGGCAAACCAATTATCTCGCCCACTGGCTTCTGACACAGTTGCTTTTGCCCACAATTCTCTCCACCGCCCAGGAATCTCCCAAGGGAACCGTGCGAATCGTCAATGTCAGCTCATCGGGCCATAAACTCTTCGCGCCAAAGGAAGGAATCCGTTTTGCAGATCTTGCCTTGGAACAAGAAGCCAAGATGAGCCGATACGGCCAGAGCAAACTCGCCAATATCCTGCACGCCAAAACTATTAATACTGAGTACGGACCGTCATCCGACTATGCGCAGACAAACGTGCCAATTGTCACTGCCAGCGTCGATCCCGGCCCCGTGGATACCCAGCTGAATGAAAAGATAGCAGTTCGAGGAACGAGGTGGCTGCAACCGACACTCAAGTGCCTTGGTGTCTATAGCAATCCCGATGACGGAGCGCTGGCGAGTCTCTTCTGTGCATCCTCGCCTAAGTTGACGGAGAGCATGAGCGGCCTCTATTTTGATAGTAAGGCGAGGGTGAGCACTCCGAGCAAGTTGGCCCGCGATGATGGTTTGCGCAAGGAATTGGAGTTGTGGACTTTAGAAATGATGAGAGTTGGAAATTGGGTTGAGTAGGGGTAGATATTTCTGGACGAGAGAGAGAGAGAGAGAGTTAGATTAGCATCCGCCAGGGTAGTCAAGGAGTCTTTTTGCGGATGCTCGAATATCTAAAGGAACGTTATCGAGACATCTCTAGTCCTGGGCAATACATTTTGATAAGCAACATATTTTGGCCAGTCGAGCCTTTGGAAACTTATTGTTACCGTTTCTAATATTACCTCAAACTTTGCACCCAGCAACCGATTATGTATTCCTTCATAGCAAAAGACAATTTCATTGAACCCACAGAAGGAAGTTGGGGTGCAGGTACAATGTAGTCTTTCGGTTCGCCGACTCTCATCATGACAAAGAGATTACTACACCCTCAACCGCAAATTGGACCTGACTACCTACGTTATAGGTCAAGATGTATTATGCATTATCTCTAATTACCTTAAGATGGGATTGAAATATCGTAGCAGCGAAAACCTAACCAAACCCGAAGTTGAAACAAGAGAAGCCAGGACCGAAACAGTCCGTTAACCCCCTTTGATGTGAAAACGAAAAGACACAGTACGAAAATTGAGGGGAAGTCCCTCATAAAACTCTCACGTCTGTGCCTACTCAGCACTCTCGGCATACTTAACTGTAATCTCAGGCGCATTCCACACATCCCAATCTTCGCCCTTTGCTGGGTTTCCAAACGGCTTCAACGCCGCCAATCTCACGACGTAAGTCCTCGGCTGGATCCAGGATCCGTCTGAGAGCTCGCCTTGCCACGCAAAAAATCGCGAAGTGAAGTCCTCCACCGCACGGGTAGGCGAGCGTGCATAATAGGTCAGAGGGAATTTGAAACGATGGCTAGGACTCTGTCGGGTGAGGACCTCCCAGATATCTACAGCAGAGCCGATGAATCCAGCTTTACCGACTACGGGTGGATAGACCCAAGAATTTTCTGCCCATCCAGATTCGAAGAACTTATGATTCACAAATTTTGTCAGCCATGTCTCGACAGCTACGTCAGGTAGGGTAGTCTAACATCGAACCGGAATTCTCGAGTTCCGTAGAGCATCTCGACAGCGAGTTGTGGGGTGGTGTAGTTCTGGTCGAACCACTCAAACGTGTAGTTGGAAATGGCACCCAGAGACTCGACAACTGGGGTACCAGGAACAAACATCAGAGGGAATTGCTCTTTGAGATCGAATGCGACCCCTAAAACTTGTAAGTACTTGAAAGGATTGTTTATGTCCGTCCGGTCAACCAGTCTCTTACCAAAATATGGTACTGAGAGTTCCTCGTCTATGGAACTTCTCACGAGAATCTTGCCACTGTAGCAAGGCATCCGAAACTCATCTTCATACACAGGGCGGGTAAATGTGAAGCTAGCAATCCATTAGAAACTCGACAAGATCTTATAGCCGTTCTCAAACTTACTTGACAGTGGCCATCTCTCCCGGCTCAATCGTAATATTCGCAGGCAGCTGAACACCCACCTCGAGGTCAATCGTCTTCAGTTGATTGTATCCTGCAATAAAGAGCCCCTCAGGCCCCCTTGCCTCGTAGGCTGTCAAAGGCTGGTGACCAAAAGAATAAGTGACAGCTTCCTTTCCACCATTCTTAATCTGAAGTGAGTGGGTTGGCTTAAAGTGGGCCGTATCATTGAGGGCAAACGTCTCAAAGTTGAGAGATGTAGTGTATGTAAGAACTTTCCAAGCATCAATGAGACCAGAACCGATTTGCGTGACAGGAGCAAGGGCATCTGTAGGAGGGACATATAGATTTTCCACGTCATCATCCTGGACTGGAAGACCCCAGGTGACCGTCCGACCGCTCGAAATGATACGGTTAGCAAGCTCCTTGGCAAATCCGGGACCATGCTTATCACGACCGCCATAGCGACTAATCCAAAGAGCAGCCACACCAGCAACATAGGGAGTGGCAAACGAAGTACCCCCGAAGCATTTCCAGTTGGGGACGAAATCACCTTGACCAGGCCAATCAAATGCAGTGCTCCAGATATGGCCGCCGTAACCGGCAACAGAGGGCTTGACGTCGAGGTCGTACAGCGATCCCCAATTGGTAAAGTAGGTCGGTTTCCCACCATAAGGATCGACGAGATTCAAGGGGTGTTCGGCATGGCGTCGGGACATTTTCACGGTTACCGTATGGTCATTTTCCAGGGCGCGGAAGATGGCGTCGCTGGCACTTTGCTCAATGATACCTGAATAGAAGGGCTGCTCGATGCCAGGATAGAACTCATCGGGAGGGTGGAGCACTTTCTTGTCATTATAGAATAAGACATAGCGAGCATTCCTTTCAGAAAGATTTCGGACCTTGGTACTATAAGGGCAGTCTGCTTGCGATACGAGGACGACAACTTCTTCAAGGTTCGGAAGATCTGAAGGAAGCTCGTGGCAGGCCGTGAAGCCTCGTGCGAGAGACCAAATAGGGAAACCGTTTGCTTGTGAGAAGAGTGCAGGGTTGGAGTTGGTCATCATTGGCATGATAACTTCCTTCATCACACCGGAATCCTTCCGGAACTTGGCGGTAACATGGAAGTCGCCCGGCTTGTGGGGAGCTTCGATAGCTCCGACCGCCACAACGTTCTTGCCCGAGGCCCCCGTATCGGTGAAAAATGGTCCACTACGGCCATTATTCCCTGCCGCTACGATGACAACTATTCCTTGGTCCACGAGGGAGGATGCTACCGTCGCCCAGGCGTTGTCACTGAAACCGCCCGGTGAACCAATGCTGGCAGAGATGATGTCGGCACCGTCGTCATAAGCCTTGAGGAAGGCGTCAATAAAGACCTCTTCATCTCCGGCATTTGTATGACCGAACACTTTATATGCAAGGAGTGTCGCTTCGGGAGCCACACCAGTGAACCTAGGCCATGTCAGCATCAGCAGGGGAGAACACTGATGGAATGATTAGGGTGATGTTTACCATTCCGATTTTCCGGCAATGATCCCAGCGACATGTGTTCCATGGTCATTCTGATATAGCTGGGGATCTCTTGTCTCGGGATAAGGATCGTTATCTGGATTAATAGGAGCCGTAGGATATCCTCCGCCAACAAGATCGTAACCCCCGGCAACCTTAAACCCGGGACCGTAGCCACCTCCAAGAGCCGGATGCTTGTAATAGATTCCAGTGTCAATGACAGCAACCTTGGCTCCTTGACCGAAGTTTCCTCCTGCGTGAATTTTATCGACACCAGTAAAGCTGTGGATACTGTAACTCGATGCAGGAGGTACTTCATCCACATCAGGTTGATCCTCCGTGGTCCTCGATGTTGAGCTTATTTCGGGAACGTCAAGGATAACTCTCCCCGCTTGCCACGCCTTGTCCACGCCGTCGATTTCTGAGAGGGATGATATGCTCTCAGACCTCGACACAACACTCAACCCCCTAAAGAACCTGTGCTCGAAGCGTTTAAAGATAGTAGCCCCCGGCCGTGAGAGGATTTCCGATTCTAGGGCATCCAGATTTGTGTTCTAAAAGGGGAGTAAGTCATCAATGTGGGACACCGGTTATAGAAATGGGCAGATACCTCTGATGCCCGAATGATGTATCGATCTGGAATTCTTGCTGCATCGGTTACGTGGCGGACAGGGGTTGAAGCCACGGCCAAGGATATCAAGGACAGGAAGATTATAGAAAAATGCATCTCGATAGGAAATTAAAAAAAAAATAATAAATTAAAAAAGAAGGAAACTAAAAGTGGAAAAGAAGAAAGACCAAAACAAAACAAGGAGGAGAAATAACAAACACCTAGCCCGAGTATCTACTGCGTGTTAAAGGTACTGGAAATCATCTTCCTTTTATCAGCCTGGACCAGGATAAGCGAATTCTTATATCTAACCTCATTACCAGGATGGCGTGCGAGGGCAAAAGCTATTAGGTAGGGTGGGTGGGGAAGGAGATCTTAGACGAGTGCGCAAGTTCGCCGATGGCAGAGCCGCAGCTGTATGCCCGTAGGGTCGTATTGGGTGCCACGCCCGGTTCACGACGCCACTCGTAGACGGCAACGGAACACGGGACAGGGTATGAGGGTAGGACCTGAGTATCTAGGGCGGAGTCGGAAAAGTATCACGGCACCGGTAACTACGAGGCCTGAACAAGAGAACGGGCAAGGGTGTAACGATAGTAATGGGATCTGATTAGCCGGGTTTGATCGGGGCACGGGGATAGGAGGCTTCCTTGAAGTTCCTCCAAAGAGCGATTGCGAATTTGCTGGGGCTTGTGACTGTAAGCAGACATCCACCTCGCGGTGACCGAGCCCGGACTTGGCAAGAAAAGCCACCCGGGGAACAGCATCGACCATGACTCGGTGTACCAAAGATCTCCAGATTTTTTTTTTTCCATTTTTGGGCTTGCGAGAGGCGGAAATACGGGTCAGTAGCCAGAAAGCCCTTGCTTTTCAGTTGACTGTGTGCTACTTGATTAATGGGACCCTTGACCCTCAACCCGAGAGCGCGGTCAGGAACGTACTTTCCAAGAAATTAAAAGACAGAAAACCCGGCTTCCCAATCCATAGCGATTGTACGCTATCAATGACCAAGGCATGCTCCCTAGACGGTCCGCACCGTGTTGCCGAAAATAAGTCGAGCAAATGAGGCAACTCTCGGGGCTCAAAACGAGGAGGTCTCACAATACGAGGACTCGATATCAGTTGAAAGCAGATTAACAAACGGCACGGCCGTAACGGCAAAATCAAGTAGGACCTCGCGACCCGGAAACACCGACCCGTGTGCATGGCGCTCGATATTGGGTGGCCGGGAACTTGGGTTCGCGGATTCATCGGACGGCGAGCCTATCTCGGCTCGGTCATCCCAGCTTGTGCCGCTGCAGGTACCATGAATATTGGTGCGAGTTCGCCCATCCTGTCAAATATGGCGAATCGTGTCTTTATAGCCAATCCTCGTTGTTGGGAAGCGGGCTGCGTCCATGGTCGATAGTACACATCTTTATCCCAGCGAGGTTACGCTGTGCTCACGATGTTCATAAAAGATAGGTTAGATGTTGATCGACATGAGATCCAGAATTATGAGCTAACGCGCCGCTGCGGTCCTCCGCCTATACATTATGACCCCCGTTGATTTATACGACCGAGGGAGCTCCCGATATCTATCATCGATCCCTGTTGACGACTACTTTCGTCACCAATGTGGCGTGGCCGATAGGGCTAGGCGTATTTAAGCTAGAAGGAGTTCCAAACAAGATATGCATATGCCTGGGTATGGCGATCTGGTCACCCATTGGCTGAGCATACCCAACATTTTATGTTATCGTGAATACGGTGTGAAAATTCGGTTCCATATTTGAGAAATCTCCATCCTCCTAGCTTTGGTTGAAGGCAGCAAATTTCTCCTCGAAATATGACAAGCTCCGAAGCCGGTTCCGATAGGCCGAGTCGCCGAGAAGAATACCCTTGTACAAAGGCAAGAAAAGATTTTACACATCCGGGCCGCACCTCAGAATACCAAGAATAGTTGATATACCTATTTGATACCCTGAAATTCACCCAGTGACCAAAAGCAGTCGTCAATTGCACCATGGACATCGACGCGTGTCCACGTAAATATCCAGCCTATGGCCTATTCGTAGGTCAAAATAGACTTCTGGATAGCCCAACTATGGTGAGGGGCATGGTTTGTTGCTGAATGAGCCGCAATTTTGGCGAGGATGTTTAAGCATCCCAAGATTAATAGGCTAAATAAATATTGTTTTTACTTGGGATTGACATTTCCGCGTCGCCGAGTATTCCGCGGTCCACAGGAAAGACTCCTGGCTTGCCGGGATTAGGGTTTGTCATTTTCGCGTTGTATGACACAGCAGGGGACGGAATCCAGCATTAATAATGCTTTGCTTCGCCCGTTCATAATCTGACAGGACCATCCCTTCAGAACAAATCTACCGCATTATCGAATGATCCGGGATGATGGGAGGGTATAATACAGGCAGATATAGACACAGATCCTAGAGGACCCGACCGAAACCTGCATATCACACGGCAGGGGCTAATCTTCATTGTGAGCAATGGGCACTCTGGCTTAATGTCAAAGCGAAAATCAACGGGCCAGGGACTGGGCAATCTTTTTTTTCATGGCAGTACCAAACCTTCCCACGATCCATCGGATTTACCCTGGGACCTTTCCCGAATCGGACTTGATGATATACGTCACGTTTCTCAGTGCTACCGCCATCGAGCTTCCATCATCAACATGAGCTATTCTGATTTGAGGAAAGGGATATCCGCCCGTGGGGCCCGAGTTTGAAGACGTAGATACAGTGATCTCCAACTTCCTCGAGAGGACCATGAAGGTTCAAGTTCTCTTAATGCATTTGGCAAATCACTAACTATGAGCGTGAGCAGTTCCACTTGTCGTGCGCACTCGAGACGTTTCCCAAGATGGACGGACCGAGATCGGTTTCGAGTCTGCACACTGCCTGATTAACTCGCGCCTTCGGACGAGCATAACGGACAATATGATTTAGGTCCCTCCCTCATTCTAGGTTTGTTGCAGCCAGATGTCAATTGGGCGATACGACGATTCACGAATTCACTCTATCAACATATTCCTGGGAGGTATCATGACTTGTTGAGATGGTATTTCCCCATTCAAGACCGCTGATTCTGATGCAGCAACGCAATGGAGCTCTTTCTCCGTCCTGACGCCCTATGCCGAACCGCAACTTCCTCGTTCCAGCTCTGCGTTCAATATCAACCTTTCGTGATAACCATCCAAGTTGCAGTTGCTCTGTGGAATGGCCACAGAAATTAAACTGGCTCCCCTTGTGGAACGCTGTACCAAGCCCGAAGCGAAGTTATTCGACTAACTTGATACAATTGAAAGGAAAGTTTTGCGTAAGGGAGTGATTGTTTCCGGTTATTCGGTACCACAACGGTCCGAAGAGGCAGCCTTCCTCCTCCGCTTACTCCAGGCCCCGTTATTTAATATAATACAGCCACAGCGCCGAGTGCAACTCCAGCAACAGCTACCAACGAGCGAGTTAGGTGTTGACCCGCATTGGGAGCTTGGGTTGATGCGGGCGCTCCACTTTCTCCACTCGCTCCGCTCGCGGCAGGTTGGTTTGGCGCCGGCGTCGTCGCGGGCGTCGTCGCACTCGGGGTATTGGAATCGGCAGACGCTGGGGTGGTCGCGTCGGGGGAGGCGTTGGAGTCTGTGGCGGTTTTGGCCTCGCTGCTCGGTACCTCGGCGTCGTTCGTAGGCGTAACAGAGCTGACACGAGTCTCTACGGTCGTTGAGGGCTTCCAGCACGGCAGATACGAGGCGCCCGTCTTGGGCAGCTCGGTGCCCTTGTAGTTGCCGCATCCCGGGACGTCGGTCTTGGGAGGGGCTCGGCCACCGCCGCAGTCCAACGGATCGCAGATCTGACCGTCATCGGGATCGAACCAGTGGACGATGCCATCTTCGCAAGAGGTGAAGGAGTGGTGGGAACAGCCGAATGCAATGGTGAGCTTGGCGAGCATCAGCACCGAAAGTGCAGACAAAAGAGTGGGTTTGACCATTTTTGACGTTTTAACGGTGAATGAGGCAAGAAACGAGTGTGGTTGGATGAATGGTCATTAACGGGCGATAACCTGTAAAACGAGACTGAGAGCCAAGTTCATCCAATCCCGGAGTATCACGGAGTCGTAGGGTCGAGGAACGCGGTGAGTTTAAATAGGAACACATCGCCAATTTTCAATGAGCTGAGCCACGCCTGCTCCTGATCACGGTTGAAATTGCATCTCAATCTGGATCAATCAACGATCCCGGAGCAAATTGCAATGGGTCGTGCAAGGTGGCACTGCAACGCCACGATCCCTCTGTGCCTGCAGCAAGGAAAAACGGCACGGTTAGGACGGCCCATTTGTGGATACTGGGTGCTGACATTAATTTTAATTGGGCGTTGTCGCTAAGCCGGATGAAGCCACGATCTGGGGAGTTGGGGAGCTGGGGAAGGAGAAGAGTCGTACGGCCTCACTCCGAAAGAGGAATGTTACCGTTAACGTCGCATCTGGGACAGAAAAATCTTTTATCAAACATTCCAGCACAATTGATGTGACACGACAAGATTAGCCGCGAGTGTGCGTGTGGGCACATTTCGTAATTAATGATCAATGAGCCTACAACTGCCGATGGTCCCATCGAAAATCCGCACTCATTTCCTAGCTGGACAGAGCGATGTCTTTCCAATGCCACATGAGAGCAGCTGGAGAGGATTGCAGTCACACGAGAAGTTCGAATACAATGTAGCCGGACGTGGACGAGCTGCTTGTGGTTGAATCGTTAAAGCCCAGGGTTCGAAGACGAAAGTGCGCGAGATTTTAGCTACCGCAAGTCACCGCTGTTAAAGTCCCTTGTTCCCAGCTCGCCTTCAACTCGTCCTTACGTTAGTTGCTCTCATCGTAGTCGCATCCTGGACTACAAAGACGGGGGCGGAGGAACATTATCCCTTGCCATGGACCAGGGCATAGCTATTTCTTTTCTTTTCCTCTCGTCTCAAGGGAAGAACAGGAGGAGGAGGAGGAGGAGGAACTTACTCAAGTAATCATCTTTAGTTCAATTGACTTCTTTTGCCCCGTTCTTATAAATCATCCTGTATGGTGATTCCAAGCTGTTTCTACTCTTATCTTGTGTGCCCAAGTGTCCCATATTAGACACTTACATGTTTCTTGACCTCTCCCTATTTAGAGGGCTCCTTTTACATGTTCTTGCATCATTCCCATTGATCAACAGATCCGACATCTGTCCATTCCTGGGTGGGGTTTTGCAGCAGCTTCTTGCAGGATTTGACTAGACCAATTGACCACCAGTTTCCCTTTTGTTTCATTCTTGTGGTGAGCGGGCAGGCTGCACTGCTCCGTTTCAATACCTCGGTCTATAATGTAAAAATGTTATATTTACTGCTAATATATAACGAAATCGGGCTAGGTCCCTGCTACTTAGAGGAACGTATCTCGCACAGGACCAACGATTGCCGGGACCTAGACAATGTTGATTTTCTTAACTCCATCGCTGTCAGTGAATCTCACTGACTTCCAGCCATGGACACCTAGACCAAGGATACTGATGGAGCCAACCACACGAAATGACTCTCCAACGCGGCGCAAGACGAAAGGATGATTCGCCGTTGCGAGCAGGAAAATGTGATCCCCGGGTATAACCTCGCCTTTGCAAACCCCGATCTGTCCCGTCGCAGTCGAAAATATGGTACACCCGTCCAAGCTGGTCTGATACTTGTGCCACCGGCCCCAGCCCTCCTTTTCCCTTTCTGGTACTGCTCGGCCCTCTGGGACGATGTCCCAGCGCGTCAAGCCCGGAGTCAGTTGAAGCAAGAACCTCAGGCCCGAAAGTGCAGCTGACTTTTCATCGAGCGAATCTACGAAGGAGATCCAGCTCGATAGTCCGGGGCACGACTGGCTGTTCTCCGTATAGACCCCATCGTGGTTGTGCCTGCCTTCCGGGCGCGGCATCGTCGGACCGATAAGGTCTATTATAGCACAGTGCTTGGCACCTATGCTTAAGGTCGCTGGTTCCGAGAAGCTAATTGTCTTAAATTCTCTCTTTTGCTCATCACCTGTGAGTCTCCTCTCGCAGCTGCAGTCGATCCAGTCGCACCTGTCCCGCTTTATGAGGGCCGGATCGCGTAGGTCAGGCACCCACGACGGCCAGCCGCCCGCTTCCTGCCCTGTCGGCACAAGTGAAAGGATCCCAGCACTCTGAACAGCACACATAAAGCGCCAGCTAAAGTCCGTATAGACTTCGGCAACGGACTTTGAGTAGTCAACATCGAAGGGGGGAACCCGGGAGATCTTCTGCTGGAGAAATGCCGCGAAGCCGTACGCCTTGTCCCGGGGATCGGTGGCGCGGTTCAAGATTGCGAGGTCCAGCAATGACGATATTGCACTGAATTCCTCATCGTGGAAGTACCGGAGGAGGTAACTCTTCAGCTCGAAAGCCTGCGCAGTGTCGTGGTCCATCAGCTCGCGCCCGTAGTGGTACATGGTGTAGAGCCCGCGTGGGCGGCACTGAGCCCGTCCCAGCATAAAAACGACATGACTAGAGAGCATGAACTCCTGGAAGGTCCAGATGCGCTGGAACCACTCGTTGGAGCAGATGCGGCAGATACGATCAACCTCGCCACGAGCTGTCTAGGTCAGCGGAACTAGGCATCGTGAAGGGCCAGACGGATGCATACGTAGTATTTTATTTGCCCGGCGTTTCTTGCGCTCCGATAAAGGGTCCGTGGACATTTCAAAGTGAATTTTGCCGATCAGATTGAGGCGCATGAGGGTCCCGGATAGCCCATCCACGGATGGGCCGAGCCAGACGATGGCTTGCTTTGCGAGCCGGTAGATGTCGCCCATAAGAGGAACCTGGACGCTCTTCTCGGCCATTGATTCCTGGTCAATACAGATGGCGTCGATCCAGAGCGCGCGCGGCCGATGGGCGATGCGCAGATTGCGGAGGGCGTCCTCGCAGTTAGGCGTCACGAGGATCTCACGGCCATTGCACCGAATGGGCCGTGTGCCTTGCGGGGATCCCCAGACATAGGACAAGGCTTCATAGGTCGGGGGCTCATCGAGCGAGACAACTCTGAGGGAACACCGAAGCGGGTGTTGGAAGGTCAAGGCTGGTCTCAGGATTACAAGTCGGATGCTGCGTGGGGACGGAAGAGGCTCGTATCGGTACGGCTCGAAAGGCTCATTGATTGGAAAGGGTGAGCGGCATGAACGGCGGTCGGCAGGGTGTTGTTGGGGGGAGGGCATTGTTGAGCAGAGAGCAGAAAAATAAACTGGGGTCAGACGACGTTGAAGAGAAATGAGAGACTTGGAGAATTTTGGCACGAATGAAGGCTGAACGACCAAGACTTTTTGGACGGTTCAAGGGAGCAAATAAGCAGGGCGAACTAGCCGTGAAGGCGGTCTTGCCTGTCCAGCCCCTGTACTTGGGTCAGAGTAGGAAATTCAGAGAAATAGAGGTACATGTACATCCGGATCGGAAAGCCAGGAACAGAGGCTCGCCCATGGGTCAGATGCATTATTAGTTCAGCTTGAATGCACAGCTCGCCCATTCCATGCAGGGGGTGTGCCGATACAGGGCATGAGCGATACTTGGGTTGGCGCCAAGCATTTTTATTTTTACATTTTTAACACACTAACTCTCAGAAGTGAGGGCCGATGCCGAAGACCCACTGCGCCACGAATGGTGGAAAACCACCTGTGGCTCAGTTTGTCAGCCAAAAACAAGCGAGGATTCGAAGGTACAGTGACCTGCATCACCCCTTCTACAAGCTTTCCCTCTGCATAATTTGGGGGACAGGGCACGGTTTTGGCCAGTCCCTAGTTCGCATCCACCGACATGACAGCGAATTCTCATGTACTCTTATTCACGGCGTTGGACTTTGGCACGAATTGCCTCTAGATGGCTTCGACGCGGCTGGCCGCTCCTGACTACGGAAGAGCGTACCGTCATGGTCAGTCGCCATACATATGCCTTCTATTTTAAGCAGGCGAGCTATTGGCCGAGGATCCTTTTCTGGCCCTCTTGGGCAGCTTACACAACTCGAGATTTGCGCCAAGCCGTGTCCAGTAGTTGTTTTAGACATCGTAAGATTGGAGTAGGACACTGCAATCTTGTGGGCCGAAGGAAACCTCTGAAGGCTTTCCATCATTTTTCATGTGAAGGGCGTCTCGGGGGTACCTGCCCAAGTATTACTCATCCCTGGCTCGCAGAGTGTCCCCTTCGACATACCTACCGCCACCGCCGACAGAGGGAGAAGGCCGCATATGCCAAAGAATTTAGAGCTTAAGCGTATGTCATCGTCCGTCACCCCAGGATCAGTATTTGCAAAAATTCTCACGCAGTCGGGTAAGTGGAAGAAATCCTATATTTGGGAGCCAAGTCGTATTATTAGGTCCCGCCGAGAAAGTGCCTGGTGGTGGACAAAGACGACGATGAAGGCTACGAGGTAGCGGTTCAGGGGAAAAAAAAATTGGCTATTAAGATGTAACAAGCAGGGGTGCTGGAAACTCCAAGATGGACATTACGGTCCAGCTGAATTCGGGTTTCTCTTTTTGGGGAAATTTCCGTTAGGCATCGCGATGGATTGCCGGGGTCTTTTAGCGAGGAGTCGAAATGATGGGGACTTGGAGTGAAGTGCTACCAATAGTGCAGACCCCGACTTCTGCGGATGAGATGTCCGTCGGGCAGACGTTTTACAGAAACAACTTGGCTCTAGCGCGATGTAAATCTCAGATAAAAGCTGAGTGACGGGTAGTACGCCCTTGGTCATGTCACTGTCGCTAGGATGGGAATGGAGGAAGGAACACGTCGGACGGTGGCTGTGTCTGCCTTGTGGGCGGACACCTCTCCATGGCGACAGCATGGCTATCAATAGTACCGTAGCATTTCTACCTCTTGCGTTGGTTTCGAGTTTCTTGTCTTGCCCCAGGAGCCAGGGCTCATCTCTGGAGTCTGGAGTGATCGATCCATGCTGTAGCTCAATACTGTAGACATAGCCACTACAGCCAACCGGCCCTAAACAGTGACCTCCCTCACTCATATTTCTCATCCCTGGTCAAGTCCAAATAAGGCAACGGTCATTGGATGATCAGATTAGGGGCTCAGGTACGCTGAGATATGCAGAAGAATACCTCTCTACCTTCCGGATATGGCAAGGGCATTCGGACATTGCCAAAAGGAAGTTTGAGAGGGAAAATCGAAGACTCCTGCTCTTCTGACTTGATCTGACCCTCACACATCGGCCAGCCATATCTAGATCTATATCCTGCCTTATTTTGACCGGAAATATGACCTTCATCTACGTCTGCCCTGAAGAATCCAGAATTGATCGGAACGTTAAATCTTCACGGCGCTTACAAGAACTGATCTTCGGCACGAACATAATTACAGCTGAAGGCTAACAATGTATTGAGCTGAACAACTAAATGAGTCACGGATCAATGACTTGATAACTTCACAACTTGACGAGGAACTTGATGAACTTTAAAGAAAGAGGAAAGAGAAGAAACTTGTGTGCAAGCCTTATTTCTTGTGCAGGGAGTTGTTCTTCCGGCACAGTCTACTTGCCTTAAACCTTGACGCCACGGAGGGATCTTAAGTATAACACCGTCTCACTGCCTTTACACCAGTGAATAGATAAGCTAAGGGCAGAGACAGATGGAAGCAGAAGGGTTTCTATAAAATCTTAGAAGAGGTAGGGCTTATGCCAAAGTATATGTCTTTATAAAGAGTTTATTTTAGGCGCCCAGCCCAGTGACTAAACATATTTGCTCGACTTCTGAATCTCGCTTAACGGGATGTCATGAAACATGAATGTATCCCCATAAGCCCATCTCGTGCGAACCACAACAAAAAGTTAAAGAAAAAACCAGATAAATCTAAGATTCGTCTCTGGAAGAAAGTAAAGGAGAATGTCAACATCACCCAATCAAACCCTAAATCTGCATCGAATATCTAGCAGTTGCAGTTGTCGGTTGTAGGGTCAACCATGATCTTGCCAATGGTCTCACCACCTTCGCTCCGCTTAACCGTAAGCTCTCCGCCACGAGTGTCCCTGATCTGCAATTAGTATAGTTCTTTATCTGCCCAAAGAGTAGAGTGAAGGTGAACTTACTGGTTCTTGCCCTGGCAGTACTTGCTGACGAGAGTCTTGACGGCTTGGTTGCATGTGTCCTTAGTGAACACCTGAGTCCTACCCACGACAAAGCGGACGTAGACCATCATTGGATCATTAGCCTCGTTCCTCAAGCGGTTTCCGTTCAGGTCGTTCCAGATGCGGACGATCTGGACCGTACCCTCTGCTAGACCGTAGGCAAAAGAGTCGCAGATCACTCCGGCAACACCAATGATGGTAGCATGCTTAGCCCAAGAACCGGAACCGAAGCAAGTGGCGGTGGCGGATTCGCGTACAGCGAGGTTACCGCCGGGAGCAACGGCCACAAGATCGGTTACATTGCCCGACTCCAGAAGCGACTCCTCGTAGAAATTGTAGTCGGCGAGATCCAGAATGAGGTGTTCGTTGCCGAAGTCGTCAATGGGCTGCCAGCGGAGGTCAACACCCGCATCAGCCATGTGCGCGATGACGTTGCCAACGCGGGCGCTCTCAAAAGCGTTGGCAAGACCAAATTGGCCGAGCAGGGCGGCAACGCCGACAAGAGAAGGGATATCTGGGGGCAGAAAGTAAGTTAGCTTCAACTATAAACTTCTTATGATTCGGGGGACCCTCATGTTGATACGAACAGTGCATGTTTATTGAGGGCGTTGGAGAGGTTGTTGGCTTGAAGTCAGAAAGGGAAGCATGCAAATGCCACAATGTTAGAGTGCCTGATGTTGAGGATGATGTCGAGGGCTAATTCGAGAATGACGGGGCTCGTCACTACCCTTTTATACTGCACTCGGAGTCGTGACTACATCTGAGTCCTCAACACGCCGAACATGTCTGGCGCTTCCGACCCTTCGCTTCTTTGGGATCCTCCTCCTCCTTGGGATCGTCGTCTGCCTTGGGACCTCCTCGTTCGTGCTCCCATCCCTTTCGACCGACTCCTCTCTTCCCTCAATTAGGAGATGCATCGATGAGAAAATTGCCCACGAAGCCTCACTCCTTTCCAGAATTAGGCTAATACTATCTAGGTGGCCGAGTCCTAGTACTAGCGGGCGCCAGGTATGCTGATGCTGCAATCCTTCAATTCACGATTCCTGAAACTGCGACCCAAATCGGAGCACGAACTAATAGCGGTTCCGAACACGGCGATCCGGCCCATGAGGCATTTTAGCTTGCTCCGCTCCCCAGCGCCGGAGGACTTGCCGATTCTGGAAGTGTCGGGCGTCTCGTCGCCTCACCGCCCAATCAAAAAGTTGACGCAGTCATCAAAGGTGGGATCTAGAACCCAGACGCATCCTAGACGACGGAACTGCGCACGTTCACCGATGAGATGCAATCATTCCCCCCTTTGTTTGCTTTAGCGCGGAAGAGGGGCAGGGCTGAAATCCTATCCTGTGGTAGGGCCGACTTGCCAACCGGGTGGTCCCCACGGTGTTTGAAAATGGCAATGGGGAATTGTCATATCATCCCATTCTTTCGTGTCTCATCGTTCGGGCAGATCCTAATTTTCCAAATCCTAACCCAATAGCCAATCACGATAACTCGATAGCTAATCACAACAAGTCATCCTAGTCTCCATCGTCAACTTCGTGGTCTGCCTAGCCGAGTCTGTGATTGATGCTGGCGAATTTCATCGTGGCTGGGGCGGCATGACCATGATCACGATCGACGATTGGCAGAATAGCAGAATCAAAGGGGGAGAAACAAAAGTGCCTCGTCGGAAGGATCCCAATTCGGATTGTCAAGAGCGAACTGGATTCTAGGAATGTGTCTCGTCTTAACGTTGAGTTGATATAGAAGTTGATGCCGATGGTGCTTCGTCCTCTCTTTCCTGCTCTCGCCCATCACAACAGAAATCACCACTTCCAATTTCCCTTCATTCAAAGTTTGTTTCCCTCCGCTATCAACCATGTTCCTGTCCAACTATCTCCTTGCGGTTGCCGCAGTGTCTGTTGTCAGCGGGTCACCTACTCCGGGTCGACCTGGCACTGTCAAGGTCCTCGAGCATATCCATCAGGCGTCTCCCATCGTCTGGAACACGACCGTCAACTCTGATGGGACGGTTTCTAAGTTCGCCGTAATCGAGAATAGTGTCTGGGACCAGGCGGCTGCCGATCTTCACGCCGATATCCCCGTCAAGGGGCGCGAAGGAGAGACTCCGCGCGAACTTGTTGCCCGCTGGTCAAAGGAAACCTTCTCTTGCCATCGCAGCGGGTCCTGGGCCAAGCAGGCAACCCTGAGCCGATGGGTGAATGAAGCTTGCGGTGTTTTTGGTCAGTGTGCCTTCTCTTTCTTCTTCTGCAGTGGTTGATGGCCCGTATACACCATTACCACCCCCTTTGGTTGGCATGGAACAGCCGCTCTCTGGAATGCATATTAATGAACGAACAGGCTCGTCGTCGGCAGGAAGCGGCAGCACCTTGATTTACACCCGTGCCGACAGCAACTCGGTTGGTGATGCAATGACCATCTACTACACGAAGAAGATTTCCCAAGACCTCGGTAACGGCCAGTGCGGGTCAGGTCTTAGGGACCTCATCTACCACTCCGGCTGTGCCGGTAAGAGCCAGGATACTCGCGGCGGGAGTCATACGTACTACGATGCCAAAGGCAAGGAGCAGGAGGTCTGGAGCGTTGACCCCCAAACTTGGAACTGCAACTGTTAAATAGAACAGGCAATCTTGCACCTTGCCCGTCGACCTTCTTTTTACCATCGTCTTAGTTCTTATTTTCTATTCACTCGAGAGCATTCTATTGAATTACATACATAGTATGTCTTCTTGTTATCTACAAATATATGTTTGGTTCTCTTTATACGTAGTCTTCGTCTTTTTAAGGTGGCTTTAGGCTGTTTAAACCCAGGCGTCTTTTACGTGGAGGTGCCCTGGACATCAAGCTGCTACGCCTCCGTCTCGAGCGCCATCGGTAGCCACGGCTAGTCATCGCAAGTTATCGCCGTAGTTGTGAATCTACCTTACGAATAAACCAACCGAATCTGTCAGGCGTAAGGTGATCCTTGTGTGTATTATGTTGAATAAGGCAGGGGTATAAAGACTCGCCTGAGGAAAAGGTGGGATGAAAACCACCATCGCCAAGTAATGTTAAAGCACTTGGACTTGACCCTTACGGTGTCATTTATCCCCGAAGATGAGCTACATAGTGCTCCATATACACTAGGGCCCAGACCCACCCCTTCCCCACTCGGTTTGGGCCAGGCATTTCTCCCGCAGTTGAATAAACTTACGAGGTCGTACCAGAAACCCAAGCCATGTTCTCATTCTTACTCCTGACTCGAGGACCCGCTTGGGGGCCAAAGGGGCTGAGTTCAGTCCCGGCAAGCCCCTGCTAGTTGACATTGCGAAGATGTGATTGGAGTTGAGCGATTGCCTTTTGGGGGATAGTGTCTTCTGGTGTTCCTCAAGGCCCAAGGATTTGGGCAGTAGTCTTGACACTAGTTTTGACAGGTTATTACGAAGTACAACCCAAAAGGAAAAGAAAGCATCCTGGCCGGGGCCGTGGCCCTAGCTTCTCACTCCTTGGCCAATAGGGGAGACGATGCATCCAACCAGCGGACTGGTCCTTCTCGGGGTGATCGCAGGTTGGAAACGAACTTATGGCATCCCTCCCCGGAGCTTTCCCCAAGTGGACATTTCCGCCGTGCTCAGCGCGGCTCAGCACCAGCTACCAGGAATTTCGGCGATAAAATTTCGGGTCCCTTGACTCCCCTGTCGCTCCGGTCCCGGCAATTAGTTCGGCTCCCTTAGCATTGCATCGCCTTTCCCAGGTCTCGACCGATTTTCGTCAACACATAGACACGCAGGTCCTGCGCCTTATTGCTTGACAACATGTATCTCTAGAAAGCACCAGCCGGCGTATCATCCGATATGTGACCGATCGCTCGATTCGTGAGTAACCTATTGACAACCATCTACCTTGAAGTAAGTGAGCCAGTCGTGGATCCGCCTGACGACCTCCGTTTGAGACTCGTCGCGGGACTTCTCCCGCAGAACGACGAAGCCCACGGGTCCATCTTTCAAAATATCATTCCATTTGTTTCATGGAATTGGCTTTCGAGATGAAGACGAGGCGTCTTTTTCATCCTGGCATCTAGCAGTCTACAGCTTATTACGCTAGGATTGTACTTTGGACCTTGGAATTTTCGATACCAATACCCCTATCCTCCCTTCAATGACGGAATGATCGAATCTGCTGTGAACGGTTTTGGGTTTGGGCAGTAGACCGCACCGTTGAGTGGGCTGTCACCATCTACTAAAGTCCCTTCTTGGCTCTCTACCCCCTACTGAGTGGCTGAGACGTTTAGCAAGAGTAGAGTGAAGTTGACTTGTCCGCTTGACGCCATCTCATCATAATATTCTCCTCATTTCTCTCGTCCAAGCCGTTATTGACCCGCATCCGTTGATTTCCACCGCTCCCAAAGCCGACAATTCCCTACGCTCCACCACGTTAATTATCTCCTTGGCATCGCCTAGTGTATACGGCCGACCTCCCTTCAAACGGTGTTCAAACCAGCGGTTCCCTCTTTTACGGCACACTTTGTGAATACTGATCGTCGCGGGTGCTTAACGGCTCCTCCAGAGGTAAGCTCCTTTCATCTGACTCTTAGACTGGAACACCGCTGGCTGATGGCGTATTTTTCACCGTCACGGCGTCTAATCTGGACAATGTCCCCTCGTACGACCTGCTTAAACTACAATGGGATCTCGCGCGCTTTGTCGCAAGATCAGGAAAGCTGAGGCGGAACACAGTGCATAACAGGTAGCGTACGTTCGAAAGGTAAGTCCCAAAAAGCGCCGCGATTTCAAATATATTAGTGACTGGCTGAATATCGATTTCCTTGCGCAGACAATTGCCTTTAAGTACTCGTGGTGAAACCCCCAATGATGGCCCTAAACAGCAGACGGTTCTACGATACCGACTCTTCAAACCCTGCGGTGATTCCGGGGCACTAATAGTGTTTCAGGAAAGGATAGGATATCGAATACGTTAATCAGATCACGTCAGTGTGCTAACTGGAAATCTCCCCACTCCGCCGTGAACATGTCAACAGCAATCCGCAACCTTAGAGACTTTTCCAACAAACGAACAAGGTGATCCTTACTCTTCAGGCCAACAGTGTTGGCCAATGCCCGTTGAAACCACCGTTTCGCTCTCGACCACCGTGATCTCTTGTGCCAGTCATTCCCGACCGATATTGAAAATAAAATCACGGTTTCGCCCTTTATAGTGTTTTCGATACCCAGGATCGAGTGTTGGCTACTAGGCGATGAAATCTGTCCGATACTTGGCGTTTCAATCCTGAGATCTTGAGGCAGGTCGACCGGGAGCGTGGTCTGGGGGCCTTCCTCTACTCATTATTAGCGGAGTCGCATGAGAATTGGCTCGGCAACAAGCCCACTTGCCTTCATCATCCCTCTTTCTCTTCTTTAAGATCTCCTGGCTCGTCCAAGACTTCGGCCCATCTCCGTACTTAACCCTGCTGTCTTTGTTCGAGATCATCCGCCGTTCGTCAACTCTGCGCCGAATCTCAGGCCAAAACTTTTTCGGGATATTCTTGCGCCACTTCCACTCCTCAAATTTTGACTTGTAGAGTGGGATGCTGTCCAGTGGGGGTTAATAACAACTCAGCTAGAAAGGACGCCATGTCGAATCAACTCACGAGGCGTCAAATTCATGACGTTCGGCCATTAGCCTCCGTGTCTCCTCCAGCGTTTTGCCCTCGCCAAAATAAATTTCCATTATTTTAGCCTTGTTATCTTCCCAGACTGATTGGGATGGCGCTGCCGTCCTTGGGCGTCGTGAACGACGGCCGGGGTTGCCATCGATTGTAGCCCCGACTGGCGCGAGTCCTTCGCTGAACTCGAGGTAATCTTGGGGGGGTCCTTCAGGGCCAAGCAGGCTATGAAACAAGGGGTCGGGAAAAGTGGTGTTTGTAATTTCAACCAGCCGCTCCTCGCCCGTATTGAAAGCAGGAAGGTTGTCTCCCGGATACACGTCGAGCATTGAATCCATCGTGCCGAACGCAGACGGATCGTCGATTTCCTGAGTATCGTCTGGATTTAGACTGGGAATTTCGGGGGTCCTTGTCACCAGATCAGGGTGCATGATTAGGAACCTCTCCCATTCTGCAGAGGGCGATTGGGCAGCTGATGGCGATGCATTAGCCATTTTGTGCCATGGAATAGGATCGGACTTGTAAGCCAGCTTTGTAGAAGGAGTCTTGGGCACATACGACCGAGTTAGTTGTTTGAGGCAGGATGGTGTTGGTAGTTTGGAAATTGCTTCCGCCGAGGTGGAGTCGCCCGAGAGGTTTCTGACCCAGCCAATCATGGGTAGGTAGTAAAAGTCTACAAAAAGTCGATAAAAGTCGACAAAAAGTGGAAGAAAGCTGCGAAAAGTTTTTCGCGCAATGGACACGGATCCCAGACAGTGCGGCGGAAGTGTTGAAAAGTCTTGAGAAAAGTAGCAAATACAGTCGTCCTGGAGAAGCAGGGAGCTATAAGAACAACCAATTTTAGTCTGCGGGTGGTTTGGAGGTTTATGCCAATTCCTCCTCGAAGTAGTGGGAAGTTCGATAAGTTAACAGCAAGGGATTATTTTGCCTTTAGGACAGTCAACACCCACTACATAATTGAAAAGGGTAATGTCGACGTTGGTAAGTTAAGCTAGGGGTGTAACCGAACTTAACCTGGTACTGACAGCCTCCATAGACAGAAACCGGCGGCCAAAAAAAGTCAGCGCCTGTTCCAGGACGACCGGCAGCCAATCGAAGCTTATGTTTGGAGAGATGGTTAGGGGAGTCATCGAGAGAGGCTCCATGGTGTCCACTGAAACTGCAGGCACCCCCTGGAAGAGGAGACAAGGTTGAGCCTCCGATGAATGGAACGCGTATGAATGGAGCGTGTATCTATAGCTCAAAGTGATAAGAGCGGAAAGGAGACGTGGTACATAGCCTGAACAGTGCCACATACGGCCCCAGCGCTTTTCAAACAGGCGCCATCCAGCCCCCTAAACGTCAGATTTTGGCATTATATAAAGCTTGGAGGATCCAGGGAGAACGGTGCCTCCAGTGGTCATCAGTCATATCTCTAAGCCAACCCACTCGACCCCATTGTACTCTACCATTACCCGCCGTCTTCCTGTCAATCCCCAGCTATGAGCTCCACCGACGATGATATCAGCGACAGCAGTGACGGCAGCGCCAGCAACGACAGTATTGTCGAACTTCAGGGCAATCCGAACCATGTAGGAACAGTTTGTGAGATTCGCAAGTTTGAATCTTACTGGAATAAGAACGGGGAACGTGTTGTTCTGAAAGCAGGAACCAAACTCATTCGGGCGAAAGTCAAACCCGCCTCCATAACGACGAAAGCCGCGCTGCTTTCCACCCGGGTCTGGGATCGTACGCAAACAGAATTCTACACGGAACTCGAGGTTCAGTCGCCCCATATGAAAGCTGCTCTCAAAGCCGTCGTACCAAAATACAAAGACATCGATCCCAAAGCTACGAATATTGTGTTCCGCGACACCCCTAAATGCGTCTTCCACTATCGCGATGAGCTTCTCGGCTACAGGAGAAGATGTTCGGACCAGACCGCTAGCCAGCATGTTCAATATCTTTTAAATTATGTGGATGAGCTCCTTCTAGACGAAATCTCCATTTACAATCGATATGTCAAAAACTGCGCACATTTAGGGAGGCCTGGGATCGACTACGTCAATTTGTGGATGGTCTTCGTTCCTGGCGAGCTCCTCTACGGGGAATTCGGACAGATTTTCAAGTTTCACGAGTTGACTGGCTACGCCTGTCTTAAATCCCGACATCCAAATTGTGAGTGGACTATTTCTGGTTATATCATCGCTACCAATGGTGTGGAGCTTGGGCACAAAAAAACTGAATTCACGATCAAGCGATGGGATGGGATTAGAGCCTTGGACGACCTTCCACTGTACCCTCTTCGGTTCTGCGAACGGCGCGACGAGATTCGCTCCGAGGTATTACGAAGGTCTAAAATGTTCCAGTCACTTATTGATTCCTCGGAACCAAATCACCACCAGTATAACAACTTGGCCGTGCTTTTTGGTTACGATCGCGAGCCGACCGCAGATTGGGAGATTGGCGGATTCCCTTGTTGGACCTCCACTGTAAGTGAGACATTGTGCTTTATTTGGGCCGTTTACTAAGGTCCACTATAACAGATCAATGGCCGTATTATTATAGATCCAAAGGCATTTCATGATCAGCGGCCATCCTTTGCTCCATGCCTGTCCGCAAGCCAGAAGAAATTCAACATTAGCGAAGGCGATCACAAGAGAATGACGGAGGAGGAGCTTTTGATTTGCTCAAAAGTTATTATCGGATATTCCCTTTCCGATAAACAGTGGGGGATCTTCGAAATTGACCATATCCGCGACCCCGAATGGAATGATATCGCTTTTGAATCCCTCATTCTCGATCCTGTCAACAAGGAAATGATCTTATCCCTAGTCAGGAACCACTCCGCGGCCAGTGCGCATAAAGCATGGGATTTTGTCGAAGGCAAAGGCGGTGGCATTGTATTCCTTCTCCACGGCGACCCTGGACTGGGAAAGACACTCACCGCTGGTATGTATTAATCGAGACAGAGGAAGACTAAACGTCACTGGGAATTGAGTGCCATACAAACCACTGACAAACTTGTAGAAGGCGTAGCCGACTATGTCAGAAAGCCACTTCTAAAACTCGACAGCGCCACTTTGGGTGTGGACTCAGCTACCGTTGAGAAACGGCTCAAAGAAGTTCTTGCCCTCGCCACGTCGTGGCACGCCATTGTTCTTCTCGACGAGGCCGACATATTTCTCGAATAGAGAGACACGAAGAACTTGGAAAGGAACTGTCTTGTCTCAGGTCAGTGAAAGGATGCACCTCAACCATCAACTTAATGGGCAATATATGTTAACTGTTTTAGTCTTCCTCCGTGCACTGGAATACTTTGAGGGAATCCTGTTCTTAACAACAAACAGGGTTACACTAATAGACTCAGCCTTCAAATCGCGCATTCATCTATCCATTCCCTACCCAGCTCTCGACTCAACAAGTCGAAAGAAGCTTTGGAAGGCTGTCCTCTCTCTGCATAAAGATGGCAGTACAGATGGCCTGCTGAGTAGTGGTGAGTTAGACTCGCTGGACGATGAGGGAATGAACGGAAGGCAAATCAAGAACGCGGCTCGAATTGCGCTTGCAACGGCAAGTGATCAAGGGGGTACTCTGACGTTGGAGCACTTGAAGGCTGTACTTGGAGTGATGAAAAGCTTCGATGCCGCGTTTAAAAGTCCAAAGCGCCGAGACATGGAGGAGGGAAGGACGGTAGATCCGACTCTCATCGATCCAAACGCTGGTTCGAAGAAGCGTAAATTTCCTACTCATTGATCATTGATAATAAAGCTTGTTTGGCGAGAACGCGTCTTTTGCCGACGCAATTCCTCCAGTATTGACATGGGGAAGTTAATCCTGAACCATGAACAAGTAACTACATTACTATCCACCGCCAGGCAATGCGCATACCGACTCTGCTTTCGCCAGAGAGACAATCACTCTCTTATTTCAATTAGTAATACATGTGCACCTCTTGGAAGGGCTGGGCAAACCCCAAAACTCGAGGGCCAGGGCAAAGTTTTACAAGGCTATCAGCTATTCTTTATGAAGAGTAAGCTTCACCCCGGTAGCTCTACTTCGTGCTTTTGGCAGTCAGATCAAATGTCATCGGTTGAAATGGTCTGTGTCGCCAATGTGCTGCCAAACACTCTCGCTGATACCAACCCCGCCATGCCTGTTCGAAGGAAGGTCGAAGAGGTGATTCCGATCCCTTCATCGATAGTCGACAATCTCAACCGAATATCGAGGACGCCATACCAATTCAATACCTCGGCTGAGCGGCACGTCTGACTGCGTTGGAGGCATCCACCACCTTTGCCTCTAGATGCCTATAAATTTTCACTCGGCCTCAACAGAGCAAGCCTAAACCACATTATGGTAATCATGAATACAGGATAGGCAAACCGGAGGTACAGCACGGCTGATTCGCGTCACCCCCGCGCAGCCAGTAGCGCAATCAAGATCGAGATGAGGACGTACGTGAAACAATGCTTTGGAGTTGGAAAAGTAAGTCATCGTCCTCTATCCCGGGATTGGTGCTAACAAAAGCTCGCATGCAGTCGGGTAGGCGGAGGAAATCTTGTATCTAATGGCCCCCTTGGATTATCCGGTCTCGGTAGGGAAGGACGACGAAGGTGGCGAAGGCTGTCTCGCTGTAGCATATCCCAGCATTAACGGAGAAGCCGATGAATATGTTTTTTAGAGCTTGTGAGATGGAAGCTGGATCCCAATCAAGCTCATGTTGATAGGTGTCGGCCACGACGGCAGACCTCAAGGGGACAAGTGGTTCAAGACGCGCCGATGCTATGGTGTCATTGAAAATGTGTAATGACCAATGCGCTTCTATCAGCCGCACCTTCAAATCCCGGGGTTCTTCCCGATCCCCAACCTCCCCTTTGCTCAACGCTCCCCTCAGTCCGTTTTCGAGTCCTTGCCACGCCGAGCTTTCGTGACAAACCTGTCATAGCGCTGCGTGATGCATATGTGTGCCACCGATTCCTTCACGCACCTGAGCGAATGATGGCAGCAAGCAGTCCCCGCCGGGTGGCGTGTGAGGCGCGAGCTGATGCACGATTGAATATGTAGTGTCACGCAATGAAGTCTAACCCCGCCCTCTCCACACTTTGGGTTGAGCTATTGGTGTGTTGTGGGTGCTGAACACTCAGTCTGCATCGAGGATTCTAGGGCAACATCGAGCAATGGACACCAATACGAAGCCCAGCATTCCGATGCTACAAGAACAAAACGCTACGAAGTATAATGCTGACCCCCATTCTTTTCGTTCACTCATCATCGCCGTTTTTCCCTCCGAGATCTAAAGCAGCCCACTATTTACCCTTGCTGGAAGGCAGTTATTCCCCTAGTTCCCGAAGGTGGAGTGCTTTGCCTGTTTCCCCCCACGGGCAGACCTTCCAGACCGGGAAGGTGACGGGACCAGACGGCCCCGTCACGGAGTCTCGAATTATAAGCGACGATGATGACATCGCACGGGACTTGATGAATTGATCCTACATAACAAAACTGGCCGAAGACGAGGGCTTGGCGCTCCGCACTGGGCCACACCACAATAATTTCTCCACATTGCTTGCTCACATGCGATTCGACGAAGCCAGCAAGCCCTCGGGAAAGCCGCTGGAGCAGCGTAATACAAAAACAAATACTTTGACAAAAGTTCGGGAACGGGTGAATTAACCTTAAAAAAAAATAGCGATACACTAAGCTGTTGCCTTCTCACTCCGTCACGCCAGGGCTATGGCGTTATTTGGGACCCTGATGATGAAGACAGCCATGAGCCACTGGCGACCGACGGATGGGACGAGCAATTTGATACTTCGTAATAACAGGTGAAAATACCCATGATCGGCATCGTATATTCGAGGAAGGAATGAGGGGGGTGGATAAAGAGAAAAGTCGGTTTGGGAAAGAGCATTTTGATGAATGAATCCCCAGTAGAAATGGGAAGGCACTCCCAGGTAGTCCCAGTCGATCCCGTTTCAAATCGTTCTTTTTTTGTTTCTCTTCTGCTTGTGAGCCTCAGGATTGATCTGCGAGATCCACGCGCAACGCATGCAGCACATGTAATTCGGATCCACGACTTGCAAGAAAGCCAAAATCCCAACAACCCCGCTGGACTCGCGAACAGGCGAAGAAGACAATTCAACCACAGCATCGTCAAGTAAATAATAACAACAAGCGATGGTTGAAGCCGAAAACCGATCGCCGGACTACAAGTCCGGCGATGCTCTCAAGCACGATGACTCGCAATCCGAGCCAGTCCAGGTCGGCGAGCGCTACGAATACTCCGACGAGAGGAAAATCGGCATCACAGGTTCCGTCTTCCTCATCCTGAACAAAATGATCGGCACAGGAAGTGAGTTTGCTGCTCCGAAAGCCTCCCATAACCACGTCCATATCTTGATTTGACATTGAAAAAAAACTAACCCGCTCTTGGATAGTCTTCTCCACACCATCGGGCATTTTTGCGGCAACGGGATCGGTCGGCGTTAGTTTGATTCTCTGGATCGTTGGTACGTCCGTCATCTTGGCGCATCTCTTGGTTTTCAGCCCACTACCCAAAACAGAATAGCAACCACACAGAAAAAAAAGATACTAACCCCGATTCAGGCGGCATCATCACCTTCGCCGGTCTCAGCGTCTACCTCGAATTCGGCCTCGCCATCCCCCGATCCGGCGGCGAAAAGAATTATCTCGAGCGTGTCTACCGCCGTCCGCGATACCTGGCCACCTGCATCCTGGCCGCGCAGATGCTGCTCCTCGGCTTCTCGTCCGGAAACTCCCTCGCCTTCGGTCGCTACGTACTCTACGCTTCCGGCAGCCGGTCCGGTGACAATTACAAGGCCCGCGGCATCGGCGTCGTCTGTGTCACTTTTGCCGTGCTCCTGCACTCCATCGCGCCCAAGTGGGGCATCCGTCTTTTCAACGTCCTCGGTATCTTCAAGGTCGTCGTGCTCCTCTTCATCGTCTTTTCTGGATTCGCTGCCCTCGCCGGACACCTACGGATCGAGGACCCCCAGAACTTCAAGAATGCCTTTGACCTTTCCGACGCCCATCGGTGGGGAGGCGGCGGCGTCTACGCCTACGCGACAGCTCTCCTGAGAATCATCTACAGTTACAAGGGCTGGGAAAACGCAAACTACGTCCTTTCCGAAGTCAAGAACCCCCGCCGCACCCTCGCCCTCGCCGCGCCTCTCGCCATCGGCCTCGTCACCACCCTCTACATCCTCGCCAATGTCGCCTACTTCGCCGCCATCCCCAAGGATGCCCTCGTCGAGTCCGAAGTCATCGTCGCTGGTCTCTTCTTCACCAACATGTTCGGTGACAGCGCCGGTGCCAGGACCCTCCCCGTCTTCGTGGCTCTGAGCAACCTTGGCAACGTGCTGGCTGTGAGTTTCGCCCACGCGCGTCTTAATCAGGAGCTTGGAAAAGAAGGTCTTCTGCCCGCTAGTCGGTTCTGGGCGTCGAACAAGCCTTTCAATGCCCCCGCCGCATCAGTAAGTTCGAACGAAATCGTTTTTCCCCCCAACATTTTAATTTTTTTTTTTTCCAAATCCACCTTGCCCAATCGACCTTGTTAATGATATCCTAACCCTTGCCCCACTTTAACAGTTATTCCTGCACTGGATCGTCACCGTCGTCGTCCTGCTCGCCCCTCCCCCCGGCCCCGCCTACAACTTCATCGTCGATCTCTACACCTACCCCGGCGCCATCATCAACGTCTTCGTACCCCTCGGCCTCCTATGGCTCCATTACAAGAAATCCGAAAACTGGTCTTCCCCTTGGCACACCTACTTCCCCATCGCCGTCCTCTTCGTCCTCAGCAACGTGTTCCTCACCGTCGTGCCCTTCATCCCGCCCAACACGGACTGGAACGCCGAGGGTTACCCCTACTACGTCTTCCCCGTCGTGGGATGGGGCGTGCTTCTGATCGGCGCTGCGTATTGGTTGGGTTGGACCAAGATTTGGCCGAGGCTGGGCGGATATCGCATTGTTGCCGAGAGGATTATCGATGCCGATGGAACCGAGGTGGTCAGGTATCGCAAGGTGGACAGGTTTACGAGATTGGATTGAATCGTTGGAAAGGGTGTTGGGACAATTGAATCGAATGTGATAGCTCGATGCAGGCCTAGAGAGATACTACTGCCTCTAGGCTAATTAATTACCGAAATACGAGGGGTTCTTACGCCTGCGTGCGCCGGTTCGACTGAACGCACCTGCAACAGTTTTCGCTTAGAACTAGTCATTCCTCCTTTCGAAGAATCAATTAATCTTTCATCTCAGTTCAGAAGATCGCTTCTATCCGCTGCGAGGCGTTGAGCGGAACCAAGCCAGGTCAGGACAGCGTAAAGTAGAACTAATATCGGCAGCCATTGCATCCCTCATTACACCTATCAAATCCCATCCATGGGGCATCCGTAAGGGTGAGCCCTTTCTATTGAATTAACCTTATGGATCATGAACCAGTCGGTCGCCTCACACTTCCACGGCCTGATGGACTCATGCGGTCACGCTAATGCTGCATCAGCTGAAACGAGATATTCTGGTGAGACATCCAGAAGTTAGCGCCCCAGCACATTTTTCTTTTTCTTTTTTCCTTCCCTGTTTTTCCTCTTTCTTTTCTTTTCTTTTCTTTTTTTTACTCTGCTCTCTTGCATCTTGAGCTGGCGTCGAGTGGATGGGATCAAACGGACTAGGTCAGACGAAGACGCCGATGCTGCCTGGACGTCGTCTGTTCTGTTTACTTTCCAAACTCCTCGAGACCCAAACTTCGTATTGGCGGGCAGATATACTTCACGAGCGGTATCCATCCTGTCATCCAGGTGCATTGCGTCCGTCATTACCGGGGAGAGGCGATTGTCATCAAGTCATTGCCGGGTGGGACCTCCGATTGAAGAGTGTATCCTCTCCAGCTTAAACTCGCAGTATACTAGTGCATGTCTACGCAGTGCAAAGCAATAGTAGTCTCGATGGCTGCCCAATCAGAATGCGCGGTGGTATATCTCGTGGTTCATGCTTGGTGCTATAGATTGGAGTTACCATGTCAATTCCAGTTTGCTTTTCCTTCAGGTGCCATGGATCGATTTTAATAACCTGCCGGTCATGTCTGTCCTAGCTGCTAACGTACTCCGGGATAGCGCCCTCCACGAAGCACCCTAACGTAGCGTAGTCTAAATTGCCTCAGCAGTAAGCAAAATACCCCAATATAATCAACGGATAGCACCAGCACTTATCCGTATTTTGTAAACTAAGGCTGACCAGCAGTGATTGACCGAGGCGTTTACAAGTACGAAGTATTACAGGGTGGAGGAACTCCCTTTCAAGACCCACCCACTCACAGCACAGAATCTAGGATAACCGTGTTGACAGAGCACAGTGGTTCGACTTTACTTCGCCTCGCGAGTCTAGTGCCTTAGCGGGTCGGATCTTAGTTAATTGATCGATCGAGATATAGAAATGAGATATGATAGAGCCGGATCATGCAGCATCGTTCCGGGACATGTAGGACATGTAGCAAGAACACGGAGGGACATTACACGAGGGCCAAGGAAGGCCTGTAGATCCATTAGTAGGACATGAATCTGGGAATGGAACACGGGGCGAAACTAGTGCAGAGGACAAAGCAATTTGCGAAGGCTTCTTCAAGGATCGAACGTGATGGTGGGAATGCCACATGCCTCGAACTTCCCAGCTTTGTTGTTTAAGATGCCAACCTCCCGGGGATAAAAACAGTTGTACCATCCAGCTCAGTAGGGAGAGGGGTGTCGGCGGTACTCCAATTTGGTGTCTTCAAGTTGTCCCCGTACCTCCATCACCAAGAGAGACTTGGCGACTCCTTCAACTGACTTAATAAGTTAATTGCGATCTCCACTCCTGGAAGTCCCCAGGACGGGAGAGGCTTGAGCAGCTATAAACTAAAAAGCAGGGCACAGGACCAGTTGAGAGCCACTCCTAGCCGTAGGACTAGCATAGTTATGGCGGCCTGGCCATACCTTACTTACTACATCGACGCAACGTAGGGCACTCGTACATGTGGGCTTATTTGGTGGCAACAGAGAATACCTCGTTCATTGAATCATTCCGCCTCTGCTCAACCAAGTCATCGAGCCCGTATGGGGATCTTCCTACCGGGGAGGGGGATGCATGGCTTCGGCTGTACAGGACATGGCTGTAATCTCGGAAGGACCCTAGCTCCCCATGGCCCACACTTTCGTTGCTTGAAGTGCTGAAAGATTCATTAGAAAAAAAGAAAGGCCGGACCTAATGGACTAGTCGCACATGTATCACCGTTTGCCGTTTTGCCTCCACGTGTAATCTTCCAGCCTCGACTGCACTATGCCGTGCTTTGCCTAGCTTAAGAGAACTAGTTTGAACCGAACAACCTCGAGACCAATAGAACCACCGGATGCAGTCGTGTTGTGCGTCCTGGTCAGGGCATGACGAAGGGGCAGGCACGCGATGAGCCCAGGCCCTCTGGGGACTTGAACCTGAAGATATTGAACGGTGGATGCATTTTAGATCTTTGCCATGAGACATACTGCAAGGGGACCACCACTTGCCCCTTTGAGAATGGACGTGGCGGGGAGGAATAGAAACTAAAGAATGAGGAATGCGTCGAGGTAGCACATCATGGCGCCGCCCCCGGGTTTCTCGTCCGATGGAAGTGGGCCTGATTCGAAGGCTAGCGATGTCGATGACGGAAGCTGAAGCCAAGTGACAAGAGAAGAGACACTTTCTTAATTCCGAATCTTCACTCTGCCCTCGCGCAACTGGCTCCCCCGCTATGACCGCTTTCTTCACCGCATCTCATCCCTTGCATTAATACCTGCATTGTTGCCCCTTCCTCGAATTAGGAGTGCATCAATAGAGGCAATAATTTCATCCCTTGCAGATAATACAATGATAATCCGACCTCACAATAAGTCCATTGTCGATCCTGCCCCGATCCTGGCCTGAGTCACCGAATCTTTCACCACCCCAACTTTCCGTGAATACGATCGACACGCCTGCAGTACTAGATAATCCTCGATTCCTGACGTCAACGTCTCGAGTACAGCCCGCCTGTTCTGTTTCCCTCGTCATTGAAGCCATGGATGATGTTAAAGCCCCCACTGTTGCAGTCATTGGCCTTGGTAAGTTCTGTCCAAGTCTTGTGCAACAAGCTTAAGATATCCTCTCAGAAATTCCCTCGGCTGTTTCCTACTGAGAACGCGATCAGGTTGTGAAACATGAGTGTTTTCCCCCTTAGCTGCCTCCTCTGTGACTCTCGACACGACCCTCAAGGGACCTATTTCAAGTCAACCTACCATTTAGCAGCAGAAGAGCGCTGACCAACAACTCTACGAAGCTAGGCGCCTTTGGCCTTGTTGCACTAAAGAACCTTGTGGAAGAGGGCTTCGATGTGACAGGATTCGAGCGGAACTCTTATGTCGGCGGATTGTGGCGATACACAACGGAGAGCCAGACATCTGTCTTGCAATGTAAGCCTACCTGGACCATGGGAGCAGCGCTCATGCGTCTTTCCCGAGGCTGCTACATGAAGGGAATCAGCAGGCTTACATTGCTACAGCAACACTCGCAAACGTCTCGAGGCAACGGGTATCGTTCTTTGCTCATGATTTCCTCACTTGCGCGCATTCAGTCTTAACATCTATGTTGGTATAATAGTGCTGTTTCACAGATTTTCCTTTCCCAAAAGGTTACATTTTCTATTTCTCCCACCTACCATATCAATGCGAAATGATGGTCGTGGCTGATAGTTCTGTTTCCTACCTTAGATGTAGATGGGGACAGCTCCAATTTCCCCTCTGCACAAGAAGTCGCCCAATATCTCGAAGCCTACGCAGAACATTTCAACCTTAGATCTCATTTTCGACTGAGTACCCCGATATGACATGTGAGACGCGATGACGGAAATCGACACTGGACTTTGACTTTGGAGAAAACCGGGGAGACCCTAATTTTTGACAAAGTGGTAATTGCGACGGGCGTCAACAATGTCCCAACTATACCCCAAATCAAAGGCTTTGACAAATTTGGCGGTGAAAGCATACATTCTAGGGACTATAAACTGTGTGTACTGAATTCCCTCGTTGAGCAACAATATTGGCGTGTTGGGACTTGCATTACTGACCCCGGGTTGCCTGTGCAGCCCGGATCGATTCAAAGACAAGACAGTCTTAGTTGTTGGGCTAGGAAACACCGGCGGGGACACGGCAACTTCGCTCGTTGGTTGCGCATCAAAAATTTACGTCTCGCATCGAGTGGGTGCCCACATTGTTCGTACGCCCTCGTCTTTGACTTTGATTAGGTTTGGGAGAGGCCAATAGTAACATACGAGCAGCTTCCGCGCCACATGAATGGCAAGCCAACTGACCACCTCCTAACACTGAGACTCGAGAAGCTCCGGGCCCTTTTCGAGAGGCTATTTCCAGACTTCACACCCTGGGTTTTCGACAGATTTCTGAGGGTAATGCAGAATCGATCCTTCGACATAAAACCGGAGTGGGGCCTATCGCCAGCTCCATCACTCAAGTTTTCGATTCCGGTCGCGACCGACTCTTTGATCGATCACCTCGAAAAGGGAAATATCACTTCTCTCCCCGGCATCAAAGAGTTTCTCGGGGGAAACGAAATTCTCCTAGACGACGGACGCGTGGTAAACGCCGACTCGATCATATGGTGTACGGGATATCAAGCGGACTTTGGCTATCTGGAGCCGTCCGTCGACCCCACCACCACCGACACATCCTCGTGGAACGAGCTTCCGGGGTCCAGGTGCCGCCCGTTACTCCGGCTCTACCAAAACATCTTCTCCCTCGAGCACCCTGACTCGCTAGCCTTCATCGGATTCGTGTTCCTCGCGGCCCCCGCATTTTCAATCCACGACCTCGCCTCGATGGCTCTCGCCCAGGTCTGGAAAGGCAATTCGGCCCTCCCAAGTCGGGAGGAAATGGGGAGGTCCGTGGATGAGCATGCGGAGTGGCTTTGTGGGCTTGCGCAGCGAGGGAGAACGCACCCAGCATGGGTCGACTGGGTTGAGTGGACGGACTGGGTTAACAAGACGGCTGGCACGGGACTTGAAGAGAACCTGGGGTGGGGCCCTGCTGGGTGGAAATTGTGGCTGGGAGATCACAAGCTGTACAGCCTTCTCATGGATGGAATACACAGTCCACACACGTTTAGACTATTTGAGACGGGGAAGAGGAAATCCTGGGCGGGTGCCAGAGACGAGATTGAGCGTGTGAATGGGCGCTAGATGTTAACAATTTCACGACGAATCATATTTCTATGGCGTGCATTATCACAATTGATACGGTCGAAGACATCCTCGGTTTCTTCTTCCATAGTCCGAAGCCAGCTAAGTTTGGCCAATAAAGCCTTTTTTTTTTTTTTTTTTGGATTGCGTTTTGTGGCGGTGTTCGTCACGGCTGGGCTGAAACGCCGAGATTCTTTGCAGTGTTCAGCACCAATCGGACAAATCCCAGTCTGTATTGTCCTTGCCCGAGTCTGCCGTCCGAAGTATGGCAATGAGCCGACAGACGAGTATGTCTCACTTCTTTCTGGGGGCGAGTTCCGCCATCCCTGCGCCCTTTGTTCTTTGTTTCTTTATTCCATCCTCCCCTGGTAATGTGGTGATGTGTGGCTGTGACCAATATCTCCCTCCACCTTATCCTACTGTGACTTTCGCTAGTATATATAATTCTCGGCCATGACACCAATCAGTACGTCCTTATCTAAGACACAGGAGAAGAAGTGGCAAAAGGAAAGCCTGGAAAGGAGTCTGAGGAGCGTAGGGAACCTCTAGCCTCCACTTGCCGGAATACATCCACGAAGCCACCAGGCAGGGACCCGATGATTTGGTCACGGCTAATCTCCCGGGGGCACTCCTGAAAAAAGCCATCTCCTCAGCAAGGGCATTGATTGGATCGTCTCATGCGGGCCTTTTGATTTGGATGCTAGAGAGGCTGGTTACACGGAGCGGAGGTGTTAAGGGAGGGGCTCGAGTGGATTGCTTTGGTGGGGCGGTCACCCTGATCAGCCCAGTGGTTGAGGGATGAGGGGGCATGAAGGGAGCTTCCATCGACTCTGGTTGAAGAATTAGGCTCTCTATGCGTGAAGCTGGACAACCTGGACTAAGGTGAAGGCCGAATTTCGTTTTCTCGTGGTATGATTCGCAGTTCGCAGTTAAGCAAGAGGGAGGGTGGGGAAATCATCTGGGCCAGTACATCCACAATTTATGAAGGACGTACACGAAGTCACTGGAGTGGTGTGTGAAGGTGTACTGAGTTCGGGTGGAGGGAACGGATCCGCTCTCGGGAGAAGTCGGTCGTTGGGTGAGGAGACGGGTCACTGTTCTGGCCGGACTCAAGCGTTCAAAAGATACCAGTGAAGCAAGCTAGGGCCCGTTTAGGTAGGGAGAGGTGATCATGCCCCCTCCTGTGCGTCACGTCGATCAGCAGCTAAGTCTAGACTAAGGAACGGCCCGCACGCTGTAACGGTCGAACCATAAGAGACGAGAGAAGAAGCAAGGGGGTCCTGGGTATTGGCATCTTCATTTCGAAGCCCCAGAGCTCGAATTATCCGATTCGCCCGCCCCTCTCTCGATGGAGCCCTGTAACCGCCTGTGTAGCGATGCTATCAGGGCTGATTGGCTCGCTTCGTGCAGCCTGTGGAGCAAACTAGTGATGACCCTGATGAGGAGGCACCCCGTTTGGAAAATAGACAGGATGATCTGCTTGAGCTGGTTGCTTGTTGGGGGCTGGGCACGTTGATTGAGGGCATTCATTTTCAAGCGTACGAAGTAAGGGATGTGACAAGCTCCCGGGATTAAATACGAGGGGACGTCGTTCATTGCACCCTCTCAATAACCAGGGATTTTTACTCCCTTGCGGGATCGGGAAAAAAAATTGAACCAGTCGATGTGACGAATACGAGACGAGTGAATCGATCATCCTCTTCATCGGGATCGATTGAATTGATTCGTTATCAAGTATCTCTCCATCGAAGATGAAGGTGTGAGGAAGCACACTTGACAATGGCTTTAGCCCGGAACTCACTACGAGTATCTCTTTTGTTCCTTTCAACCGCCCACCTCGGTCTAGCCCTAAGCCTCCGGGTCTCACAGGGGTCTCCGTGCGAAGCAGTTTGTCCGATTGCTGCCGACCACACGAGCGTAGAGCTCCGGTCCCAGATCTGCTCGGATGCCGATTTCTACAACGGTCAGACTGGAACAAAGGCCAGGGGATGCCTCGACTGTTTAAAGGACAGCAATTACGTCCTTAATTACGTCAATGGCTCGGAAAGCGATCTATCCGATCTTCTGTGTGAGTGCCAAATCGAGGCAGAACTACATTTCCTCAGACTTCCGCCAATCCAAAGACTTTTGCTAAGAACAGTGTTGGTCCATCAAGACAATCTCCGCTTTATTCTCAACGATTGCTTAATCTCCAACATCGAAACCTTACCAGATCCCGTCAAGAAAGAGTTTGTTAATGGCACGGGTACCTGCGACCATTTCAGATATGACCTGGGCTTCGATGCGGCGGACCTCCAGTCGACGGACAAGTACGAGCACTGTTCGGCATCGGAGGACGTATCCAAACTCGACCATGATATATGCATTGACTCGCTCAGGCAATGTGGCTACGGATATTTAACAAACTGTATGGAACTCACCTGAACATGACTCGAAGTCTGTGCCACGGCCAGTACGAAAAGCTAACAGGGGGTTTCCTCCAAGTCTTGGAATTCGTAGCCACAGCCTGTTCTCTGAAGCCGAAAGATGGGACCAAGTTCGGACTATCAATCGACATCTTCCGAAAAACATCAAGCAACTCCGCCTCTCCAGATGACGCGGATGGAGACGAGTATTCCGACGACAAAAAAGAGGAGCAAAAAGTTCCCCCCACCGTCATCATCGGAACGGTCCTCGGAGTGTCTGCGCTGTTCGGACTCGCGGCGGCCATGTTCATCGTCCACTTTCGCAGCGAGCGGAAATTCTACCAGGAATCCAAGGAGCGACGATACAGTCGTCTGTTGGCGGCGCGGCTTGATAGAGAGCTACGAGCGGCTCCTCCCCCTGAACCGCCCTGGGACCCGAAGTGGAGGCCTCGAGATCTATTCGACAATGACAAGTGAAGAGAAGGTTGTCGTGGGAAAGGCGTTCCATCGTTGCATTGCGATATTAGGAGGAAGCTGTGGAGGGTTGGGCTAGTGAGACGGCGGCCCTCGTCTATGAGACGGACGGGATCGGATCGGATGACTTGCAGCTCGGGAATAACAGGCCAGTAATGGTGCTGCTTGCGTAGAATGAACAGGGGGTATACTCCGCAGAGGAGGCCTACTACCTTGGTAGAAATTAAAGAGCAATATCGCTATCTGCGACCTCAAGTGGTGACTGTGGTGTCCTGCGACCCATCGCAAGCATCTGATCCGAGGATGTAGCTGCGGGGCGGGGGCAAGAACAATGAACCTCAAGAACTTTATTTCGAACTTTGCGGGAGCCGCGCAGACGTCGACAATACAAAGCTGTGCTCTCCCTGTTCTCCGCGGCTTTCCTTCTAGTAACCAAAACAACCAGCAATTACCTGCAGCTCACTGCTTCCGCTAAAACGAAATTCTTGTTTACACCGAGGCTTAACACAATGAGGTGCGGGTGTGGGTGTGGGTCTTGGCGTCGCCGTCATCGACCCTTGGACTTAGACGGCCCTCCATGTACTTGTTAACGTGAGGCTGCCATAATTTTACCAGGGTGTTGGAGCCTCAGGGGTAGCTGGCGGAGATGGCTTAGGGCACTCGGAGCCCAGACACTACTGAGATCGTCCCTTGGGAAGTGTATATCTAGGAATGATCACTTGGTCACTAGTGGTGAAACATGGTGTCTAGGAACGCCTCCGGATTCACCCTTCCGTTGGCCTCCTACAACGTCATATACCCGCCGAGGGAACCACAATCTGCGGCAGGCAACTTCCCGGCGGCACCATAGTCAGAGTGAACGCCTAAGTCACGCAGAATGATCCCGAGGTGTTCGCCAATCCGGAACGATTCGAGCCGGAGCGATGGCTTGATGCGTCGGAGGAGCAGCTCAAGATGATGGATCAGTCGTCCTCAGCTTCGCCATCTCCATGATCGCAGTATGCCTTCCAATATACGTCCTCGTCCCAGCCCCAAACGTGTTCCGGAGATTTTGAGGAACCGAGTCTGCCAAGCGCTGACTATGAGTGGCGCACGAGGAACATCTGGTTTGTGCAACAGGAGGGATTTCATCGTATTTTGAAGAAGAGACCGTGTCGAGGGATGGTGTTCACCACTGGGGATCACAGATCACGGGAACAGAAACCCGAAAGGGTTTAGCTGCACAGAATAATCTCTCGAATGCTGTCGACATCTAATAAGATTCCACTGAACAAGTACTAGCTAATTGTGGAAACAGAGTTCGGCACCGGGAACGCTTGGTGAAGGAGACTCGCAACCGCCCAGGTTCTTTTCTTAAATCTCTGACGGATAGATCAATGATCAGATACAACGAATAGAGAACATTGGACATAACAGAGGGACATCAGACTTAAATCAAGCAGCCTCAAAAGTTCCCTCTCCCCATCCGTATACCCTTTTCAATCGCCGCGCCAGAATGAGAATCCTGTACCCCTCAATGTGAGACTGATGAGGCCGGTGCACCGTCACAGACTTCTTCACCTCCATGGTTTCAGGCGGGAAAAAGGTATACACAGACCCAAACTTCGGCACCACGGAGAAGCCCACCTCCGCCATGGATGCCTCAAACGCGGTCCAGCTGATGGCGCCGCGTGACTGAGCTTTGGCGAATATTGCCGAAAAGGTCTGGGCTGTCGAGGCACCGACACGGAATTTTTGCGGCGGGAGGGGCGCTGCCTCTAGAGTTTCGTCTTCTGTCGTCGAGGCCAGGTCGTACAGACGAGACGTTGCTGGACGTGTTTTGACTTTGATCTTTGGCTGCTCGGCTGGTTCCGGAACAGGCTCCTCGGTGACAGGTTGAGACATCGGCGGCTTCGCTGCATCCTTCTTCTTCGCTTCTTGCTCCCGTTTAGCCTTTAGCTCTTCATGGCGTTCCAGGATATCAGCCACGCAATCCTCAACAAGGTCAAAATACAAGAATCCCAACTTCTTGCCCACCGCACCAACGACAAAGTCATCGAGGCTCTTCAGCGCAAGCTCAGCGACATCTGGTTCGAGAAGGTTGTCGATGGGAACGACGAAATCGCGCAAATCCACGTTGGCTTTGAGAGTGTTCAGCTCTGATTCCAGTTTCTGCGACTGGGTGATGAACGTTTGGCCGGTTTTACGCGAGATCGACGGAACCGACACCACGGCCGACAGGTCATTAAGAAAGGAGGCTACGACAATGAAATCGGAGAGCGCGTAGAACTCGCTATCATCCAGCCTCTCCCGTTGGTCAGGGCTCAATTCGTAGAGCTCGCCGAGCTTCTTCACCCAGGTGATCGCTTTCGGGGCAGTGGTATCTGCCTGGACCAGACGGAGGATGTAGTGCAACAGCGGATCGGATCTAGTCAGGTCTTCCCAGTTCTTTTTAATGGTAACGCGCGCGTTGCCAGCCGTGTCAACAGCATTGGATACCCTCCTGAAATATTTGCCCACGCTTTGAGCCTGAACCTGGCGTTTGAGGAACCCCTGCTCTCGGGTATACTCTAAGTGACACACGTTGGCAATCTCCTGCAGTATCATGGCCCGGTATGCCTTATCCTTCGGCGGCGCAGTGTCGAGTAGTTGTAAGAGACGACTGATGTATCTCCAAATAGCAGCGGCCTGGATAGAAGCATGGATGGTCTCGAAGAAGGAGGCGCTGACGTATTTATCCGTGTGCACGGGAAGGCGGCGACCTTTTTCATCAGGAAGTAATTCGGGTCGAGTGAAGAAACGGGTATTGACTGCAAACGCCAACACAACAGGTTCGGTGGAGAGCAGACCCAGGTACTCTTCCAAAGAGTCTTGCTGGTCTCGGGCGGTAGCAACCAGGTCAGAAAGAGACAGCTTTGGGGTGGGTGCAATGTTCAATTTCGCGAGGGCGGCGGTCGCCGCCTGATCAGGCTTCTTGGCTCGCTCTTTCGTAACCCTGGTTTTGGAGCCCTCCTCAAGAATATCATCAATGATGATGGTAAGACTCTGTAGGAGGTAAATCTGCCTCATCAGGATCAATTCTCCGGTTGACTGAGGCACACATACTCCAGCTTCGATTGCTGGTCGGAAATCGGCTAGCGTCTGTTCAAACTCGTCTTTGATAACGAACGACTTTCCGTACATATCAGCCTCGAGGAAAAAGGTATAACTGTTCTTGAACGCGTCCACATGGCGAAGGTTCCGCGTGGCCATCATGTTCATAATGAGGCCGTGGTCTCCCGGTCCGCCGCTTTGTCCTGCCGCATACTGCTGAGGAAGCGAGGTCGTTGCGCGGTGCTTGAGTAAGTCTAGCAGGAAATCCGGACCAGATTCTGCCACATCCCGGAGGTTCCATTCGGGTATGAACTTGCACACGTTTCCTAGCGAGGCGTCGAGGGAGTGCTTGAGTACAATGCCGTCACGTGCGCCGACCTTCATGCACTCGGCGCGCTGGCCTTTGGTGAAGGATCGCCAGGCTTGCTGTATGGCCGCAGCATGTTTTTTGTATTTTCGGGCAAGATCCGAGTGCAACTCTTGCACAACTTGATGGCTTTCCTCGTCCATTGTAGGTGATGGTCGGTGTAAACTGCCCGATTTGAGATTGGGGTTGTTAGCTCCAAAGCGTCAATGTGGCGATGGACAGATAGATCTCTGTCCCGTGAAGATTTTGGGCTCTGGGAACTAACGTTTGGGCAGCGCTGCGCCTTAGTGGGATCAAACAGGATATATGCGCTGGTTGTGCCCGCCGCTGAAGCACCACAGACTCGATGAAGAGAGCGTGCGCACCTAGTGGAACGTGCCTGGAGGAGAAGGGATATGATGTTTTCTCATGGGCGGTGTGCGAACTGGACAGCAGCCAGTGACAGCGACTAAACCCGCCTTAGACTAGGCCGGCTAGCCCAAACCCCAACGTCAATATCCGAACAAGACTGGCGATTGGTGCCTCAGGCGGACCACCGTGCCAGAAGTGCCTCTGCACCTTCAATGACGAACTTTCCGTTTTAGTTGTCTTCGATCTCACTGATCGGACTGCGGATTTCAATCTCTTCTCCAATGGGACTTTTGTCGAGGAATATCCGACACGACACCGCCGAGCTGGTGATCAGTTGGGAAGTTCGTCTTGACGGTCAATTCAAACCTAATCTAGGCCCAAGCCATGCCCCTTGCTGGTGCTGGAGTCGTGGTGCCTTTATGAAGTAAGTGGGGCAATGAAGTATTCGGGTGCAGGGGTGTAGTCGTGCCTGGATTAACTACTGAAAAGATTTGAAAGACAAGCGAGATATATAGTAGAATCCGTAGTTTATATAGGCGTTTCCCTTGCAAGCTCTCCATGGGTGATCGCCGCCCCATGGCTACGATCACCGTCCCTGATCGTGGATCGTCGCTACGATCGCTACGATCGCCTCGATCGCTTCTTCCTGTCATGTTCCGTCAGGCAGTCGGTTCCAACTGCCTGCCAGCCCCTCGTTCTGCCGCACATCACCGCCCTGCCTACATTTTCTGTCTGCCCCTGGCAGCCAGTGTCTTCCAGAGCTAAAAAGAAGAGACATATCGGGGTATAGGACCTTATAAGCAGTTTCTCTGGAGGGTGGACGCCGATTTCAACGTGCTGACACGTATTTAGACCCCGCTTCATCTTGCCCTTGGGCAGGAGAAGACGTAACTGCGGTGTCTTAGCTGATCTCCTTCTGGTCGATGACCTCTGGAGACGCCACACATCCTTTTAGTTACTCGCGTTGCCTTCGGCATTGGCGGTGGACTTGGGCTTTGTCTTGGCATTGTCATCCCTCTCGAGTTCTATCCTCGCAAATTTGCTTTAGATATAAGCTGCGAACGCAACCTTGGTCGTCCTCCTCCCACTCTCAGAACTCTGTTGTTCATCCTACCCATGGTATTTCCATATCGCCTCTCAAGTCGCGTCGACTTCAATGCATTTTACGCACACACAGCGATGGGCTTCAGGGCTACATTAATTTTTTTTTAAA